CGGATACTGAGTAATCGAATATCTGTCGATGACGCACGGCACTCGTTCGAGATAGTAGTATGAAGTGTAAACGCAGCCCGGCCTCAATCTCAATCTCTTCATTCGAGTCTCGCATATTTATGCAACTCTTGCACTACGTACATTTGTCAATCGGTTAGGGTTCGAAATGAGGGTTAGGCTTGTACTAGAACTTACTGGGATATTTAAGTTTTAGTTTAAGTTGAGTTTGAGACCTTCGCTTAGCTGCAATTTATAATTATTATTTCAATTTATAATTGTAATCAGTACTTTTCGTTTTGCTGATCGCAATAATTGAAATTGTCAAAACCAAATTCAAAGATAAAACTAACTGTGTTCTTTGGGTTCTGGGTTCTGCGAAGCATGCCATTTGAAACTCGTTCTATAAACTTCAATGTATACATTTAAATGTCTGTTAATGTAATACAGTAAACGGTTAACATTTAGGCCACTGTTACGCCTCTGCAGTTGACTCAGTCACCAGTCACCACCTATTTTCAGAGTAGTTTGTAGTATGCTGTTGTGTGTTGGATTACAGTCTCTGACTCTCACAGACTTACACACACACACACACAAGCGACAACTAGAAGCAGAGACACGCATTTCACAAACTGAGCTTCGTTTTCATTTGAATGAAGTCAAGTGTATGGGATACACCGGTGCAACACCGGTTCCATCGAGTCAGAATGTTTCGCCCTAAACCAATTGGTAATAATTGTTGATTCCAGTGATTATTTGCATGAAAGATCTCAAGCGAAACTGCATCTCTCAACACGGCCTCAATGCCGAAATTGAATGGTCTTGCTGTCATTTGCTATTTGGAAACAGCAAAGCGACACTCTGTCTGTCTGTCTGTCTGTCAGCATACGACAGATATGTATATGTATGTGTAAATAGGCAGACATACGTGTGTGTGTGTGAGTGTATTTCTGTTGCCATTTGCTAGAAAACAGTTGTCATTTAGCCTTGAACCTGAATTTCAAAGTTCAGCAACGTTCATTTTATTTTATTTATTCTTATTTTTATTTTTTTTTGTGCGCAATTTACCTTTTGTAGTACAATGTACATACATAGATAAACAGAAATATATATGTTTATATATATATATATATATATATGTATTGTATTCGTTGCGGTGCGTTGACTGGCATTTTGCATTCAGCACATTTGTTATTATTCGTCGTTATTAATATTATTGCTTATGCACTAGCTATGAATGTGGTCATTGCGTTATCTACATGGGTATGTTTGTACGTGTTTATTATTAATTGTATCCATATTAAGATAACCGTTTGTCCTGACTGAATGACGGACTGACTAATTGACTGATTGATTGGTGACGGAACTCCTACAATTTGTTTGAAAGCATTCCTCTTAGAATACATAAATACATCCCCCACATACATACGCGTACATAAGTGAGTAAATGAGATGAGATTTTTTTAAAATTTAAACAATTGATGAAAGAAAATATGTTTTATGCATTTTTCGCTGTCAGTCCGATGAAATATTTTGCAAAAATCCTTATGAAAATGAATTGCGCTGGGAATTTTCCTTACTATCTGGGACAAATGTGCAATTGTACAAATGTACCAATATATGTACAAATGTACCAATGTACAATTGTGTTTGTTTGCATGGGGATGAACAAAGGCGGAAGTTGGCGATGCAAAGCACTAGCAGCAGCAGCACCAAATTGGATGGGATGTGTCATGATTGAACGTGCTTCCAGTGTTTCTACATTTCATGGCCTTCTTGGTTAAGGAATTGCCGTACATTATTCAGTGTATATTTTCTCAGTGTGTGTTCTTTTCAAATGCAAGCGTTTCGAGCAATGAGCATTGAGCACAACACACACACACACACACACACGTTTGTCATTTGATTTGCATTGTGTTGTGCATTTCTTTCTTTTGTTTGATTGCTTCCTATTTTCGATTCGTGTTTTGTATCGCGCCATTTGTATACCCTGTCTCCTGGTCGAAAAATGACAGTATGCATTTCTTGTTCACATTGCAAATATTAATTCAAGTTTTTAACTTACAATTGTTGCATGCTATCGAAAATCAAGCAAGCTGTAGGGTATCTGTTAGTCGAACACTTTACTTTGCCTGATGTTTGCCCTGATTGCTGTTAAAAATAGTCAAAGAACAAAACAAGCAACGCATCTTTGTGTGTGTGTGTGTGTGTGATGTATGCTTGCAACAATCAATTAAGTAACTATGTAAAATGTGTACATCTAATATATGCTTTTCAATTAAATTGAACTCGCCATTGCTAATTGTAAATGTAAATAGTAAATAGCAATTCATGAAAAACTAAAACACAAAACTGTGTAAATCTGCTTGAAATGTATGTATGTATGTATGTATGAATGTATCAATGTATGTATGTATGTATGTACGTGGAAATGTATCTACTATTTGTCTGTTAGTGGGTCACACAAACTCAGCTCAGAGTCAGACACTCGCTGGTCTGCCAAGGTCGGCCTTGGTTTTCAGTTCTGTTCTGCATTAACCCAAAAGGAAGGCAGGACATAGAAGGAATGCTTTAGATACCCTTTAGATGATTTGTTGGCATAGACTTTTAAATTGTGGCAGACAGCAGATAGATATGGATGCTATATAAAGATGTCTCCCTTACGACATTTATTAGTTTGTTAGACATATATGTATTTTGTAATGGAATGGAGACATCATAGTGTTGTTTATGTAAATATGTAATGTATATATGTGTGCATAAATTGGATGCCATCATATTCTAGACAATTAAAGTTGCCGTTGTTGCCTGCCACAACAACAACAGCAGCTCGACAAACATTTAAATTTAACAACTTGCACTAATTTGCAATAGCAATTTTTGATTTGATTTGCACTTGCTGCCGCCCGCTCTAAAAATAGTGCAGCTAGCTGCACTTGTAGCGTCATATTCGCTCTCTCTCTGTGTATGTGTGTGTGTGAGTGAGTAAGTGCATTTGATTTTGGATGAAATGACACAATTGCATCGGTGCATCGCTGCTGCAGCTGCTGCAAATTGTCGTTGCTGTTGCTGTTGCTGTTGCTGTTGCTGTTCCGACGACATTGTGCTCAATTGACATCGCTCGCGCCGCATTTGATGCCGCGTGTGCTACTTTTCGCATGCCGTCCTTGGCCTAATAGTTGCACCGACAAACAACAAATCGACGCTATGCCATGCCTCGCCTAGCATACATACATATATACATACACATAGACACATACACATATTGGCACATGCACATGCGCATGCACCCAGGTGTTGGTGTAACTGGACTGCGTTCTGTTAACATTTTATCGGTTAACATTTAATGTTGTCACCCTGTTCTTGGTCAGAGCGATCCTCTGCTCTGTTAGTTAACATATAACTGTTAGTGTTGTGACAATGACACAGTCTGACGTCACGCTCCTTTCATCTTATTGTCGCTCTCCCTACAATATTTTCGTTCACAAACTGTGAAGCAGTAGGAACAATATGATAAGTTGGTACATTTTAATGCACAATTATATATTCGTTGGGTATTCTATTTTCTCGCTGCTGCAGATCCAGAGCAGTGGGTCAAAACAGTGCTTGTCGCTGTTATTACTACTGTTAGCATACGCCTCTCTGTAAAAACACATTTGCTCAGTTGGCAACAACAGCCGTTTGTCGAGCTCACTTGTTGAAAGTTTTTTTTTTTTTTGTGTGTGTGTGTGGGGGGGGGGGGGGGGGATTGGACATACGTCATATGTTCATTCATTTGTGAAGTTCAAAGTACATGCAAAGCATATGTATGCAATCAAGAAAACACAAAGTACACGATTAATTTACCAACACACACAGGCAGCTGATCTTTAAATTCTGTAGCTGCTCTGCTCGCCGCTACGGCTGCGCTGCTGGCCGTGACTGCTCCATTGTCCTGCAGACAGAGACAGCTAATGCTGCATATATCATTTTGCATGTCATTTTAATTTTCGTCTTTTCTTTCTTTCTTTTTTTCAGACTGTTAAAAAGGAACAACAACAAAAACAAAACTCCAAGCTAAATTCTAATAACAAACAAAGGAGAAAGAACGGAAGACTAGAAATAATAATTATTATAGTAATAACAAAAACTACAAATCAAAACATAATTTAAATTTAACGAGCAAAGTATTTGATTTTGGTTATCATCCAAATAGCGAACACAACAAAAATCACTTTTAGCCTTATATACAACAACCAACAACAACAAACAACCAACAACCAACAACAACAACAAAACTAGTACATTAGCATTAGGAGTTGCAAGCGCAAAAGAAGAAGCAAAAGCAACGCTTTATTTAAACTAAAATAGGCGAATAACATAACAAGAAAATCAAACTACAAATTAAACAAAACAGCACTCAACTAACTAATCAAAAGCAAAGTCGAAAAACGATAATTAAAACAATCGTCAAAACTTCAGAACGACGAAGCAGAAAAGCAACAAAGCAGAACACGGGAAACAACAGGAAGCAGAAAGCTCTGCAATCTAAACGTACTGCTTTGGCAGCTGCAGCGCAAACAGCAGCAATAGTAATAACAGCAGCAACAACAGCAACAACAACAGCAAAAGTTAAACGCCTTCAGCGCTGCCGACGCAGCCGCAGCCGCTGCGATACGAAAGCAGCCGCAGCCGCAGCGCAGCGCAGCAGTGGGCAGCAATGAAGACCCAGCAGGAAGAACAGTAGTGAAATTAACACATACTTAAGCATCAAAAATTGCTGTGCTTGCATACGAAAAAAGGACAGGAGCCGGAACAAAAGCGGAAAACTATACTAAATACTTATCAGCATCATCATCATCCACGCACGACTAACAACAGAATATAGCAGAAAAGCACATAGCACTGCAAATATAGAAATAGTGCTTAATACACAAGTGCGCAGACCTAAGGAGGGCAGGAAGGAAGGACGAGGAAGGGTTGTTCTTGTTGGGCGAGGTTGCAGCCGCCTGATGCAAAACGATATGGTTAGCATACCATCGGCCAATATGAACGGAGGTCTCAAGGCGGCCAACAATAATGGCACCGTCGTTGGCGTCGCCGGCACTGTGCTGACAAATGCGCAGCGCGTTTATTTAACGCCCGCCTCAAGTTATCATCTCGCCGCGCGCCAATCTTCTGTGGTGGGCGGCGCTGCAGCGACGGGTGTGGGCATGGGCGTGGGTGTAATGGCCACTGCCATTGTGAGCAATAGCAGCAGCAGCAGCAGCAATAACAACAACAGCAGCAGCACTCCGAATGCAACGCCATCGACCAGTGCTGCAGGAAGTGTGCGATACTTTTCGCAGTTTAGCAAACTGCAGCAGGTGCAGCAGCTGAACGCCAGTGTTGGGCAACGCAAGCTGCTCAATGGAGATACCATGGTGTTGGTCAATGGCAGCAGCAAGCCGCTGATCTTTGCCACGCCAGCCAACAAGTTGCTAACAACAGCAGCAACAACAACAACAGCAACGGCAGCAGCACCAGCAGCAACAACAGCAGCAGCAGCAGCAACAACAGCAACAATCATAAACACAACAGCAACAGCAACAACAACAGTTCCTAATGGCAACAGGGTGTTAATCAACAACCAACAGCAAACACAAAAACAACAACTAAACAAAGAGCAGGGTGAGCAGGACGACCAGGAGGAGGAGCAACAGCAGCAACAGCAGCAGCAGCATCACGAAGTCCTGCTGCCCATAGTCAAGGGCACGGATCAGGATGCGGAACCCGAGCTGGACATTGTGATCAACAATGTGGTCTGCTCGTTCAGCGTGCGCTGCCATCTCAAGCTGCGCGAAATTGCGCTCAATGGCTCCAATGTGGAGTACAGGCGCGAGAATGGCATGGTCACGATGAAGCTGCGTCGTCCTTATACGACGGCATCGATTTGGTCATCGGGCAGGATCACGTGTACGGGTGCCACCTCCGAGTTGCAGGTACGTTGCAGTAACGTGCGAATCTCATCTCATATTTTTGTTGTCAATTTTATAATTGTTGTAATCATTGCAGGCGAAGATCGCCGCCCGTCGCTATGCGCGCTGTTTGGGCAAGTTGGGATTTCCGACGCACTTCCAGCATTTTCGCATCGTCAATGTGCTGGGCACGTGCAGCATGCCCTGGGCAATCAAAATAGTTAATTTCTCGGAGCGACATCGCGACAATGCCAGCTATGAGCCCGAGCTGCATCCGGGCGTCACGTACAAGATGCGCGAGCCAAAGGCCACGCTCAAAATCTTCTCCACGGGCAGCATAACGGTAACAGGTGAGTCTGTCCACTAATCACCCATACACCCCCCTCATGCCACACATAAATACAATGATAGATCCATGCAACAAATGTGAAGATTGAGATTCATTCAGATTGATTCTTTTTATGTTCTATATTTATATGTTTAGCGCCCACCGTTAATGACGTGGAATCCGCCATACAACACATTTATCCTTTGGTGCATGAGTTCCGGAAGCAACGTTCCGCCGAGGAGCTGCAGCATCTTCGACAGAAGCAGCGCAACCAGACCGGCGAGGAGTCCAATGAGGACTCTTTGTTGGTTAACAACAGCGCCGGCCAAACAACAAACGCCAATCGCCCGCTCGGCGCTGGCGCTGGCGCTGGCTCCAACATTCTGACCAGTGCGCCCATCAATACAATGCGCCGCCTGGAACAGGCCACACAGTACAATGAAATGCTCGAGCAGACGCAAGCGAATCGCCGTCACATACCCTTCACCGGTGATCACAACCAGCACACCAAAGGCAACAACAACACTACCACTGCAAACAACATCAGCAGCAGCAGCAACTGCAACAGCAGCAGCAGCAACAACAACAACAACAGTAGCAGCAGCAACAACACTATCAACACCGGCGACAACATTTGTGCCAATGCTCGACGCCGCGCCACCGAATGCTGGGCAACCAAGCTGCAAAATAAACGTCCGCGCTACAATGATCCGGGCGTCACGGCGGGGACAACAAATGTTGGTGGCGGCATAACGGTGGCACGCACCACCAGCACCAGCACCACCAATCCCCCCGCCACCGCCGCCGCTGGCATCTTCAGCGGCAATAATGGTGCTGCTGCTGCTGCTGCTGTTGTTGTTAACAAGCCGAATACACAAACAAACAGCAAGCCGCTGATTCCTGTCGATGTCGTACTCAAGAATAGCAGCTCGCGAGCGCGCAACGCGGCTGCCGTGGTGGCAAGCAGCAACAGCAACATGACAATGGCAACAACAATAATAGCAACAACAACAACAACACGACAACAAATAATTGCCGATGATGTGTGTGGCACGCGAACGCACACATTTTCGCCAACCGATTTCGAAGTGGACGATCTAATCGAGGAGGATGACGACGACGACATGAGCATCCAATTTTGAAAGCATTCGATTTGATTCGACTCGATTTGATTCGATCTGATTTGATTCGATTTGATTCGATTTGATTCGATTTGATTCGATTTGATTTGATGCCTGCGAGAGCGAACTGAATTTGTTAAAACAAAACGTTGCCTATGCCAAATTTATGAAGAGCTTAAAAGCTAACAACACAGCAAACACACACACACACACACACACACACAGAGAGAAGAAATGCAAACAAACAAAACAAACAAAGAAATGCATGCAATGTTCATTCTTTTATGTGCTCTTTAACGCATTTAACATAAGAAGCTTACACGTTATTCAAACTGACCACAGAAAAACATTAAACAAAAACAAGAAGCAGCAGTTGATGACGGCGAGTTCAAAATCCAAATCAAATATTTTCTATATATATATATGTATGTACGTATATACATATATAAATTAACAACAACAAAAGAAAAAGAAAACAACAAGAGCCAAATATTTACATTTAAGGTGAGTTTTACAGCATTTGATTTGTATTATGTACATATGTGTGTTATATATATATATATATATATGTATATATATATACATACATCAATTTACATATAAATATGTACAGCTATGTATAGCAAGGCTGTAATCAACATGCATGTGTACATCATATAAAATAGCTTTTTTTTCAATCGATTTTTTTTTTCTTTTTTAATTACAGATTATATTTAGAAGGAGATAGAGAGAGCGAGAGAGAGAGAGAGAGAGGGAGAGTGAAAGAGAGGGAGAGCAAGAGCAAGAGCAATGTACGTAGTTGATGTACAGGAAACTGCAGTCACCTCATTTAAGTTGATCAGCTTTTTCGAAATGGTATAAATATATAATTTACCATATGCATATTCATATAAAGACTAACTGCAACATATATCAGCCATTATGTGCGCTACACACACACACACACACATACGTATAAATAAATATATATCATTTACATATACGTATCAAAAGCTTCAATAACTGCAGCCAGAGCGCCCAGTACTCCTCCTATGGAATGCGCGCAAACTGGAGCATAAATAACTGTGACTCGCATGTGCACACACACACACACAAACACACAGCAATCTTCATCGATATGAAAGTCTATCGAATGTGCATATGCAACTACGTATGTATGTGTACATATGTATGTGAGGAAACCACCGCCCAATAATAAATACCGTTACCACACTAAAACTTTGGAATCACTTTGGTCACATGTTTTATTTACTTTTAGTTTACCGTCTTGTTAAATATTTTGACATTTGCTGTACGACAGTTACACAGTTACACCGTTACACCGTTATATTTAACAAATTTAGCAAATGTAGTTCGGCGCCGACCTCATATTTTTGTAGCCGCCATTGCGCAATGCAAATCCCGACAAAAACACATTTTTTTTTTTGTTTTTTTTTTTTTTAAATGTATTCTTCACTCATGGATTTTTTGATTTAATGATGACAACACAACACCTACGTGTACTAAATATGTACAATAAAATGGTACTAGACAGACAGCATTGGGCTGAACTTAAATGTACTGCATTATTATTATTATTATTATTATTATTATTATTATTATTATTATTATTATTATTATTATTATTAATATTAATATTATTATTATGATTATTTAAATGGAATTGTCATCAAATTTTGTTTGTTAATAACTAATTTAAGTGCTTCTTGAAACATTCAGAATCAATCAATTATTTTTAGATACATACATACTACACTTATATCTGGTCACTTGTAAACCAATAACAAAAAATATGAAAAATATGCTAAAAACCAATTTACATATACACAACATTATTCATAAAATTTATAGTTTATACATTGCATATGAAACAGAAACAAACAAAATGCAGATATGCAAATCATGATTTGCATCGTATCCTTCACATAAAGCAATCTAACAAAATTCTTTAGGTTTTAGTTTTTATTTTTTTTCATAATTTGTAAGTATATTAAAACTTGTTCCTGTGTTTTTAAAATGTAGAAAATCAAAGAGAAAACAACAAAAATCAGTTCTTATTGAACCGAACAGCGCATTCACGACTCACTCACACAATCGCAAAAAGTTTGAATAATGAGCAACAGCAAAATCATAAGCAATAAACTAGATACATACATACATATACACATACATACATACATACATACATGCATACATATGTAAAGTAAAATGTAATCAAGAACGTAATCATCTGAAATGTAAAGCAAGCAAAGCATTAAAACGATAACTGAAAACAGATAGCCAAAAGCGAATAATGCGTACAGACATATATCTATATATATAAGTATATATATATACATGTTTATATATATATATATGTATTTATATAAGCATTTAAATGTGTACGAATAATGAAATACAATAAAAAGGCAATTGAAAATGTAAAGAAAGTGATTTGGTCGCTGTCAATAATTCTCTTTGCCGCCTTAAATACTCGCGCCACACGCTAAACAGAAAGTGAATACAATGAGTAGGAGATGAGTGCACTTGTACACCCATACACACATACATACACACATACATACACACATACATACACACATACACACATACATACATATACATACATACAGATGTACATTTGGAAGTGCAAATGTTTGTATTTGGCGTGCCTTGTCACTTTGGTTCATAGGCGCCCCGCTACCAAAAACAGTGTCCCTCTTTTATCATGTAAATCATGTAGCAAATTGTACAATCACTAAAACTAAACAAAAAAAAAAACAAATAGTAAAAAGAGAAAAGTTTAAAATCGAAACGTCACTTTTATGCCATACAATTTAATTAACATTTACGAAAGCTTCGTCTTAGCAGCAAATAAAACAAACTCCAAAACGTTCAATATATTTAATTTTTACATACACACATACATATATCTATATAAATACAAAGATATAGATTGCGCTTAATTCGATTTCGAAAGTTAAACAAATTCGAATATTCGAACTAAAGTTGAAACTGGCCCAAGTCTGATATGTTTGTGTGTATTTTCCATCATAGCATTAGAAAAAAAGAAACTTAAACAAAAACAACATATTTTTTTTTACCAATTTTGGTATGTTCAGATTTTAATGCTTAACAAATTGAATGACGATTGAACAGCAAGAATCAATTTCCCATTATGAGGATGGGGCTCAGGGAAGTGTGTATGTATGTGTGCATCTACAAGGAAACTACGACTTGATCGACTTTATTCAAAATACAAATTTCAATTTAAAGATTTTTTTTTTTTTTTAAATATTTGCATTAAATCACATTTAAAATTTGGAGAGTCGTCAACTCTGCTTTAACTTTGGTTCTTTTTTTTCTGTATTTTCTTGTAGGATCGTATTTCATAATACATCCAATATTTGATCTACTGCGTCTACTGCGTCTACTGCGTCAATTGTGAGAGTTTATATTGTAGACTCCTGCAGGACTCCTGCAACACATTAGACACGATTTACACGAACTACAACTGCAATTTACAACCATTTACAAGTAACATTGAAGCACATAAAGCAATCATTTCCTTACGTATTAAACACATACATATATATGTATATATATATATATAACCTGAGAATGTTGAATAGATATGTCTCTTGTCTGTCGCTCGTCGTCTTGAATGATCAATTGTAAGAACATATAAAAATTGAATGAATTTGAATTTGAATGAAAAAAAACTCGCTTAAATAATTAATTGCTTGACTGCAAGCGACTCAGATTGTTGCATTCCGAAATTTAGCTTGAATTTCTTGTTGCTTTCTTTTTTACAACCTATCTGTAAATCAGCAATTCGTTTATTAATGCATAACTACAACAAAAAAAAATAAATAAAAGAAATAATAATACAAATAACTATACTTACATACATACATACATACGTTTATTGTTTAAGTCGGCGATGTTATCAATAATTGAACCGAACGTGTTTATTTGAATAAGTATTTATAACGGTTTTGTTAGACAATTACACACAGACATGCATACATTCACAGACACATACACATACACATACACACACATATACACATACATATATATTTTTTAAACAACAACAAATTGCCTTTAGGGAACAAATGAAAGTGGGAAATGAAGCAGTCAAACTAAAATATATATTTTTTGTGTGAATGCCAACTAGAGAAGGACGAAGAAATAAATGAGTTCTAAGCTTAAGGATAAAGTAACAAAAATTGAATATTAAACGTAAGCCAAAACACGCAATCTAAGTAAATAAAACATTAAAAAAAAAAACAAAAACAAAATAACATGAAGACAACAACATTTTGTACATACAACATAACTGTTAAAAAACAAAAAACAAAAAAAAAAACGAAAAGAAAAAAAAAACAAAATAAGAAAGTAATGATGAGAAACCATTTAAAAATGAACACATATTAACATTTATGTACATGCTACAAAAGAGGGGGGATGTAAAAATAATTAGTTGAGATTCTTAAAGTAAAATTCACTTCCAACTGCCTTCAAAAAATTTATTCAAATTTCAAAATAAATAAAACGAAAGAGAACTAACACAAAATTATATACATTCAAATATACAAGCTTAAATTTTAAAATGCCAGCAACAATTGCTAAAGCAAAACTAATTCTAAATTAAGCCCAGCAGTCGGACGGTACCGACTGAATAATACCCTGCGACCAGGGTATTTAACAGCTGAACTGAACTGAACACAGGCCAGCCGGGTTGTGGGTGGTGGGCGGTTGTTCGTGTGGGGGCGTGTGGATGCCGCACAGTACAGTCTATCAGTGCAACATGCGACATGATTGAAGCTAAGATTTGTTGAGGTGGTGGGCGTGGCCGCAATAGTCAGCCACGCCCACACTGCACACATACACATACCAATTAAACCCCACTCTGCCTACGGGTATCAAAGGAAAAACCATTCAGAATACCCACTGCAAGGGTGTCAATAATAATAATAATAATAATAATAATATTAATAATAATAATATTAATAATAATAATAATATATTTTATATTAATACATGATTCTCAAATAACTGGTAATTGATTTGACAAATAGTTGAGATATGATTTATATTGTTTTGAGAACAACAACAGCAACAGCAACAACACCAACAACAGCAACACCAACAGCAACAACAACAAGCAGCAAGCAAACACCTAAATATAAGTGTATTTGGTTTCATAAACTTTAAAAGCAAAAGTATAAATATTTAAATAGTATACACATACATATATTTTTTATCATTATGTATCTAAAAAATCAAATAGCATAATTATGTTTTTGTTTTGCCGTAAAGACTGCATTATACCAACAATTAATTATATAAATATTTATATGCAAAAAGTATGAAAAACAGAGCTACAAAATGTATAAAAAAACAAAAAACAAAAACACTAAATTAGGCGTTACGTAAACAATTAAAAACTAAATAACAACAAACCAACAAAAAGCAACTTTTACTTATTAGCACTTAAGATGTACAATTATTTATGTTAATGCAAATACCAAGAGCAACGTTAAGTGTTTTAATTAAACAAACAAATAATAATAAAACGAAAACAAAGTTATACAATTTACAATAAAATGGCCTGCAGTAATTACGATAAGCATGATGAAAATGACCTTACCAAAATGCCCATTGGAAAAAACATTAAAATAAACAGAAATATACAAAATAAAATGAGAAGAAGAAGAACCACACAATAAGTATAAGAAACGTAAATTGAACATAATTAAAGCTGTTTGATGAGAAAAGCAAAACAAGAGAAGTTATTTATTCAAGAATTAATTATAGTTTTTAGCATACTGCCCTCCTCCCCGCAAGAAAAACGAAAGAGAAACATTAAACTAAGCAAATGAGTTGCTAGAGATAAACACTATTAGTTAGTACATGCGTATATGATAAGTATGTATGTATATGTGCATATAATAAATTATATATATATATATATATATATATATATATATATATATATACACCATGTAGCAATTCGTTTAGTTAATTGCCTCTGTCGCTGGACAGCAATATTATTCAATGAAAGTCGAGAGATGGACAAGTTTGTGCTGCAACAACATAAATATGTATGTACTATATCAAAACAACAACAATTACTTATTTAAACAACTTATATACAATACATATACATATACATGCGTACACATATATTGAAAAGAACGAAAGAAAGAATGAAGAAAAAACAAACAAACAACACAAAATGAAGGAAACCAAACTCATTTATATATTTAGTTTAAAATTAGCGTCTAGTTTCATGAATGACTTCAAAAGTAAGCAAATTAAATGTCAACAAAACAAAAACAAATACAAAAACAACAAAAAAAAGTATACAGTACAGAACAACTGCCTTAGTTGCAGTCAACTCAAAATAAATACAACAAAACCAAATGAACGCAAATTGTTTGAATAAAAATCGATTCACTTAAAGGACTCACATTCATTTTTAGATTATTAGCCAATGTCTTCTGCAGGCTGACGTCAAGTCTTATCCCAGAAAATATGTCGCGTCATTTTATCGATCAAATGAAAATAAAGTTATCTTGAACATACTTTTTCCCCTTGGGATCGCAACAAACGAAGAAGAATATCGGAAACTGAACTCATTTTATGCAATTTATTTTTAATTTAATTTGATTATATTAAAACGATTTTTGCAAATGTCTGCAGGCTTGAAAATAAGCCAAAGGAAGAGTGTACTTTAACCTAAGATAGAAAAGTGAAATCAATGAATAAAGTCCGATGACCGAGCAAATAACATATTTTAAAGCATACTTTTAGGCTGAATAATAAAATCCATCGTAAATAGAGATTTATTGCATACATCTAGGATGATGAAGTGAGAATTGCTGTTCAGATGATTCCTCGAATCACTAGTCCAAAAAGTCCTTGAAATGGGCAAGCAAAGATCGATTTTGTACTTCTCATTGCATAGAATCGCAAGGACCAACTCTAGCGAGCTGCATTCAAGGATTATGGGATCATCTAAGAGCCGAAACATTTGTAAAAATTTCATTCGTCAGGACAAACCGAAATCAGCCGAAATCAAAAATTCTCGATTCTCGGAAACTACAAGGATAACGAGGATGTCCTTTTGTCAGTTCGTAGTCTTGATCAAAACACATTTTTTGACACAGGACTCGCCAGGAAACGTAAGGATATGGTCGAGCCATGAGCAATTTTCCTTTTTATAATCCCAATATTTCAGCTGTTGGAAAGATTTCGTACTTTTTTCCCCTTTACACCAAGGACTATCTGTGGTCCAAGGGGCATTTTCCTGTTTACAAAAGTAGCTCCCACTTCCCAAAGAAAAAACACATTACTTGTAGGTGTACCATTTTCTCCGGTTTTGTTTTCTTTATTGTACATATATACATTATGCACTTTTGATATATTCAACGTTTATATATTTGTATATATATAGTATGAAACAATACAATAATTTCGCTTAATTATGTTGATTTCTTTTTAATTGGCATTACTTTAAACATTAAATATATATATATTGTATCAAGTATAGTTTGGAATTGGGTTTCAATCAAAAGGTATATAAATAGTACCCAATTATCTTGTTTCCTGTTGGTTCATAATTTCATCGATTCTTTTTTTTTTTTAAGCCGCAATGGCAAATGCGGATTTTCAAATAAGAATATAATGTGTATATGTAGCTTTATTTATACGTGCTTCTGTCTTTTTAATAGCATTTGTTCAAGTTGCTTTTATATCGCAGCGATAATTTAGTCGTAGGATGAGAAGAATAGGCATTTTTTCAGCATAATGACCAATTTCTTTACCATACTTATTATATGAAAATTGTGTGTGGGCCATTGACGATGATGCATTGATGTTTTGTCTGCTTTTGTAATTAGAAAATCTCTTTGCTGGGCGTCGATACACCCTGCGGCTGTTCATAGTCTGATGCGGCCGTTTTGTGCATCCGCTTCTCTTTATGCTGCGACTTTTCTTTTTTATGCTTCTTCCTGTGGGCCTTAATGATAGCCGGCTCGGCTTCCGGCTCTGCACTCGCATTGTCACCCACATCGATAATGTTTGTGCAGGTTGTTGTTGTTGTTTTTGGAGCATCATCAATCAATTGTTTGCTTGATTTGTGCGCAGCCTTCTCGCTCTTCTCTCGCTTCTTCTTTTTATGCTGACTGTGAGCCGTATCGGAGAGGATAATGTTGTTGTTGTTACTGCTGCCGCCATTGTCTGTTGAAGCCCGGTAGGGGCTACCTTCCGTATCGATCAAATTGGGCACTGCTTGCTCCTTACTCGTTTTACGGTCGGCGCGTCTCTTTTCCTTGGATTTCTTCTCCTTTTTACCAGCGACGGCGTCGGTGCCCTTTGAACTGGACGTGCCAGCTTGCGTTGGCGCCTTGAGATTTTCTTTGTTGGGGCTGATCGATACCGAACCCTTGGATACCTTCGCGGGTGTTTCAAACATGGAGCTATCGATATTGAAAAGTCTTAGTTAATATTGTTAGCTCGTCAAAGGCAGAAATAATACTCACATGTCTAGCTCAATATCAAGCGCACGGTGTGGATCATTTGGATCGTATTTTCCGTCCTTATCCTCGCTGTCAGACAGTGTAACACCCTCAGGCATGTCCAGCGTTGTGTTAACAAGATGCAGCGGTTTTGGTTCTATGAGTCGAATATTAATGCGAATGATTTTAAGTTCTGATTTCATTGCTTACCCGCCTCCGACTCGGAGCTGCTGTTGTAGGCCACTTTGTTTTTTGATTTTTTGCTCTTTTTACCCTTTTTATGCTTTCTCTTAGCATCTTTACTGCTGAGCGACGTTGTCGCTTGCAGTGTCTGTAGATATTTGTCCGATCGCTTCGTAACTGCAAAATGTAGCAAATGAATTAGTAATGCAAGTAGTTCACCATAATTTCTATATACTTACTGCCCACCCGCAATGCGACGACTCCTTCAATGTCCAGTGGTATCTCTGTTATGGGAATATCATCGATATTGTCATATTGATCCGCATTTGAGTTATTGCTGCTGATGCCGATGGCAATGGACGAAGAGATTGGCGTTGATTTAAGATAGTGTGGATTGTTCGACTGCTCGATAAGACGAGCCACGCGCTGACGCTCCATTTGTTCTGGTGTCAGCTCTAGACTTTTGCGTCGCTTGGCGCCCGCATGAACGCCGCCGGCAGCATCGTTGCCATCATGAGTTGAGCTCACAAACAACTCATCCTTATCGTGATCGGAGGAAGAGCTACTCGCGTCCTCAGGTGGCGGCTCATTGATCCACTCATCCAAATCCAGGCCATTCGGCAGCGGCACCTTGCGCTGTGCCTTGGGCGCAACGGGTATCAGCTCGCCGGCAAACAGTAGCGCCATTTCCTGAACAATCTCAATTGCTAACGTTGGTATGGCTCCCGTCGTCGCGGTCTCATCAGACGCAGTCAATTGCTTGCGCAGCATCTCGATTAGCATGCACGCCGAGTTGGCACGCTCCTGGACTTCAATGTCGTTGGAGCCATTGAAGTGGTGCAGTTTCTCCAGGACGTGATCGCACAGCTGTCAATCAAGATAAGGACAAAACAAACAAAATAGTATGCTTTAGCATGGATCAAATGGGATGGATGGGTGCCAACTAAAACTTCTCTCTAAACTGTAAAGTTTTCGATTACATACATATGACTAATGTCAGGGTCGATACCAAGTTAAATTAAAATTCTTTTTGAAAAAGGAACTAACCTATATATAATTAATCTAAACAGTATACCCTTGAATATAAAAACGAAATATAAATTTATATGTCCTTCTCCTCGTAAGCAAATCTCTCACTTCTTAAGCTTAATTAACTTCCTGACCGACCGAGAGATTTCGCTTTCTGCCTGCACAATTTGCTGATACCCTTCTTAGCCATTTCTATTGATCACAGGCTGTGCAAATGTTTGATGTGAAATAGCTTGGTGACTTACACACACGATGCCGGACATATTCTGTTGCTCGAGACAGGTGGTAGCAAGGCGAGCAAAGAGCTTGATGACATTCTGCACATAGACACCCTGGATGTGGCCGGGCAGTTGTCGAGGTCGCATCAGTATGTTTAGGGTCTTTTCGGCATCTGCTAGTTCGCTGGAGAATTCGCCGACAATCCAAGCGGCTGCATAGAGCACTTCGTACATGGAGTTGCTTTGCGTCGAGACGGCGAACGTGTCTAGCAGATTGGTCATCTCGATGACGGCAAACTGACGTACCACCGGAACACGAATGGCCACGTCGAGCAGTTGCTCGGCAATCAGGCAGCCGTGCTTGGAGCCAGCCTCTAATTGGATTAGCTCGACTAGCACGGTCATGTACCATTCAAAATTGGTCACATACAAATAGGAACTCTGCGCACATATCTCAATCACTTTGAAGAGCAGCTCATCCCGATACGCTGAGCCCTCGGCGCGCTCCATGTGGCCGAGCAGGCGTTTCACAATCTCCATCAGATTCTTTTTAGACACCATGCCATACAGCAGATCCAAGGCACGCAATCGTATTGACTCGTCCTTGTCGTCCAGACAAGCCAATATTAGATCCTTGTGCGTCTGCACACTTTTCGGATGCGTTTTCAGTATCTTCGACATGGCCAGTAGCCCCAAGTATTTGACTTTATAAAACAGAATAGAGAAAGTGAAGAACGAACATAAATGATGTGTGTGAAAGATCGAAAGGAATTAAGGACAGCTTTGTTGGAGATGCGCAATGGATATTTGATATGATTAGCTGTACTTACGATTCTGATCGGAGTCCTCGATAAGGATGCGCAGCTTCTGTACGCACAGCTGTATGGAGGCACTGTGGTTGGGCATACCGCTGCTGATACTGATCAGGACCGCGATCACCGTGTTAATGCACTCGTAGAGGAGGCTCATTGCAGATGTGCTGTTTGGGTTGGACGGTTGGACACGGGTTGGTGGGTTAGGGTGGCAGTATATCAAAGAGTTCAGTTCGATTAAAGCGGCCCAAAGAAAGCAAACGAAACAAACAACGATAGCAACAGCAAAAACAATAATAATAATTATATATTATATACAATTCTACTTGCGTAATAACATTGTGTATACAATACAGATTTCAGTTATAAATACATATACAAATATATATATATATATATTTATATATATATATATATATACAAATATATATATATATATTTATATATATATATATATATATACATAAACTATTAACAAAATTCAATAGAAAAACAAAACAAAAAACTTGAAAGTTCTTAATGTTTGTGCTCGGAAATAAGCAATCAGCGCAAGAGAGAGAGAGAGAGAGAGAGAGAGAAAGATAGAGAGAGAGAGAGAGGGAGAGAGAGGGGGAGAGAGCAAGAGCGAGAGTGCAATTACAACTAAATACAATAAAGAGGCGTAACAAGCATTAAAGTTGGCTCTTATACCCTTGCAGAGGGTATTTTCATTTTGACGTGTAGCGTGTAACACATTTAAGTAGATACAACTCCGACCCCGTAACATATATGTATATATATATGTACATATATATATATATATATATATATATATATATATGTATACATTCTTGTGGCACATATCCGTCGTGGTATCCGCCGAATCGGACGACTTTATCATATAGTTCGTATAAAAACAATTTGTAATTTTAAATCAAGAACGAAACTTAGATGTGAGCAGTTGGACTACGGTCTGCAAGGGTATCAAATCTTCGGCGTGCCTAAGATAGCATCTTTATTTTTGTATTAATTTATATACTTAATGGATCAGCTTTCAATTATCAGAAGCTGAGAGCGAATTTCCATCGTTTTCAATTTTTTTGTTGTTGTTTTAAATGATAAAAACTTGCCTATGAATTAGATTTGTGAGTGGCTCTATTAATTTCTTTCCTAGCCGGGGTTCTAAGGGAGTTAAAGCGCCAAACTGCAAATATGCAAAGAGAAAAAGAAACAAGCATCAAATTATACCACATAATACATAAATCTGTTAATTAAACACTTTTTTAAACATAACTGAAAACAATTAAGAAAATTAAGTATGTTCTAGTCGAGAGTGCCCGACTTAATGCAAATATCATGTACCCATTCAATCATTGTAGATACACATATTTGATTAATGAGTACTGGGTAAAAAGAGTAAAATCAAATCAAACATTGTAAATGACAACGTAATTTGTAAATGAAATACATTTGCTTATGCGACAACTGTAGCATAAACATACGAGCATACAAGGGACGAGGGTTACTCCTAACATGGTGCGCTGTCTTTTGACGATTACACAAAACACAGCAAATCAAGATATAACCTATAAGGTATATATATTCTTTATCAACATCAACTAGTAGAGTCGTCTGTCTGTCTACATATCTATAAGTTCCATATCAACAAGAAAACCCTTCGGTTTTCAAAATAACATAAGTGTTCAAATAATTATATTCATACAGTCGCTTACAGCTTATTTGACATAACTTTTGAACGAAAACGATATTGACAAAGTTCAAACACCGTTAGATTTGTTACTTAATCCTTAAACTTCACAAAAATCACCATGATTTTTATTTTTAGACTAAATTGACGAAAAAAATGGACCAATTTAATGTCACAACTCATTGGACACAGTTTATAAAATGATAAAATGATTTAAACTTAATTTAAGCACATTTCGAATATTCCCCTTTCCATCTAGAACTGTACGATGAACCGAGGCCAACAATTTTTTTTTGGCAATATCCTCAAAAAGATCACTCTTGAGATCATTTTTGTTATTAAATGAATAAAAAATAAGTAACAAAAATGTATGTTTTTATCCGGATTTGTGTGTGGTGTAGTCAGTGAATACAGTGACATGTCTGTATTTAAATATGTAAATAGGAGATAAATATTTACCCACATATGTATGTAAATACTATGAAAATACAATTTTGAAGCCTATATACACTAATACACACATCTAATATCTAAAATCATTTACGAAAAACTTGTATTACGATCGGAGAATTTCTCATCGAATGCTGCTCGGGGAAGACTACATACGTGTGTTTTCTGTATTAAAATATGTACACATTAAGTAACTACGAATGCATTTTAGTGCTGGGAACAGGATATGTATGTCCTAGTTGGGCACTCTTATTACTTTCATTCGTCATTCTTGCTTTCGTTGAGAATAATCGCTATTATAAATTGGAAAACAAACGAAAATTTGAAAACCTAATTCAGTTACTTGAGGGTTTTTATGTTCGCCAATTAAACCGATACGAAAGAAGCTTCAATGATTTCTATATTTGCTTTATTTCGTCTGCATTTTGCCAATGAGTTTTCGAGATTTATTGTTTCTTTCATTTAATTTTGTTAAATCTCAGCTGTCAAAATACACACACACACACACACACACACATAGAAAGTAAGCAGCATTTCTGTGACAAATGTCTATCAGCAAGATAAACATATTTGTTAACAACAAATCATGTGCAATAACAACATTTACAGTTGATATTGAAATTGTTTGTAAAATTTATGCATTTGAATACAATAAATTGCCATTGAGTGGGCTCAAATCGTGTGGGAATGGTACTGTGAATTGTGACTATGAGCGATTAAATTCAATCTAGCAAATATCAAATTAAAAGACAACTTTCAGAAGTTGCAGAAGTAAACGAAACATGAAATTCAACTAAATTGCAAAGAGAAAATGCTTATAAACAAATTATAGCCAAGCGCGCGCGTGCTGTTTTTTTTTTTTTTTGTTTTTTGTATAAATAAATTTATTTGATATGGCTTCTTGCTTCAATAAGTAAGCGCGCCGATAAAAACCTGGAAATAATTTCAATTAGGGGCTGAGTCAGTTTACGTCCCAGCGCCGGTTCAATTGTTGTAAGGCTCGCGAACTGTTATTCGTTTGTATTTATTTTGTTTGGTTTTCGTTTATATTTTTGGTTGGGCAGGTAAGGGAAGTGGAGGAGTAGGAGTTGTGTTAATTAACTTTATGATAGACAAATATTCAGTTCGTAACAAATTTGTACAGCAACAAAAAGAATTTTATCGGAACCAAAAATAAAAATTGAAAATTAGTTCATATTTGCGGCACTGCAAACACTCACCAGTTTGATTATTTTAATAAGCATCCAATTGTTAGTCGATGTTGTCATCAGTTTAAAGAATACTGGTGCCAAGGGTAGATAATTTTTTGGATTCTTACGTGCTAGCTCACAAATCACATTGACAGCAGCCGATTGTACACCTACAATAATACATGCATGTGATATTAGATATCATGAGATGCAGGATGCTACGAACGCACCTGGATCCGGATCCTCGAGTTTCTCTTTAAGCTTGGGGAACGCAGGTCGCAGTGCTTCAGGGTAACGTAAAAATACCTTATACATCATTAGAACAGCCTTCATTCGCAGATACGGTTTGGTCGAGCTCATCTATGAGAGAAACAAGCAATTGTAGCTAATTGTAGTCGATCTATACATATTTATCTATAAAGACAATCAGACGAACCAGTGTCATAATATCATTGGCCAGGTCACGTGACAAATCTGGCGATATAAAGCAACTAAGGCCGCTTAGCGCCACACCGGCATCGTATTGATTCTGTGAGTTGAGGTCCTTCCGTATCATGTTCGTGGTTAGCATAAGCAACTGCAATTACAAAAAGATTAGTACGATCTAATTAATGAGTAGAATGGATTGATAGTGTCATTACCTCGCTATCCGGATGAAAGCATTGACTGGCAGCCAGGTAACCAATTCGCTTGCATGTAAAGCGCGATGAGCTCATCACCTCAATGATGTTAAAACCTGCCCATGAGATGTCATATCCGAGCATTTGTATCTAACAAAAAGGTAGCCATAAATATATGTATGCAAATATACATACATGCGAATATTTCAATAAGTGATTTAATAGAGATAATATACGCCCGATGCAAATGTCAATTAAACAGGGGCTAGTAATAGTAGCTAGTAGTTGCATGGCCACGACTGATGCTGTTGGCTTAAGGCATATGTTGGCTTTTGGACTTACATAGGTGAGCTTTGCCACCGCATTGCACTTGACGCTGACATTGTCCTGACGCAGCTCCTGCTTAATTTCCTCTATGCATTGCGATATGTATTTGGCCTGTACAGTGCAAAAAGAAATAAAAGACAATTAGTAATTGAACAATGAAAAACAATTATTTTAGGCACACCAAGGAATGCATACCCTTGCACCACCTATTCACATATACATTTTATTATAAATTGGAAATACCAAACCGATGGGAGCTATAAGATATGTATGTATGTTCCCAGTTTCATAAAGATATACACAGACAGATGAAGAGACAGGTATATCGACTCGGCTAGTGATGCTCATTAAGGCGTTACACATTTCACGACAAAATTATAATACGCCTTTCTGCAAGAGTGTATAAAGCACTGAAAGTTGCATGTGCATGATTGCGTGTGTCTTTGTGTATAATGTTTTTTTTTTAACTACGTAGATATTTCATGGCCAGCTTGCATGGCCCAATTGATAGACCCCATGTATACCGTGTACTATGTGCACGATGGAGCAAGAATGAAAGTGTCAGAGTCAGACACATCAGTTGGGTTATCAGAGTTCTGATGAACCCAGGTTCAGTTGCAGCAGGAAGATTTAAATTGTGCGTATGTCCGCATGGGTGATGGGTAGCTGTGGAAAAAGCCAGCTAAAATGTATGAAGAAAGTTTGGCTTTGCACAGACAGCGCGTTTATGTTTGTATGATTTTTATGGGTGTGTTGGTGTATGTGTGATATGCCACATCAGGAAAATCAGCTAAATGCTAAAGAGACAGACAGATAGAGAGAGACGTAGTCAGAATTTGCGAATTATCGCTAATTGCATCAAACTTTTGAGCCTTGCGTAGATGACTGATGCTGACACACACACACACACGCATACACCCACCCACACACACACGCACACTTATCTCAATACACGAAAGCTAATTCAATTTGGCAGCTAATTAACAAGCTGCTAGGAGACCACGATAACAACAACTATTGAACTTGCCTCATTATCCTTGTTATTTCGTATGCCGCGCACCAGGTCCGTCAAGTTTTTATCAAACATGCGCTCGAAATTTCCCTTCACTTTTTTTAACGCCATTTCGTTGACGTCGACGTTGCGATTGATGCGTGCGCTGATTTTCTATCCTGCAGTTGTTGTTGTCGCTTGCACAGCAGCAATATGGACACTTCAAATTCAATAATAACAAAAAAAAAACACGAATTCAGCACCCAGAGCAAGAGATTACTAATTTGTATATGTATCAGTAACAGCAGCGCCGGCAGCGTCAGCTTTTCTCTTTTCGTTCTTTTGATTTCGCACTTGCAAAATGACAATGCTCAGAAAGTTGAGGCTTGTCCAAACCGTTGTCGATTTTGATAAGATGCTGAACTTTTAATCGCTAATCCGACTTCAGTTTTTGTCTTCAACAAACGATTTGTTTCAGATTGGATTTAAGTGTTACTTCTTGCAATTGATTTTTTTGTGTGTGGCTCTTTTACAAGTTTGTTGTGCTATTTGTTTATCGCCCAGCAAAAAAAAATTAAGCCGATAACGTATTATCGAACTATCGATAGAATATTTTACATATAACGGATATCGATGTTACAAATAACTGAACGATATTTTGATAATGCAGCCATTCTGAGCTGTAAAACGAAATTTTGTCCCTAATGAGGCTTTAAACAATAATAACGATCCCAACGAAAGATATCACATAAATTAGATTTAACTAATTTATGTTTTGTATTTACGGTGAAAATATGTTTAAGGTTAAATCGAAAATGTATAACCATATTTATTTAGAACTCGCGGACTTGCTTTAACTATGTAGAACATTTCAAACCATTCAATTCATGCAATAAATTCAATTGGTTCATTCATTAGCTTAAGAATTAAAAAAAAAAACATTAAACTTGTTTTCGTTAGTTAATTAACAAAATGTAAATACCACTTATGATTTATATTAAATATTTAACTGATTAATGAAATTTTCGAGATGTGTAGAATATTCTTGTTGAATACAGTTATACAAATGGCTTAATACTTTTGGCACGGTCAGCGGTGCAAACAAAAAAAAAACACAATAAAAAAGCACTTGTGTGCTTCCTCAAATTTGGCAGGTAGCTTGCGTGAAGTCACCATTTTAGCTAATTATTTACTTTATCTATCTTAATATACACTGAAAGAAACGCATTTACCTATTGAATATCGCAGCAGTTGGGCGCCATTCGTGTAACCCAAGTACTGCGAGTTACACCGATTGATTTGTTGCTGTTATTATTATTATTAATGCTGTCCTTGTTACTGGGAAACAGCGCTTGAATGTGAGTATCATCATGTTGCAATTCTCCTCTAATCCGCTAGTCACACGATGATATTTGACCGGGAACTAAAGCACTAATTTGATTTGTTGCTTGCGGATAGATACTGTGGCGAACTCCCGAAAGAGATCTGGATGTGCCAAAAACATTGCTCATTCGCCAGTGTTCAAATGTTAGCGGCTTGCTCAAGTTTGTGTCGCGTTTCTTGTAATATTCGTTGAAATCCAAACGGGTGCCGAACAGCTGCAAATTGGGATCGTTGCTGGAGTTGAGCGCCAGTAGAAAGTCTCCCACTGCTTTCCCATATGAAGCGGCAATGATCTCAAGAGCTCGATAGGAGGCTACAAGTCTCTGTTCGAATATCTTGAGCTCCTCATCCCGTTCCATTTTTTGTTCCGTGGTCAACCCGTAGCGTCCAGTCTGTTCAGAATCGGCAATCGCTTCAGCCATTAATTGGCGTGCGGCCAATTCATTAAAACAGATTTGGTAAAAATTCGATTGCCAATTGTCCAGGAGTATAATATTTTCGTACACCACTTCCAGATAGCTTTCCATGTTTGTCGATGTGTTCACAAAGCAGCCAACGCTAATAGCATGCAGGAAATCTGAATGCGCATCGAGAATGTCATCCAAGGCAGTGGCCTGTTGCATGCGCTTCTGCAACTCTACCCAATTGCATTCTATGACTTCAAAAAGCACATAGTACTGCATTTGATGAACAAAGTGCATAATCTCTGATGTGAACAGATTCAATCTATAGGTAATCTTGCTAATCTCGCCACTCAACGAGCGCAGTGCCTGAAAAAAAATGAATAAAAAAAATTATTAGTTTAAAATTGTGCGGCTGTTTCAGTGTAGCTATCGATAACAATGACAGCTCACCGTTGCATAGAAATGAACAATCGAATATAATATCATTGTTTACATTTGCCTATGTGAGTTTGTGTCTGGGCAACTGCTGCATTATCAGTCCCTGCTCTGATCCATAATGGCTTTGTCATTTTTCAAAGATTTGCCTGAAGAGCATCCGAGACATTTGATACCAGCGCTATGTAGGCAATTCTATCACCTGGGCTGGGTAACCGGAACTGGTGGGGGTATGAGCATTAAACAAGAGTAAGTGTTCTACCTAAAATACAATATATTTGTACGTATAAATAATTTAGACTGAATTTTATACAGCAATGAAATCTACATCGCACCTTCGGGCGTACAAAAGGAACGTATGCAGCCAGAGGATCTGTTCGTGCAGAATATAGATGGAAAGGATTTGCAATTGCCACCTGAGATCAAGGGCCTCAGCAAGAGTCAGTGTACTCCGCTCTTTATGTTAGCCTACAGACATCGCAATGCCGGCGCTGTAATTCACACGCATTCCCAGCACGCCGTCATGGCCACATTGCTCTGGCCAGGGAAGACGTTTCGTTGCACACACCTGGAAATGATTAAGGTGCTTCACAACCACATCCCACATAGAAATCTCAGATTTTATACATATTGTAAATTTTAGTAATCATTATATCATCATATCACGCAGGGCATCTTCGATGAAGCGGATGAGCGCTATCTGCGTTACGACGAGCAGCTGATCGTACCAATCATTGAGAACACGCCCCACGAGCGTGACTTGGCAGATAGCATGTATGCCGCCATGATGGAATATCCCGGATGTAGTGCAGTTCTTGTACGCCGTCATGGCGTCTATGTCTGGGGAAAGACTTGGGAAAAGGCCAAAACTATGTAAGTAGCTATGAACTATGACCTGCAAACTGTTCAACTCTTCAGCAAATCTATAACTGATTACAGGTCGGAATGCTATGATTACTTGTTTTCCATTGCCGTTCAGATGAAGAAGGCCGGACTCAATCCGGAAAAATTTGAAAAACCATCGCTGGGATAAGCATTCACTTAAGTTTGGCATTTATATACACATAATAAATTCACATGTAATAATAATAATAAATACCAAAACACACTAATAAAGACGTACATTTATATGTACATATAAATAAATATATTTGTATTCAATGGGTTTCCGGAATTCGCATATAAAGGGAAATAATAAGTCGAGTGTACCCTAAACCATAGCCAACCACTTATCGTTATCGTTATCCCAATTCAGCATTAATTAGCTTAAATCGCTACTGCACTTTGCACAGTGCGAATACATGGTGCAAACTTTGCTCATGTTACGATAACAGAACAACAGCAGCGAGAGAGAGCAGTCGATAGACTGAGCGTGAGAGTGCAAACTCCAACAAGCGATGGTGGAATTCTAATTCCAACAGACTTATCGATTTTTTCTCTTTCTGGCGTGTATTTATGCATGAATGTGTGTTAAACGATAACGCAGGCATCGAGTGAATTAGCAAACCAGAGTTACAAAAGAAAAAACTACATAAATATTGATTCCCGCCGCTTGTTCATTATTTGACGTTTTCCATTTCAGGTGTAAGCATTTCAGCAAGCGCTAATAAGAAATTGCGCGATTCAAATAAACATACGTGGGGACTAATTGTCCATTTTTATTAATTCAATCACAGTTTTAGCCAACAACAGTCACAATGTCGCTTCAATCAGACGCCGTATTCGAGAAAATTATCGATGGCTTGAAGGACAATGTCGCCAAGGCCAAGGCTATTAACGGTGTGTTCCTCTACAAGATCACCAAGGACGGCAAGGTGGCCAAGGAATGGAGTAAGTAAACGTACCTCTTTCGCCCTACACATTACACATGTGTCGCGCAATAAATGATTCACAGTGTAAAGTACAAAGTGCAATTAAATTGCGTGTTGTGGTTGCTGTCAGCGAATAAATCTAATATAATAATTTAATGAACAGCTCTGGACTGCAAGAACGCTAAGGCCTATGAGGGACCAGCGCAGGGCGTCAAGGTGGATACCACATTGACCGTTGCCGATGAGGATATGGTTGATATTGCTTTGGGAAAACTGAACCCACAGGCTGCCTTTATGAAGGGAAAGTTGAAAATTGCCGGCAACATCATGCTGACGCAGAAGCTGGCGCCTCTCCTCAAGACGGACGCCAAGTTGTAAATTGACATTTGGTGGCAACACTTTCACAACTTTCCACACAGCGCCGTACATCAAAAAACCCACAGTTGTATGTAATTGTTTAACTTTGCTTCACCATTATTCCGTTATTTCAACCGTACTTGCAAAATGTGAATGTTTTTTTTTTTAAATGTTTATACTATGTGTAATTAGAAAATAATACATAAGACTAAAAGGAACATGTGCGTTGTTTTTATTATTGAGTAAATTATATGATAAAAGTGGTGCTTCAAAAAGAAGCGCGAACATGCACTTTGATACCTCTGCCCCGACACTCTGATAATGATATGTTGCCCTCGTCTCACACCCGGCAATAGCAGAAATGGGCAAAGTTTTAATTTTTTTTTTTGGTCAGTGCTATGGATTAGATTAACTGCTTATCTTATCCGGCGCTGAACAAAACAATAAATTTCAATACTTAGGGCGACAACGCCATTCGGATTATGAGAACCTTTTTGCGATCAATACGAGCATAAATGCTGACGACAATAAACGATTACCCATAGGTCAACTGTCATTTTGACTGAATTATCGTATGTATTCTCATTGGAAAAATATCATACAGCTTGTTTGTTGTCCACTGTTAACACGTAAATAATCAACATTGCCCGCCATTACCATTATCTTCTGTTTTTAGGATTTTAAAGCCGCAAAGGTTCCTTTTGACTTATATGAGTACAAGAAATGAGAACTTTTCGTATAATAGACCACTTCTGGAACGTGTTCCAATTAACGAGCGGTCTTTTAAATGCGCAAGTTATCTGAAGTACCTATAATCTAACAGTGTAGATAATCACAAATATGACATATTAACTTACCTTGGCATTGGCCATTTGCAATTTCCATATTTTTGTGGACAATACGAATTCCATGTGCTTGATACGCCAGAGGGGCTTAAATAGCGACTTGTATGTGGGCATCGCTGGCTCCAGCATGGTAGCCAATGGACCACGAACCGTGTATTGCAACGAGATGACGTCCCAGCCACAGTCACCGGAATATGGCGTCTTTACAACAACATCCAAATGATTGAGAATATCTGCATCGTCGTACTGGGCATTGGTGCAGCGTAGTGCCGCATCCAGCATGGCGGACAAATCGTGCGAGTAAATGTCGGTGCCAACTTTCTCCAGCTCATCCCTGCGGAAAGCAATCAAATGTGCAAAACTGCTAATACCTTGAAGATATAATTAAATAAACGCACTTTATGTTCTCGATGAATATTCCGACAAAGTCGCCCTGGCCCAGCAATAGATAGCGTCGCATGCCTTGCAGATGATCTAGCAGCTTATGCGGCCCAACCATAATGTCCAGCACATTCTTGGATGTTTGCGAATAGCAAGTCTCTATGACAGCATGCCATTGGGTGTCCGGCACATACGAAAAGATGCTCGAAACTTAAAATGAAAAATTAATGGCTGCTAGTTGAATGTGTGAATGCAAATTTACCATGATTATCAATGACGTCCTTGAGTTCTTTTCGACCCTTGACCGCTCCCTCCATTTTGCATACTTCGCGCAAAAAGTTAATGCTCTTCCCGGTTTTAAGTATCTTGTCGGCCAGCTCGCGTGTTATAAATTTAGGCAGCATATGAAGTCGTAGACGGAACTTGTCATGCCAGAGTCTATCGACGCCGACATCGGCGAGCGATTCAACAAAGAACTCGCCATAGCCATCATCGATGCCGCCCTCAAGCATCCACTTTGAAATCATACGCACCAATGGGCCACAGCAGGCAGTTAACAGATCACTGGCCAAAGTGTCGACCAATGGATTACCTATTTCCAAAAAATCATATAGTACTGAGGCTAGCTCGCCCCCTTTCTTCATCAGGCAGGCATTTGCGATTCTTGTCAGCCATTCCATGCGATACATTGGCTCCATATACCAGATGAGGAGCTTATTCAGGGTTAGTTTCTTTGGTTGACTGTTCATAGAGCTCCGTTGGTCACCCTTATAATAATACAACATCAAGTGGCGGTGCTCATTTAGCTGATCTTGCAATAGAGCCACCTTTCCATGAAACTCACTTAACTCCAGCTTTAGTTTGGACATGAATGCTTGGCCCATGCTGCCCATCGCATTGTAGCCGGTCGATATATTGGAAAACTTGGCCACACAATCATGATAATAGCCCAGCTGGGATAGGCGCATAAGCATGCCACATTGCGGTTCGGTCAGACTCACCTTGTTGATCGGATCTAGCTTGAAGCGGCCCGTAATAACATCCTTTTTAAGGTACTTGCCCTGTACGCCGACAAACGAGTATATCGCATTCTGGACAACATCATGAACGTTATCAAAGTTCTTTTGCCTACTTAGCTCCACCGTGTAGCTGGGTATTGGATAGTTGCCCAGGCCCACGTTCGTCTGTGACGAATCATAACTGCGACCGGTTGTTGGACCGACAATTTGCATGGGATATTTGTTAAGATCGAAAACGCCATCGACATCGCTTTCGGTATTTAACTCAGTTCTGTGGTCTGATGTTGACTCGTTATCCAGGCCCAGGCTCGTCTGTGGCGAATCATAACTGTAGGCGTCCATTGGGCCGACCATTCTATTTCCATTCTGGCTCGAGCTATTTCCAATTAATTTGGACGAGCTGTTGGTACTGCTTGAGCTTCTGCCAATGGAAAATTTAGCATGCTGGACTGGGTGGCTGACTGGCACCTCCACATCGTTCCACGGGCAATATTGTGCGTCAGTCTCCAAGCTAAATAGAATTAGATTCGATAGAAGGTCTCGCTGACGCTGATCTGTAATCTGCAAAGCATGTGAATGAGTGTTGTATATGTCATTAAAGGCATTAAAGACGCACTCACCTCACTTGAGGCGATCGAGTATAGCTCATGAAATACGGCTACAGCATTATTCCTGTCTTCCCACTTCCAATTTGACTTCAACTTATTCGTAATCAGTTGCAAGCAAACCTCTTCGCCCTCCTGTAATCTGATTTTATTCGGCCATTGGGCAATGTACTTTACCGCAAGCTTCACAATTTGATCTACGAAATTGTATTAGAAAGCGGGACGAAAGATTGGTGCTGATGGTGTCATATATACCTAATGATTTCTGTGAGTCCTGGGGTTGTGCTCCTTCCTGAAGTTTGGCGACGAAGCCCTTAATTTCCAAACCAATTCGTTCCATATTTAATCTGTTGTTTTTACCAAGCCTTTTATTTTGCTTACCACAGCACAACTCGAACGATATGTATTTTTATAATCGATGATCAATTCGGTTGGGGACGCAAGCTCTTTGCCACAAATGGCGGAGAGACGAAAGTTAACTGCTGGACAAATGTGCGAAAAACGCGGGTGATCTAGCGTTATATGCGCTTTTACATTGAATGGACTAATTTATATGATAAATGACACCTCAAACGCTAATATGCAATGTTTAAAGCGCCGTTTCGAACGCTTTTTGTTAATAATAACAACAACAAAATAGTAAGTGCGCGTTTTGAATTTATTTGCTGCCGAACCAAAACGAAAAACCAGGGATGACAAAAGTTTCTGAGCTGAACTACATTGAAAGGTTCGCCACAGCTGATTTAATTCCATGACTAGATTGACACAACTCGATTTATGAGCTCAGCAAATAGTTTCAATTATGTGAACATCATAATGCAATATCCGGATCAGTCACAACAGTTAGCTCACTAATAATTAAGATATGATTGTCAATTTGAGATTCAAAGAGATATGCGGAGTAAATGTGCAGCGGTCGGTAACTATATGCACAGGAAAACAATTGTTCGATCCAGACGAGCTGTGGAAAATAAATAAAAAAAAAAAAATTAATCCGCAATTTTAAAAATTATAATTCGAATTATTCACACTGGATCGAAAATATCGAGAAATAAATATGGACAGTATATCGATGATTTAAAAAACCCTGGTGGTGCAGAAATTATGCTCAAATGATATCGATCTGTGTGATTCCTCTAATATATTGCAACCTTGTCGTGATAGTCACTCATCACTTGTTGCAGCAGACACAATATATTTAAATGGCATCTTTAATTAACTTAAAGCAATTTCCTAGCGGCGGGGAATTCCGCCCCGACAATTTTATGCCTGCTTTGAAGCATTATCCATCGATCAATTTAAATAGAGAACTGCTCAATACCAGCAATACGGCTCATTTTAACGTTGGCGAAATCTTCATACCGGTCGAAAGCGAGAGCGTGCTAAAGCGCATTTCGCGCACTTTCTTTGAGAGCGGCTTCTGGAAAGCGTTGGATGAGGCGCGCAGTGCAAGAGCGCGCGAACAGTCGCCGTTGATTAGCACCACAGCTGATTACTTTGCACATTTGCTGGAGCTCTACAGGAGACTAAAACTAGAAGTATTCCCCCACACACAGAAGCTAAGCGCGGAACGCATTGCACAATATGCTGAAACGAGGTAAGTTCTAACGCGAATATGTCAGGCATGTTTCCATATCTATAAGACCTGTTTGCATTTTTGTTTTTTTGTTTACGTTTTATTAAATTTCGTTTCAAATGATATCTGCTTTAGGTCTGGGTGTTAACTGAATATTCCACAGTTGTGTAGTTATATTATTTCATAAATTGATTACATTTACATGTACGTCTACTCCTAACTTTTAAAACTCATATTTCTGCATATTAATCTTATGACAGCTATATAATATAGTAATCCGATTTGCTCCCTGCTTATACCATAAGCAAAATACGAAGTTTCATCAAGCAGCTTAAAAACTGAGAGCGTTCTGCGCATAGGCAATGGATATGGTTATATCGAATCGGCTAATGGGGTCGGAGACGTCTTCCTCTCTCTCTGCAAGCATCAAAATACAAACTGTTATTTTCTATTATTTACAGAGACTGGATACACAGCGGTATTCGCTATATTGCCTGGCACACCCATCTTTTCAAAGTGGCAGTTGCTGGTGTCGACGATGTTGTGCGAATTTACTCTAAGATTACGGACAAAAACGCTGGCATAGGGCCAGTACTGAAGAGCCCAACACAGACCCAAATCACATGCATGGCCTGGCGGCCGCTGTGTGCTTTTGAGCTTGTGGTTGGCTGTCATCAGGGCTTGTGCTTTTGGATAATTGATAACAATATGCACCTGGGCAGGAGCATCAATCCCAGTCATACATTCAAACAGTGCGTAAATCTTTGGCTGCCATTTAGCTATTATTCACATATATTCGATGCTCGCCTTCAGTCCTTCCAATTTGCCCATCTCTTCGCTACAATGGAACAAGGATGGCACATTGCTGGCCACAGCATCACTTGGTGATAGAGCTATACTTATATGGCACGCGGACGATGGCAAGATACAACCACTTAAGCGTTTAGGTCCACCATCCTCGTTGCTTAGCTGGTCGCCGGACAATGATCATCTGATTGCGAGCACCGTGGGTCACGTGTTTCGCATGTGGGAATGCTACGATCGCTGGAAAACAGAACGCTGGGTATGCAACAGCGATAGCGTTCAATCCACCTGCTGGTCTCCATGCGGACGCTTTCTGCTGTTCGTGGCTACTAAAGATCCAATTTTATATTGCATACGACTTGTGCAGCTGCATATTAATCCGTGTAAGTGCTTGCTACATATTTTTAACGCGGGCATCGCTAGTGCGGTGTTTGTTTATCTAGTCTATGCAAGCACACGCCCTATAGTTTGCCCAAGATCAAACCCAAACTCGTTAGGTTGGCATGCAACAGGTAGGCGACTGTTTAAGCCAACAGATCGTCTGTATGATGTTGCCTACAAATATAATGTATGAGACGTCTTAAATTAAATTTAGACGAAGCCATATTTATAAATATTTAACATAAATAAATTTGGCTTACAGAAGCTCAATTTATTTATGATTAATACCGATTTTTGTTTAATGCAGCGAAATATGATAACGAAGTGATGCCAATTGCTGATCTGAATGCATGCGTCCTGAATGACAGGAGTAACACGCTCATCGGCGGCCCAGCCCAACAGCTGGCAATGGACCCGCTTGGTAAATATCTCATAGTCACCTTCAAGTCCACCAATTACATTGCCGTTTTCCGCACGTACATTGGGCAGTACGAGTTTGAAATATCGGGTGGTCACTATTTAAGCGGTGAATCGGCGGACGAGTACCCTAGCTATATTTGCTTTCAGCCATTGAACATGGATAATGATCGGTCTGTACTGACCATTGGCTGGTCAGGCGGTCGAATACAGTTGTATGTCTTGAATTGATTAATTGCCAACAAAGTGTTTATCATAGTATTTATTTGCATGTATTTGGTTCTTATTAGCGTTAATAAAGGTACACAAATTACGTATTAGAATTGGAATTGAAATGACAAATCGGGTACAGAACAGCATCTGATCTTGTGCTAAAGATCCTACAGGTCTTTATTCTTGGATAAGTAATTGACAAAGCAGAAGCTCGGATACGATCTGCAACGTTTGCGTGTTTCGAAATGGGTTTTTACTAAGATTGTGTGAATTTGTTACTTTCGGTTTAGTTAACGCTTGGTCGAGCACAAGATCAAATATGTCGCAATTTCTAATATTTCTCGGATAATGACCGTACACATATATACTTTTAACATACATATTATAAATATACCTCACTCAAAAATATATAACGACTTATAAAATTATAAATATATGTGCCTACATACACAAATATAAATGTATATGTATATGTATATATAAAACATAACAAAAGATAACATAAATGGTTATCAAACATAATAAGGATACATAATGGTTACACCCATGCTATTTATATGTAGGATCACACTTAGATAAATACTAATAAAAATCTGACAAACATTTTATGTTATTAAAACTGCTCTTTATACGTAGTAAAGATTTTGAGTTCCGTTTCTATTGGTCCCAGTGCCCAACGGCTCCTGATTAGATGTCCCCAAAGAAATGGCCCAGCGCCTGGGCAGCACGCACGCGCACCATCGTCTGCTCATCCTTGAGCAGCACTGCAATCTTACTGGCCACCGATTCGGTTTGTGCGTTCTGCTCGCTTAGGAAATTGTGCAATATGCCTAAGAGATACAAGTAAATGTTAATGAACTTGGACAATTATTATATGCAGTAGATGAACACATACCGATAACAATAGCGGCACTGCCACGCACCTCCGGCCACTGGCTGCGCAACTGGGGCATGCATGAGTCTATAAAGTCCTGGATATGCTCCGTCAGCTCTACTGCCTATAGATGCAAATACGTGCAGAATTAGTTTGAGGGGATGAAAATACGGGAGAATACGGCACAATGACTCACAATGACTTTGACAAAATCCACGACGAAACTGCTGTAGTTAAGTTGATTCAGCTGATCCGCATCATTGCTGAGATGCTGCTGGGCAATTTCATTGACGCGCACCGCGCGCAGCAATTGACAAACACGTCGTAGTGTGCTCTTGCAGGCTGTAACAATAGCTGGCTCAATTTCGCTCATATGCAGCAGCAGCGGAAAGAGATTGGCAAAGAGCTGTTCGCGTAGCGCCTCCATCGATGAAGTGGGCGAACTGCTGCCGTCATCATGCTTGGATTCGCACAGATCCCCAAACAGAATAATGGCCGCCTCGCGCATTTCCATCGAATAGCTGCCAAAGAAGGGTCGTATACGTATGGCCAGCGACACATGGAATGGTTCGACTCGTTCACTGGGCAAAGCCTGAAGAATGCGCGACAGTCCTCGCATACTCTCCAGCGGTATGTTGATAAGGCAATCGCCGACGTTATCATCGACTCCCTTAAGTAAGGCTTGTATAGCCAGCTCCGAAAATCGCGAGGACTCGTGCTCGCCCAGCTGACCCACATAGCCCATCCCTTGTAGACTGAGTCCTCGCACCACGGGATTGGGATCGCTTAGAGCGGCGCTGAGATGCAGCATTATGAGGCTTACAAGCTCGCCGCTCGGTTTGAGTGGCACCAGGCGTGAGTAGAACCCAACGGCCGCAACCCGCTGGCCATCATATGGCGAGGCAACATACTTGCTCAAGGCATTGACCAACTGCCGCATAGACGGGCTGCTCAGCTGCAGCTGATTGGCCATTCCAATGGCCATTGGGGTCAGCAACTCAATGTAGCTGTGCCAATCCGTGCTGGCAGCCAGTTGTGGATTAATCGTTAGCACGGTGGCAATTTGCTCCATTTCTAGATTATTAAGGAACGCCTGAAATGTTTCAAGGGCTATTTGGCAGGGATTTAGTTTAGTAAGCTCCTTGTTGGGCACAAAGCCGAACTTGCTAGACGCTTTATTTGGTTGGTTGGGACTTGCAGGCGGTGCTAGTGGTGACATCGGTGCGGCCAAATTTGTATAGCTAGACAGTGAAGTCAACAGCATGCTGAATATATCCACAAATCTCGCCGACAATTGCTGAAATCCAATTTCGAATTAGTCAAAGGATACAGACCGAAACACGATCTTTGGCTACTCACGTCGTGTATGTCCTTGCAGGGCATCATCTCGTGCAGCGCACAGAAAATAGCGAATGGCTGAACGCTGGCAACTTTTTGGCGATCATTTGACACGCCATTTCCATCCTGCGACTCTTGCAAACTGGCGCCGCTAAGCAGCTGCAGAAAGTTGTCAAACATGGTGCCGGTGAGCTCTGTATCATTGCACACCAAATGCCAATATTCGACTACATGCTCATCATAGGGCAGCTGTTGTTGCAACATCTCCGCACAGACGAGCTTCGGATGGTGCTTGGTCAATGCCACCAGGGCCTTAAGTACACCCGACTTGGCACGCGGCACATCGCACACCTGCAGTGCCAGCAGACTATCCTTGACGAGATCGGGTATAGCATGGAATAGCTCTGAGCCCTTTTGCTGTATGAAAAATTTCAATACAACACTCGAGCCAATGGTGGAGCTCGGTTCCGGATCGCGTAACGACTGCAACAAAGTTTTACTAAAAATTACAAATAAAAAAAAATCGGATACCGTTTTCATTATTGTTTTGCATTGTTATTTTATAATATGCATTAAACTATATCGCCTACAATTTTATGGTATGCGAAAAGTTTAGTTTTAGTTTTTTTCGTCTCTATTTCCTTATTCATCATGTGCACATAGGATTGTGAGAGACGCAAATAAAATAATCCATTAGCTGGAGCGGTGTAGCATGCGGCTAACTGGCAAAAATGATTGCCATTTCAATCTGACTCATAAAACAAAAGAACTAAATGAACCATACATATTTTTTGTAATTATATCAATAGTTTAGACTCTAAAGTACACTTTTCGAAGAACTCTTTTTTGTATAATGATTCCAAATTCCTAAGTCTTAAAAGGTAAAAAACTGGCAACACCCTTGAAAGATAGATAAATCGATTTTTATATTCCCTAAAGCTTTAGAGCTAGAGTCGGTTATCTTCTTCTTTGCTTAAGAGGTAAACTTAAACTTAATTCGATAAAACATGCCAAGCTAGCACATATATGAGAAATGTCTACTTTTGATATCAATCTTAATATAGTTGCTAAGTAGGACTTACCAAAATTGCAAATACTGAAAGGTTGAGATGCGTATCGCAATAATTTTGGCAATATCGCCAGCGAGATTGTAGATCTGCTTTGGCTCATCGGTTATGATGTTCTCCTTTATAGATTCAATCTCCTTCAGCCATTCGGCACTGCTGTCAATACTGGCTATGGTCAGCGTTTCATAGATACAGGCGATTTCAAGCGTCTTTTGCAGTATTTCCACGGACACCTGACGCACGGTGCCATTCGAGTCGATGCAGCGGGGCACAATTTTGCCAAGCATCTGGCCCGTTTGATTAAATTTCGAGGGTGCCTCACAGCCGCCAATTTTCATTGACTTGATGTATACCTCGAGCGTATTGTTCAGCACATGGCTGGCACAGATGCGCACCTCGGAGTTCTTGTCACGCATCCAGCACTCCAGTATGCCAATGATCAGATCGAGGGTCGATGGCGATGCATCCAGTTCGACAATGGCACGTACCAGTGCATTCAGTTGTGGTAGCGAATCGTTCAGATGCTTGGCCAAGAAACTGTTGTGATCATCCTCTTCCTGCGAGTCGAATTTCATTTTCAACTGCTTGGCGCAGCCAAAAAAGTTTTTACATGCAATTTCAAAGATGACACTGCCCTCTACATTATCAGAGCTAACATTATCACAGCCGCCTGTAAAAATCATTTCGTTATTAAGACAGTAAGTAAGAGGAATACAATTCAAGTAAACAATAGAACAAAAGATTCAAATCAATCTGTGGTTTGGTTGTGCCTGCTCATTACTCACCGATGCGGATGAAATCCGTGCCAAGCTTTAGGATGGTGGGTAACAGTGGCAAATCGTGGAAGGGTGCTTCAATGGGTATGCTAAATACGGTTTCCATGATCTGTTTGCGAAGCTTGAGCGGCGTTGGCAGTTGCTCTTTGGTAACAATAAGCTGATTACAAATGCTGAGCAGCGTTTGTAGTATGGCCGACATGATGGTCTGATCCTTGTGACCGGCCAGTTCTATCATTAAGAAATTAAGCATATCAAAATCCAAATGCTGAAGCGATTGCAACGGATCCGCCTCGTCCATGATGCGCCCAAATGCCTTTACCACCAGCAGATTGGTTTTGTAATTATCGAGCGCCTTATGCGTATCTTTAATAAAATGTAGATTACTAAAAAAGCCTGTCGAATGTTTGCGTCCGCCCATCTGTGCCAATTCCGACAGCTTTTTAATCACATGCCCCAAATGCTGTCGAGCAATATAGCCGAGTGCCCGAGCGCATGGCTCAATGCGGCGATCATATTCGGCGTGCTTTACGTGCTTGTCCAGACGCTCCTGTCGTGCCGTTGTCACAATCAGATCGATTTTGGTGTGAATGCAGGCCATATCGGTCACTTGGTAGAGTGTTAATGCCATTGACTGCAGCAGCATACCTCTCTCGGCGCTCAGATCCGGCAGCTGCCACTCTGAGTGGGGCAATTGCATCGGATACAAATACATTTGATCGGCCAGCTTGCTGGCCAAGCGCTGAGCAAAGTGCTCATCACGCGAGGACAGAAACTCGTTGGTCTCCAGCACAAAGTCCTGCAGCTGTTGCATATAGGCTTGCGGCTTGTTGATGTTCAACAGCATGTCGGAAATGCGACGTTCCCATAGCTCATCCAATGCTGGATTTAGTTGCGGATAATAGTACTTCAGAAAGCTAAGTATATTTGACGAACGCTTGATGCACTGCTGATTACCCAGCAGCGCCAAGCAGCGTGCATATATGCTTTCGGCACCAGGCACGATCACCTTGCCACGCTTAGCCGTGGTGCCGCGACATTCGGCGCCGGCTGTCGCTACTTCTACGCCGGATTCCGCAGCTGAACCTGATGCTGATGCTGATGATGAGTGTTGCTCATCATCGCTGGCAACATCGTACTCAATGTGCGGCGATTTGGCAAACAGACTGGCCAAACATTTGGCCTGATTTCCACAAATATCCGTGTAGTCCAATAGTACAAAATAGTTGAGCAACTCACGCTTGAGCAGCTCATCCAAAGTATTCACCGTTGAGGCGAGCATAAAAAGCGCATTCTCGCAGCTAAGCGCAAGTGTGGCATGCTCTTCCAGTGTGCCATGGTCCTGACTAATCTTGCTGTACTTGCAGCTGTGACGCACCACAAACCACACAAACTCCTTGTCCCGTATCAGCGACTTTTGCGCCAGGGCCACGATCGTCTTCAGCAGTGTCAGCTTCATCTTTACGCCGCGCTCAGCAACTATCAACTGCTTGAGGCACTCGATGAGCGCATGCAGGCGGCTCTCGATGTGCACAGCACAGCTGTTGAGTAGGTGCGTCAGTATGAGTAGGGATTTAATACGCTCCCGTTCGCTATTGTTACGCAAATGAATAAGCAGCGTGTCCATTATTTTTACAGCGTAGTTACCCGCTAGCAGATTGAAGCAGCGCAACACCTCGTAATGACCCTTGACTGTTTGAGGCTTCTCGTAGTCCGGATAGACGCACACCAAGTCAAACAGATGCGATATGAGGGAATCGATGACACCATCTAGAACCTGGGCGTGCAGCATGAGATTCGTTTTCAAAACGGAGCACAAGAATTGTGTAACTGCATTGCGGTCAACACTGCGTCGATAGAGCGTCAGTATTTGAGGCACCAGTCGCGGCGCCTGATCTAATATCCGATCGGTTGGTAGCAGTGGATACATGCACGACAGTGCCTGTAGTATCTCCATGCACACCTTGGGCTCACGCGACTGCAGCCACTGATTGAAAAGCACATCATAGGCAACGCTGATTTCAGTGGTGCAATTTGCGGCCGCCTTCATTTCATCTGTGGGCGCATTGCTGCCATGCTCCAGCAGCGCCTCGCTAAAGCGTCCGATTGCAAAGGCGTATGCCAGCTTCATGTGATCCTGCTTGATGCCACCCAAATGTGGTAAACAGTGCGATAGTATTGTCTTGATGTGCGGCACCAGTCCAGTCGTATTTGCCATAGCCAACTGGCCGAGGCATTGCATCAGCATAAAGTGCGGCACGTTGCTCGATGGGCAACTGTGCGCCAGCAGCGTCTCAACGACTAAAGTACAGTCCTCGGTGCATCCAATGGACACTAGTATGTGCAATGCCGGATTCTGTATTAACGGCACATGCTGATCCACGCTTCGCGTCAGCTCATTTAAAGCCATGACTATCAGTTTCTCATTGACCTCCGTTGACAATGGTGTATCCGCTCCAACCACCCGATGAATACAGCTGAGAAAACAAACGAAAAAAAGATGGTCAAGCTAAAGTTAAGCACAAACTAATTAATCAAGATGTACTCACTCCAACAGCATGGCCACAGTTTGTTCGCTAAGCTTAGTATTTTTGGCGCGCCAATCGGTCAGTATAACCGTGGCCCGCAATGGATGTGTCTCCAGAATCTTAACAATCGCTTGCTTCATGGCTTCACGCACCTGCTCATCCTTATCCGTCAGACCATCAAATATGTTCAACATCACGCCTGAAACGAGCACAAATTTAAAAGTGATGCTCAAATTAAAGGAAACTCTTCTAACAAGTGCTCCTTGACATTTTTAGGATCGTTGGGTTCCTTCCGCAAAAGTGGACGTTAAAAGAAAATATCTAAAATTAATTGAAAAAGTTATAACTATATATAGCAAGGAACCCATTCTATCGATAAGTATGTTTGCCATTACATATATATAGACACTATATCTATATATAATAACAAAGAGCAATAACTCTCCTCCAACTACCTATATACTATGCAAGTGTATACAAATGTATTGTTCTAATAAAGAGGCGGGGAAAGCATTTAGCTAAAGCCACACCAATTTATCTATAAGCATGTACGTGTGTGTTTATGTGTGTGTTTGGTTTGATGTATGTATGTATATGGGGGAGGTTGCAACAATATCAAATTGCTTGCCTTTCATGTGGCTTAAAAACAAAGTCGGGCTACAATTATTGATGGGTCGCATCCATACAAACATACACACGAGCTATTAATCAACAGGTCGTCCATATACATACATACACTCAATCACACACACAGACACACGAGTGTGTGTGTGTATCCTTTTGTGGCTACAAGAGCAGTTAATGCGTAAATATTTATAGACTTCCTGGGGGCAGGTTGCTGAGGCAGACTGTTGAAAGTCTGCCTTGTCATCGAGCTCTGCTATGCGGTTGATTAAAGCAAACGAAGCGCGAAAAAAACAACCAAATTCGCCCTTAGTTATATGTGCATGTGTAATATGCATATATGTATATATATCTGTATAAGAATATCGGTTGGTGTGTCATCCATACAGATAGATACGCACGAATGTAAGTCCCCATTGCACAGATGCATGCATACATATCTAATTCCAATAAGAATAACTATGATGAATAATGAATTTACCTTCCAGAACTGTTGGCTTATCGACGATTGCAGGGGTGGGAGTGCCCGATGGACTAGGCTGGCGCTTGTCCATCTTTTTAGTGGAATGACGAGTTCTCTTCCACTTCTCCAGTTTGACGGAGATGTTCTTTAATGGATTGCTTTGGTTGTTCAAATTGAATTTCACAATACTCTGTTGTCGACGCTCAGCCACTGCATCAACAAGTTTGATTGTCAGTTGTCAGCTTGATTTTATTTTATTTGCACTGTAAGGCTTCTCAATTGCGTTTACCTGCACCTCGACACAGTTGCAATACGAAAAAAAAATAAGAAAAGATAACAACACCAACAACAAACGCCTCCACTTGCGATTTTATTACTTCGTCACCGATACTACGAAACGCAAGTGTTTTTGTTTGGTGGTCGTCGTTGTTGACCAACCGCGCTGCGCAAAACAGACGAGGAACAAATTTTTGTATGTGTTAGTTTGCTTGGATTATGATGTGTGATGTTCGCATGAATCAGACTTGCAACGTCCTCACGCGCGATGTCTTCTAACGCAAAAAATAAAATTTAAACTGTAAAAGTTGCATTTGTTTTGCGTTTTCTCATACAAGAAATTTGCAATGCGCGGTCAGCGTTGCATTGATGGGCAAACGAATTATCAATTTCACCCGATCACGTTCGCGATAGCCTGACTATCGTTTCGATATGACGGCCACAATTTATAAATGAAAATTGTAACTCTCCATTTTAGTTGTCGTATTTAAACCAAACATATGTTAAAATCATTTAGTTAGAGCTGCAGATAATTTGATTGTACAACGATAGAATTGATTGTATCGATGGCTACAATCGATAGTTTGGCGCAGAAAGACAAAAGCACTTCTCATCCAAAAATACATTGTAGTAACAAATGCACGCAGAATACGGAAATGTGTAAGTTTAGATTGCACAGATGAAGAGTTATCATAGCCACTCTGTTGCGTAATTACATTACACTACACAATATATTTCCGTTATTTTTGAATTTGTATGCAATTTTCGATGCATGTGTTGCAAATTTGAGATTAACTGCTCTACTAGTTGCATTTCTTTCTTATCGGTAAAATAACTGCTTTTGGCAGGAATTTGAAAACATCGACTTAAAATCGAATAAAAGCTTTTATATAAAAATCGATACATCGATCTTTCTGTAGTTTTTACATCACTATTTAAGTGACGCGACGGCAGTATTTGTTTTTTTGTTTGTTTTATTGCTGCTTGAGATTTTTATTTTATTACAATTTTGCGTACGTATTGTTTTAATGGAAAATTTTTCAGTTACTTAGTACTAGGATGTTACTCCTAAATATATATATATATGTAGAATCTGCATGCAACAGTTCTTCTACGATAAATTCAAATAAGAGATAAAAACATGAATATTCAAAGTATGAATAATGCATGCACACATACATAAACGTGCATATATGTGTACCTATGAGACACAAAAAAAAGTTCATTTAAAATACCTAATCAGATTAATACAATTTATAGAAATACATAAAGGGGAAAACATCGCCAACTCAGGCAATTGCATTGCGCTATTAACAGCATTAAAGATCACCGTCTTTTGCTGCTAGTATCCCGTGACCAATAAAAATGTATGCCACAGGTATAATAAAGTTGCTCAAAGGCACAATAGGATTAAGCATTACAATATGTATTCTAGTTGAACATTAGGAAACGAGTCGATGTAGCCATTTACGTAATTTTTCTGGCAGATGAACAAAATGACAGTTCCACTCCAATTGTGGGATTGCTCCGTCCGTTATACTTTCGTTAATCTTGTATCAATCCTGTAATTCTGCCCAGTCGGCTTTGGTGGTTATCGTTGTGTTGGTATATGCAGTAAGGCAGGTTTGAGAACCATGAATCATGTTATCTGTATTCTTTTGTACTTTCTGTATCTCATTTGGTATTCTGCGTGTTCGTTACTTTCTTTTGATGCAGTGTGGCATCACGTCGTATTGAAAGACTCGGACGTGTTTGTCGCTTAGCCAAAATTTTTCTTAGCTCATGCTTAATTAACTTTATTTTTATTATCATTATCATTAACTTTAATACTAAAATCCGCTCAATTTTTTCAGCACAATGTCGGAGCTTCGGGGCACAAAAGCGCTGGAATTCTGGTGTCAGCGCACGACTAAAGGATATAACAATGTTAAAATTGAAAATATGACAACATCGTGGCGTGATGGACTTGGCTTTTGTGCGCTTATACACTTTTATCGGCCAGATTTAATGTTAGTATAAGTATTTTTCGTTACGTTATTAATATTATGCTCAATGTCAACCGAAAACATGAAACCATTTGGAATGTAAATCAAAAAAAATGTTTCTTACAAGTTTCCACATATTTTCCAGGATTTCCAAAGACAAAAAATTACGATAACTAAAACTTTAGCCCCAATAAAGATCGTTGATATCGTGAAAAAAAATATATTTCCAAATATCAAATGAAAAACCAAAGGGTTGTATAGAATTTGCACATTTTCGGAGCTTGTGCATCGAACGTTCCGAAATCTCGGCTTTGTCAACTGCAACTGTCAACATATTAGTTTGTAGCTTATGGACCAGGCAGGCCAAGCTAATTTGAAGATATGAAATGGTTATTTATGGTCTATTATTATTTATTTACTTGCAGTGACTTTGACCAACTCAAAAAAACAGATATTTATTACAATAACGATTTAGCTTTCACAACAGCTGCAAAATATCTTGGCATACCTCCCCTACTTGATGCTGAGGACATGGTTGCCAATGCTGTACCTGACAGATTATCCGTACTTACATATTTATCGCAGTTTTATCACGTATTAACTCGAAAAGCTGCTCGTGAACAAAGTGAGTACCTTTTCAAAATATTTTGAAAAATGTATAAATTCATGAGAGGAACTAATATAGTGCATAGTGCCTAACATGCATCTTATATTTTGCACTTTACAAAAATGTTGATTTGCTTATGAATATATGATTTTTGTAAATAATTCTTTCAGATGGCGAAAACAGTAGTCCATTAAAGTACACACGTCCAAAAATCGAAAAGGTAGAAGAAAGTTCAATATTCGTTGAACTTTCTCCGCAGCCGCAGGTAAGATAATACAATAGCCACCAGCAAGGCTTCATTAGTAAACATATTAGGCTTAGCAAAAATGTCTTTTACCTGTTGGGTAAATGATCTATATATCATATAGTTATACATATTTTTGGAATTTCAGATCGGACAGAAAGTTGCCGGAGTTCGACGCGACTCCTGCCAGAAATGTCAGTTCCCTGTATTTTTAGCAGAGCGTGTCTTTATTGAGAAGCATGTGTATCACCGAACTTGCCTTAAATGTAAGCAGTGTTCCGTGCAACTGTCACCAAACATCCTCTTTGATGACATCCAAAACATGTATTGTTCTGATAAATGTTTGAATGCCAATAATCAGCATTTAAATCGTACTGAACACGAACACGAAACTATATCCAATGATACGGATAATCTTCAAGAACTCCAGCGTATCGAGATTGTTTCCAAAGTCCGTACGCAAATTAATGAAGAAGATGAATCAAGCTTGGAGAAAGAAAGAACAAATGAAAGCAGTTTTATACCACACGATATTAAGTTGTCGAGCTGTGATTCCATCGACAACATTGATGCCTTATCAAACAAATCTACAGATTCGTCCATAAAAGAAGGCCTCGAAACAGTGCCAAATCCGACCACACCATCTATAGAAGAAACAAATCTACAAATACCAGAAGAGCCTACATTAGAAGGGGAAGACAAAAATAATGAAAATAATGATAAGAAAAAGACCGAGAGTTTAGACCTAGAGGATACTGATGTACCTAGTTTACAACCCGAACATTCCGTCACAACTTCTAAGGAGAGATTAGACTGTGTTGAGGACAAAGTCGAAGTTAAATCAGTTAAGGAAAGCAGCGGCAATAATCTTAATCCATTTACTGACAGTGATGATGATGAGCACACTTCAGATGACCAGCAAGAGATCAGTGTGGAGACGATGCAAACGCATGTAAAAATTAAATCCAAATCAGATATAAGCTATAATCCATTTGATAGTTCTGATGATGAAATTGAGTTAGCTAAACCTCTTTACCAATCCCATGAAGAAAAACTAACTTTAGACAGAGCTCCAAACCCATCAACACTGCAAACCCTAAAAGCTCAGTTCGACGAACATAACGCCGAGGTCAAAATGTCCTCACCTAGGTAAGTAGTTAAACTTAACTTGGACTTAGCCTCGAAGATTGCCATGTAATTGATCAATTTATTCTTTCCATTTAGATCAAATTCGCCAGCTTCTAATGATTCTCGCAATAAATCGCACAAAAAGCATTTGAAATACAATAAACGCCCTGCTCCAGCGCCTCCAAAACCAGAACGTCTTAACGCAAGTACTTCAAAAACAATTAATGAGAAGGACAAGGCCTTGTTGATTGGTCAAGATTCTGAACAAGTGCCGGAACTTCGCAGTTCCGCAAAACGACGGCTGATACCACTGGACCAGAGTCTTCTAGCTCAAGATAACTTGGAATTGAATAGCCATTCAGAACATCAAAATCAGCAAAGCACTTACAAGGATTCGGATGATTATTATCGCCGCATGCTAATGCCACCCGCGCTTGACTCGCCTAAATTTGATTTAGATCCCATTGCCCACTTCGCTCATACACCTGAAAAGCTTCAAAATAATGCGATGGATAATCATAATGATTCAATAATCAGCGGTGTGGACATGAATGTTAGCGGTCAATCCTATCCTGATAACAAATCATCACATGGTAAATGGAAGCACCGGAAGGGACCCGCTCCTGCCATACCTATAACACCACGGAAAGCATTACAGATGATTCCACTACAAGAAATACGCCATGAGTTGGAAATTATTGAAGTGCAACAGCAGGGCCTTGAGAAACAAGGCGTCGTTCTCGAAAGAATGATACGAGAACGCTGCGAAGGATCCGGGAAAGATGTGCAAACAACTGGTGACCTATCATCTACATTGACCGCTGTCACCTCCGAAGCTTCCACGAAAAACTGTAAAGAGGTGGAGGATCTAATTTTGCAACTCTTTGAACTAGTTAACGAGAAAAATGAGTTGTTCCGGCGACAAGCTGAGTTAACGCATATGTAAGTGCAATTTAGATGCATACGTTTTATAAAATCTTTGGCTTTGGTTAAGACAGCTTGTCTTTCGTGTTTATTTTGTAACTAGACGAAGACAACAGCGCTTAGAGCAGGAGCATGCTGATATTGAATCTGAAATCCGAATTCTGATTAGTCAGCCCGAGCGTAATAAAACCGATTCGGATAAATTACGTGAAGAGACTTTAATAGCACGGCTAGTTGAGATTGTTGAATTACGCAACAAAGTCATCGATTGTTTAGAAATTGATCGCCTTCGCGAAGCAGAAGAAGACTTGGTAATTGATATCAATTATATTATTCGAAATCGCCTGTATATTTCTATAAATATTATTCACAGAGCATCAAACAAAGTCTGGAATTGTACAACGCTGGGCGAGATTCATCCGCTCCCAAAGCTTCGGGTGAGAAGGCGTCAAAAAAGGAGAAGCGAGGCGTAAAGGATGTCCACAAGTTAATCAAGTATAAAAGTTTATTACGTAGATCGGGCAAATCAGAATAATTAAATAACCATCAAATTCTGTTAGCTGATTTAAGTTATATGTCTCATAATTTTGTATATTGTTTGTCCATTACTTTAATAAAACTAGGCAGCTTGCCATTTATCCGTTATAATTGTATAAAAATCAAGGTCAGATCAATCTTCTCCCGACAGCTATTAAAGACTATCTATTTTGCCAGACGATAATTCGCCATGTACACTCCAGCAACCGATTGTGCAATGTCTGCTGGCATATCTAATATCATCTATGGCAAGCTACTTACCAATCTGATAAGGTAATTTAAGTCTATGTTTGTGTAAATTTGTTATGGCCGTAAATCGTAGATCAGCCGGAGAATACCGTAGCGAAACCTACCACTGACATCGCAAGTCTACGAAGAGTATCTGAAAAGACAGGCTCCAGCATCGATTCATCAACATCTATATCAAAACCTCATCCTCCAGGCTGCTCTGAGTCCTTAATAACCCGCATAAAGTTTGAAGCGATTGTCTCTACGAAACAAACATAAAATGGGCATTGAAAAGTTGCAAGCCATTCAACTCACTATGCGCCTATAAAGTACCAACTACCATCAGCAGGGCAACTTTAACCCGCAACCCCGTTCAACAGCCGTAGTAGGATATTAGTAATTGTTTTCAAACAAATTGTATAAATAAAAAGTATAATAATAATAACTATACTTTCCGTTTTTGATTGGTGATTTTCATCTAAAAGCAAAATAAATAGATTAGAGAGCTTGTGACGTGAGAGCGCTATGCAAACGAGGTTTCGGGCACCAGAATTAGTCAACAAACATATACACTCGCAAATAAAATGATCTATTTGATTTTTCACAGACATTAGTAGTTGTGTTCAACGTAAAAATGTTTTAGACCAGCTATACTAGAAGTGTTTACGTACATGAACACATGAATATTATGTGTTTTTATGTCGTACCTACAACATAGGGAGGGGGACCACATGGAAAAGTACCGAGAATTCACAAATGCATATTGCTTATCACATTTCAGTGTGATTTTATTACTCTGGATACCTATATGCGTCATATACATCGTAAATCCTCATTCTGCCCATTAATGACGACATGTGAATTTATTGTTGTTATTATTATATCTCGTATGGGATAATTCTTATAAGCATTCAATCAAAACTCTTTAATAAGTCATGACGCCATCGGCCATCACCCATACTCTCGCCTGACATTCAGATCCGGATCCTCGTTGTTCGTATACAAAAATCGTACTTAAATAACTCTGAAGCAGTAAATTGGATTCCAATGTTCCATCATCCACGGATTGTTTGAAAATTCCGATTTAACGAATTCAACATAAGTAGTACATATGTAAGCAAAATGTAATTTTGAGTTTTTAATGTAATTTTAACATGAACATGTATTTTCGTTTCGTTATCTATTTGTTTATTGATAATACCATAAGCATTTGGTTATTGGGTTACTTTCTTTGTTGATGAATTCAGCTAATTACAGACATTAATTTTATTTATTACTTTTGATTTAGGTATAAATTGTACATAAAAAATCATAATAAAAGTACAATATTGTACGTATTCATGTGTGATTTTGTGGCATATACATATAAACATAAGTAAGAATGTATTGCATGTATGTATACAGTAGATTTAAATTTACATATAAACATATAAATATGTATGTATAAAGATTCAGAAATTAACATAACTTTAATGGTTGCTTCTAGTGATGCGTTCATATTAACCACAAAACATTCAGAGTAGCTTTTATCGTTAAGCATTACCTTTAGTTTTACGCATTATCAAAATTTGACGTATCAAATTTGATTCATATTACACTTGTATTTTGTTTTTTTTTTTTGGTTTTTTGTTTTTTGTTGGTTTTAATTTTATTTTAATTTTTTGTGAACATAAAATGGAATTTATGAACTTTATGACTGGTATGCATATAAAAAAAGATGAGACCATTTTACACAATGCCACTTCTGTTCAAATACATATTCACCAAATGAATTCTCAACTTTGAAATTATGTTTTGATTCCCATGCACACACAACAATAGAACTGTGATATTTAAGAAAATAGAGTTTATCTATAAATTTCCCGTGTGTTCTTGCCATTGTACGGAATTGAGCTAATTGTCTGTCTGATTGTGAGATGTTATTTCAAATAAACCACTGAACCACTGATGTTACAATTGAATATGTATTATTAATCAACTTATAATTTGGTTTAGCTTTAGCATTTATTATTCAAAGGATTATGTTTATATGTTTTTTTGTTCGGTAATACTTGTGCGGACCAGTTCTTAAAATTTATAAAAGCGTAGCATTGTGTGTATGTGTCGGCGTGCAAGCTTTTCCGTCCCAGCTATATTTAAAAAAAAAAATAATAATTAAAGAATTTAATAAGTATAAAAATTAAGTGCTCTTTTATTGACGTATTTATCTATCCTCGTTGAGCGTTTTATATACGAATGGCTTTGTTTTTTTTTTTTTTCTCATTTAGTTGGCTTTGCGGGTATTGCATGTATGTATGAACATAATACAGTTGAAATTTTTGGGTATACATAATTTAGAAGCTCATACGTGTCTTATGATCAAACAATAACCAAACTACATATAAAATTGCAACCCTTTCCACTTTGGGGGTAAAGCTAAGTATGAAGAACTCTCGAATACACTTATTCTGTAACAATTGATAAAGTTAATGTGCCGGTCACGAGGTCTGAATATTCTCATACACGTTGTTGCTACTTGGTATGCATGTGAGTTGTACTTTCACGATCGTTACTTCTGTTAGTCTATATGTTAAGATTTCGTTAAACATTTATAAATTTTTTTTAGGTTTTAAAGTTAATTTTTCCATTTATTGTTGTAGCTTATATGGCCGTCAATTATATATGTAAATAGTTTTTTTTTCACTAATAAGTATGTTATTTAAATCATTCTTATTTTTGTTTGTATATAAATTAAGGACTTAAACGTTATAAGAAAAATGTTTTATAAAGTGTATTGTTTACTGATTTCTTTTTTTTTTTTTTCATTTCATCATTACATTAAATTTTGTAATTTACGCAATATAATCTTTGCCTTTTTAGTTTCTATCTGTGAATTTTGTTTTTGTTTTGTTTTTTTTTTTTGGTTTTTTCTTGTTTTTTTCTTTTAAGATTTTTTTTTTTGTTTTTTGTTTTTTTGTAAATGCTTTAATTTTATTTGACTTTGCTTCATTATGACGAACTTTCTGTATATATGTGAAGTCAGGATTTTACTTTTGATGTTTGACAAATGAGACTGACGCGTCACCCGTTGTTCAAACACATACATATGTACGGATATTACAGTATAATTACCATAACTATCGTGCTATCATAGTAATCAACATAGTGTGCGCACTCAATTTATTTATTTTTTATTACTATATAGCGAGAGTCTCCGCCCAAATGACTTTTATACGATTTGAACTAACTTTACGTACTTTAAACTGTTGCTGTTGCCGAAATTCTGACTAAACAACTGACTATCAGCGACAGCTCATCATAGGTTTTGTTTCGAATTTTTCATTTACACTAATAATATACTTGTATGTGTGTATGTCTAGTTGTATGTTGCTGTGTATGTCTGTGTTTTGGTTTGTTGTATAAGTATAATAAGTATATAGCAATATAAATAATTTGTATATAAAGTTCTTGTTTTTGCTGTGGTCTACGTTGCAGTCAACGCCGTTTTCCATCCTCATTTTCGCTGTTGCTATTGCACTACACGTCAAGCATTTTGAAACATACTCCTCTGTCACTGTTTTAGCCCAGAACAGTAACAAAGAACCACTGACATCAGAGCACAAAAATGATATTGGTGCGACATATGTATATTTATATGCATGTATCTACACCTATGTTTGAGGGGATGTCGCTTTTGTTGCTGCTGTTCTGTTGTTATTGTCGCTGCTGCTAAACGCTGACTGCGCGCAACCACCGCCACGTTGACCCTACCCCACCCATTAATACGCATTGTGCACGACACTTAGTTCCACACGCGTAAGAACGAGTCCCACGATCCTGTTGCTACTGCCATACCATTTTCGGTGACCCCCAAACATGAAACTCTGTTATCGTGGCCAGCAAGAATGCCCGAGCGTTCTGCTTTCATTGTGTCCCATACATTACAGTTGAAATCATCATACCCCGCTAATAGCAGACGGCCGCTTTTTGAGAACGCTACGGAGGTGATACCACAAATTATGTTGTCATGCGAATACATGGCCAATTCCTGATCAGCGCGTATATCAAAGAGGCGGCAGGTTGCATCGTCGGACCCTGTCGCGAAGGCTTGTCCATTCGGGAAAAAGGTGACTGCGTTGATATCAGATTCATGCCCGGGGAACGTTTGTTTGCAAACACCTTCTCGGATATCCCACAACTTGGCAGACGCGTCACATGCACCCGATACAAACGTTTTGCATTGCGGTGCCAGTGATAGGGCCATCACATCTCCAGTATGGCCAAGAAACGAGGTAACCTGCAAGCCAGTTTCGATGTCCCAAAGGCCGCACGACATATCACCTGAGCTTGTCACAATCTGATTGTCGTCCAGGAAACGGCAGCATGATAGATAGCCACCATGGCCCGGCAGCTCACGGGACACACGCACGTTACCTTCGCGTGTCTTTAAGTTATAGATTGAACACATGTTGTCGAGGCCACCGCAGGCGACGTAGCTTCCCGATGGAGCGTATGCACATGTCATCACCCACGATGAGCGCAGCGGTATGGCATGCACTTTGTTTGTGGTGTGCGAGTCCCAAACGATCAGTTTACCATCTTGTGAAGCTGATACGAGGTTCCTGGAGTCATTGCCCCAATGCATGGCATAGATTTTGGCCAGATGACCGCGCAACGTACGTCGCGTGCGCATTTGTATACGTCCAATTGGTTCCAGCAAAGTGGCTGCCTGCAACAGAGACGTATCGCACGCAGCCTTTCGTGCATCTCGAATAGCATTCTTTAGAGATTCGGCTTCTTGTCTTAGACTGTCTAGTTCATTCATTTTATATTTTTTGAGAGATTGCCTCTTTCTTCAGATGTTTTGCTCTTTTCCACTCGTAGCGTCCCTAAGGCTTGTCAAAAAGACGTTCGAAACTGAACTGATTGACTTGCTGGTCTCTACTGGTTACTGGTTTCAAAGCTAAATGTGTACTTTGAATTAGTTTGAAATATATTTTTTGCTATTCAAATGCTAAAATCAGCAAACTCACGTTTCTATATATTTTGATTGAAGTATTTTTTGCAGCTTGTCCTGTTGATTTCTGTTCGCCTGACTGCCGTCGCTTCAAGTACGCCTGCATACAAGCAATGTGATATTAGCAGTACATTCACCGGTTATAGTATGGTTGTTGCCACTTCAAGTTGACTTGCTTTCCACGTCCAAGAGTACAATTTTCTTTCTTCCGTGTCTTTGGAATATTTAAAATACACCTCTTATCTGTATCTTCCTGCTAGTTGAGCTAAAATTAATTTTTTTTCTTTTTCAGAACACTTACTTGCCTTGGCCGGCTGTAGTTATTGAGTTTATGTATGTATGTAGCGTGTTTCTTGTTTTCAATCCGCGTAAGAGAACGTTCGTTCGATTATATAGAACTGTGTACCAAAACGGTGGTATTTTTGTCACTTATGGTATTCCGTTTCACAAATTGTCTGTCTGCGCCGATTGCCTTTTTTTTACTGTTCTTTCAGTTTACTGTGAACCTCTCTCCTCCTTGCTCCTTTTATCTATAATTTGCAATTCAGAAGATATATTTTAGTTATTGAATTCGACGGTGTTGGATGAAATTTGCTCACAGAGTTCCTCTTGTTCAGCTTGTTATACGTCAATTTTTTAATTTATGCAGCACATATTATTCCACTGTTTTTTAGTTAATTTCAGATTTGTGTTTACACTCGTGAAACATTTAACCATAAATTGAACTGTCCCTAATGAAATAATTTTCTCTTTTGCTGTTGGCCGCTCGATTGGTCCGCCTGTTTTCACCCGTGCTGCTGCCTTCTCTCGGCTACTCAATTCGCTTTTTTGGTACACCAAAATTGTAATTTTTGCACCACCGCTGCCAAAAGTGAGCAAGTTAATGGGAGCAAGCAGTACAACCAGTGTTTCATAATGACGAGTATTGGTATGTACGGCAGCGAAAGCAGGTTCGAATGTGACCGCAGAGTGGCGGCGCGACAAGCATAGTAAAATGGGAGTGACGGTTTATCCCATTCGCACCAACCAGAAGTGACGTTTCATGAAATTGACCGAGCGAGAAAGAAATACAAGAGAAAAATCAATTTTAAATACTAAAATATTCGAGATAACAATTATTTTAAATAATATAAAGTATGAATAAGTTGCACATAAATTTATACATTAGCTCAAAATATATATAGCCGCTGAATTCGAATTTGTATTTAAAAAACTATGTACATACACATTAAAAGATATATATATACTATATATATATATATATATAATTGAACATATATATATACACATATATATATTTCAATGACTGAGCTACATATGTATATATAAATTTCAATAGTGAACACACACCTGGCCACCGTAGTCGCGGTCTTTCAGAACTTAATAAGTTACTTTATTGATGCTTTTAAGTAACGAGATTATTTTAAAAACAATCAGTTCAACAGCTGCATGGATTTAACTCTGTATATAGATATTAAAACCCGTCAACTAATCGCCCGTATCTTCGACAACTTTTTCACAGTATATCAATCTTAACACAACTCCTCATTTGCACTTTACAATTGGTAGCCAACACCTAGAAGTAGTCCAGACTTGCAATACAAATATCGATTAATTGAAGTAATCGATGTATCGAACAGCTATATGAATATTAATATGATTACACGAATTGAAATATTATATTTAAAAATTATAATGCATTAAGCTCATATGTATTTTTCTTATTTTATATTTGTGTCAGTATAATCTGAACGGTCCTGGGACTATGAAATTTTTGCTTGCTAAAATATGTGCAAAAATTTGTATTCCCATTGAAACATGATATCAAAATTAGGTCTGCTAAGTACAAATATTAAGTTTTGTGAGATTTTCGTAATGGCTTTAATATTCAAGATATATAATATCCTCTTTCACCGAAATTTGTACTTTAATTAGTTTAAGAAAGATCTGCAATTGCCTGCAGGATAACATTAACTTACTGTTTTTAAGACATACTACTAAGCCTTAGGCTGATGTTTCTCTTTTGAATAATTCTTATTATTCATATCACAATATATTTTTATATTATAATTACGTGAAATAGTAGGCTGGGAAACAATTTACGATAAGTTAGAAATCAAATCAACGCGATTAACGAATATAATGCTGCCGATATTTATTTATTTTAACGGGGTCGAGCACATATCGATAAGTTTTTCAATGCGACAACGTATATTATGACGTCACAAAAAAAATTAGGTTTTATGTTTACACAAAGAGTGTCTATTCGAGAAAAAAGTGTACGAAGTCGTGAAATGTAAATAGAAAATATAAATGTTTGCCGTTAATTTACATTACATTCGTAATAGAATCACAAGCAAAAAAAAATGTGGTGTTCTTTTGTGAGATTTTAATATACACTTACGTCTCGCAGTGAACCCAAAAAATATTTTGAGAGCCAAGTTAAAATATATGCCTCTATGCCATTAGAATAAATTCTTAAAAGTGGTTCTTGTTCTAATTCCATGTTTCAAATTGTTCGAAGAAATATTGGAATAGAATGGAATGGAATGCGGTTATTCGATTAAATATAGCAATCGACGCCGTTCGGTAATGGCGAAACAATTGTACAATAATTTATCAAAACACATTTTTTGTACTCGAAGCAATCATTTATTAGTTGGCGAATATTTGTTGAAATCTTCAAATCGGTTTATAATAGAAAATGTAACAATGTGTGTTTTGCCATTAAATTAATTAAAAGGATACTTGGATTATGCCATTTGTTATGGATATATGTACTCGCTGTCCGGGAATAATGCACATATGCATGTACTAATTAAAATAAAGGTCAAATGATTTGTTAATAAACGAAAATAATATACAATTGTCGTACGTAAAGGCACATGTTCATTTTCATGCATGCGAAGATATATAGAAGAGTGCATGCGTATAATTGTTTAAATGGATCAGCATTTGCATTTAAATCAGCAGCGTTGTAACGATTTGTATTCAAAAAGTACGTGCAATATACATTCAGAAGAACGAATTGATATCGACCGATCCGAAAGAGATGCAACGCACCCATTATTGCGTACTGATCAGCATTTAATAAACTTTACGCAGTGTCTTGGATGTAACGGACAAATTCAAAACAATTCGTTTAGCGACATTTGTGCGCATTATTCACTTTATCGGCATCCACAGAGTAATGCAAAGTGCTTATATTGCAGCGGAAGCGTTTATTACTATTTACAACCGGGAAAACTGAATCCAGAAGTTTTTCATTACTGTTCGCCACGAAAACAATCCAAAGAAGAAAATACATCTGCAGCGTAAGAAATTGTAAACATGGCAAATACTGGCACCGATTTTGCTGAAGAGAATTCCGACATGGAATTTGACAAAATGTCTGAAGAATCTGAAGCGTCTGAATATTCTGATCATGATAGCGAAGATGGCGGCACCCTCGATGATGAAGCAGGTAGTTCAGTCAACTATCAATCCCAGGCGACCACCAAAGGTTCTACAAACAAAAACGGCACTATTGGTTCACAAAGTTCATTAAACAAATTACAATTGGGCAAACTAGGTGGAGAAAGCGGCCAAGCGGTTCCACTACACAATCAGAATTACGGCAAAACGGTAACCGGGCATCCGAACTATGGTTTTGGAAAGCGCTGGTCAAAATCAGAGGACGTTTTACTAAAGGCGCTAGTTGAGAAACATGGTGAACGCTGGGATATTATTGGGCCAAACTTCAAGGAGCGACTCGAGCAGCAAGTACAACAGCGTTGGGCAAAAGTATTGAACCCTGAGCTTATTAAGGGGCCTTGGACACGCGACGAAGATGACAAAGTTATTGAATTGGTCAAAAATTTTGGCCCAAAGAAGTGGACATTGATTGCTCGGTATTTAAATGGACGAATTGGGAAACAGTGCCGTGAACGTTGGCATAATCACCTTAACCCAGTGATTAAAAAAACGGCTTGGACCGAGGAAGAGGACAAAATAATTTATAATGCTCACATTATGCTTGGAAACCAATGGGCTAAAATAGCAAAACTACTGCCTGGACGCACAGACAATTCAATCAAAAACCACTGGAATTCAACAATGCGCCGTAAATACGATGTTGAACGTAGATCAGTTGGTACGGTAGCTGGTGGTGATTTGAAGAGCTCACGCACTCGTCTGATCGAATTAATCAAAACCGGTGGTAGCGGCAAGTTGCCACAAATTGCTAATTGCAAATTGGCACCATTAAATGGAAATGTTATCAATTCAAATAAACCAGAAAAGATGGAAACACAAGAATCGAATTGTAAGGAATCGTCTGGCAGCCAGATGATCGCTAACAAAATTACAAAAGAATTGAGCAGCGAAACATACAAAACAGCGACTCGCTTCGCAGATTTTGATGCACAAAGTGGGAGTGGGTCGGCGAAATGTATATCAATGCCAGGACAACCTCTTTCGCAATATCCTGAACTTAAGCTTAGTAGGTCGACGCCTAACATACTTAAGCGATCCCGCACACACATTCCTGATGTATCGAATAGTCTTAATAGCAGTACGGATGTATCGAAATGCGAAACAAGTACAAAGCTGCCAGAATCCCCAGTTATTACACCAATTAAAGCGCTACCCTTCTCGCCAAGTCAATTCTTAAAATCGCCATGCTTCACAACATTTGAAGATATGAATTTACGGGCAAGCACGCCAGTCGTCAAAGTTTATAACCGCGTCGGAATGATAGTTAAAAAGGAATCGGAAACGTCATCAATTGAAACGCCACACAAGAGTAAGTGCCGCTTCCCTTGCTTATCACGCACAGCTTTCTTAATTTGTATTCTCCAACACAGGTTTAGTTGTACCACGTACTCCAACTCCATTTAAAAATGCCCTCGAAGAAGTTGGTAGAAAGCGAGGCGGTCGGTCTTTCATATCGTCGAGTCCTACGAGTATGGCTGAGGATATAGCTCAAATCATCAACGAGGAGCAGAAGAATGAACTCGAGGCCAATTTCAGCAAAGGTGGTGGTGACAATGATCGCGATGACCTGTCAGACGCGGAGTATTCAAATACTCTTGCAAACATAAGTTTGCATTCGCCTGCACCAAAGCGGGCCAAGAAATCATTGCTTCCCAGTTGGAACGTAAACATTTTGCAATCTGGAAAAAAAATGCAACCGTTTGAAACAGAGACACCAAGCAAATTTCTGAATTCAGGACAATCGCTAACACCTTTCTCCCCAAGCAACATAATGAAGGATACATTATGCAGTGAAGAGGATTTGCTGTTCGACGAGGGCAAAAAAGAAAATAGGCCGTACGGTCAAAAGATTCGTGGTATATCCAGCCATAATCTGTTGGACCCAAAGTGGGCTCAAGTTGCTTGCGGCAAAACCAAAGATCAAATTTTTATGGAGGAGGCGGCACATGCATGTCTTCAGAATTTCGACTTGATGCCGCGGTCCCTAAATTTTGAGAAACAAAATTAATTTTCACTTAACCGTTTGAAAAACAATAAAAATTGTATAAAAAATATATTTTGGAAATATGTATTTGTTGAAAATATGTAAAAGATCAATACAATATTCCGATTACTAATGTTAATAACAGTCTAACCGCCAAACCTAGTGGATCACTTTGCCGCTTTAAAACCCAACAGGTTATGGGCCCAGACATAAAGAAAAAGTTGAATGAAAGTATGTATGTTGAAAATATGTAAAAGATCAATACAACATTCCGATTACTAATGGTAATAACAGAAAATATCGATACTGCGCTCGATACCCCAACTTAAGTATACATTGAATAAAAGCTCTTCTTAGTCTAACCGCTAAACCTAGTGCATCGCTTTACCGCTTTAAAACCCACCAGTATTAGCAGCACTAATATGTAAAGTATGCTTAAGAATTGTATGAACCATGCAAAATATTATGTAGAAGCGGTCAAAATAATAGAAGTGTTGCTTCATAAAATGCTAATTCTCAATATTGTCAGGGCCTCTTTCAGATTTTCTTCGATTTCATGGATCTTTTACCCATCGATTCTTTGTTCTTTTTTTTTTTTGTTTACCTATTTGTTTTACTTATGTTATGTTTTTGTCTGTTGTCTTGACCTAGTTTATTAAGAGTTTGTTGAGTAAAATAATGCAATATTATCTCATCTGCTTAACACAATTCCAAAAGAAAAAAAAAACTGCACATGTGAAAAGCTAAAACTCTTTAAAAATATTTAATCTCAAGAAAAGTGTTCTACTTTGTAAAACAACGAATGGAGGGTTTTTTAATCGAATCTTCCCCGGAAAATCGTGGTAAACGGCGGTTATTTTTAATGAACGTATTCCACTACTACTACTATCCTTTTTTAATTTTGTTAATTTATGTCAATCGCGTCTTTCGATGTTTACATATTGTCATTATTAATTGCTTGTGTTTTAATATTCATAATTATACCATTGTAACATATTATGTATTTAAATGTGGCATATTCAGCTGGAAGTCTGTCGTAAAACAGAAAACAAAAATATCAAATGTGTGTAAAACGTACAACCACATAATATTGTGAATTGGGGACAAAAATGTGGATTTCGGCATGTATAATCCGGTCTACTACAGTATGCAATCTGCGGCGTGCCTAAAAAAATTGTTCTTTCCTGTATTTGAATTATGTTTGAGCTATTTGTTTTTAACGACTGATCAGATAAATATCGCATGCTGTTAAAATCGGATCTTTAGATTTCGGCTAAATCTATTATATATAGAAAAGAGCTGAAATGGCTAAATGAATTGGATTCTCAAGAAACATTATTTGCAATCTACTTGCATCATCAATCTACAAGCTATGATTAAAACGAAAAGATTCTCAGAAAATTACATATGCAATTTTACAATTTATATTTACAAAATACCTGCAGAGATCATATAATTTGTCGTAAGGTGTGTGTCGCAATGAAGAAAATGTTACCGACCGCATTAAATATATATATTCATATGCCGGATAGAATAATTATATCATTAAGCTGCTCGTGCGAAAGATTTGCTCTTATATAGAAAATAGATAAAGAGAAATCCGTATTACCTAACACAAAAACACAATAAAATTGATTTATCTATAATGCCTGTACAACATAGCTATATATTAATGTATATATGTATACAATGATATTATGTTCTAGTTTAAATTTGTAATTTGTGTACCATTTATAAAATATGACATGAGTAATGTATTGTGAAGCATTGTTTTTATACCCCTTTTATACTCCACAGTCTTAAGCTATTAATGCAACTTTAAATAAATAAGTGAATATATAAAATAAATCTGTATTTTTTCCGACACATTTTCATATGATAAAACCGAACGCATCACATAACTATCCAAAATAGGAGCTATCGGCCGAAATATAAGTTATCAAAAAATTACGAAATGTGTACATTTACCGGCTAAATAATTGAAAAACAAAATGCTAGTTCCAAAACCGGAGCTAAGTTTTTCAATTCGAAGATAACTTGACGCAAAAGTAGCTGAACTGTAATATTTGAATGGTTGCAAGATAAACTCAGCTCAGGGACCAGTTCCATTTAGTGGCATTCTTTGTGCCAAACACTTATCTCTGACAACGTTGGAGTCAAACTAACAAAAAAATGTCAAAAGAAAAAATATATTGATGTTATCGTGATTTTTTTTTGATATTGTACGCGAACTCATTCAGTGGGCCTATCATTGCAAGTGAGATCAATGAAAACGATACGACATGGAAGAGAGCGATACGATCAAAGTTTACCAGCAGCGAACTGGCGAACAAATAAGCTAGATAATATATAGAGAATTACTACTACCTCTTTGATACAACAAATTAATTTGACTTAGTCTTACTACGTAGATTTGAATGAATGAATTTTTAAGATGAGTAAGACCTCAATGTCATCTTGGCAAAAACATTGCCTCTATCCTTTTTGACTAGATTATTATGAATATTTAAAGTATCTATGCAGTCAGGCTGGAGTTTAGTAAAATCCTTAAGTGACCATAAATGCATGCCGATGAATCCATATCCAAATCTGTATATTTACTTACTGCAATCTTTTTTCCCTGGTGTAGAATTTAGTTTGCAGTAATGTCATTTTAAAGATTAAGATCAGGTTAGTCTTTGGGTGCAAGCGATTTCAAAGATAAAACAATGTTTTGTATAAGAATACTAACTACATTATTATTTATTTTGTATGTGTTTTTGGGACTAGCTATTTAACAATTGTTTGCGCTATCGCTAAATCCTTGAAATTGATATCGTCGGGTGCATTATCAATAGCAAAGTTAAATTTGAACTGGGTTCCATCGTTTGTAAGCCGGCTTGTTGTCAGCGAGGAGACCTCAGATTCACACACAGCTGATGTCGCTGGTTGGGCAATTGATGGAGTTACATCGGAATCAGTAGCGTTATCAGTGGGCACAGCAAAGTCAAAACGAAAATCCTTTCCGGAAGTTAGTAGGGCTGATTTTTTGACGAACCTGGACTCTTTATTTGCATCAGTCGCGGGCGTAAATTTGATTTGTTTCGAAGCTACAAATAAATAATAAAAAAAAGAATACATTAATTTACTCCGGAAAACATGCAGTGAAATAAATATATTCCATATAAGTCCATCATCGTTCTATCTCTTTCTAGCACGTATTAGAAAGAGATCAAGTGATGAAGAAGGCACACTATCGGATAACGTAAATATAATTTACATATATACATATGTATTGATTCTGTTGGCAACAACATATTCCTTATAAATACTATTACCTTACTCACACAATACATGCATGTATATTTTACTTACAAGCTTAATATCACTTAAGCTTACGCCATAATTATTAGTACTATTCTTAGGTAATTTGTTGACCCATAAGTAAAACAGATTTTGTCTTATAAATTTTCTTCGCGCTGCACATGGGTAATAGTTAAATTAATCAGTTGGCGGCGGTTTCTTACCCAGCAGCAGCTTCTTTTCTTCCTGTTGCATTTTAGACCGGTAATCGCCCAGGGCAATTTTCATAACCTGACGCTTTTTTATGAGAGGTGCTGTTTGGCTCGTTAATGTTTTTAAGTTTTTGGCCGCATTTTCCGCTGTGAGTATAAATGTGTTGTATATACATACATATATGCAAATATAAGTTGAGGTTTAATTTAGTTTACCAATTTTTTGGCTCAATTTGCCGGTGTTTAAAGCGGTTTGGAGCTGATGAACGCACCAATAGAGTTCCAGCTCAAATTGTATGTCGCTTTCTCCATCGAATGCGGGTTTCTTGGGCACCGATTCAATTGGCGGTGGGTTGCTGACCGATTTTGCAGTCTTCCTGCGATGCATGTTTATACTCACTTCATGTGCGACTATTTAAAATACATATACATTGACACATACCATGCTTGCATATACATGTATGTATATGGGTATATGCGATGTATATTCTAACGCCTTCGTGAAGTCGCCATTTTGATGACGTCAGGGCTTATGTTGTATGACACAAATTCATGCAATGCCATACAATTTAACCGATTTTTTTTAACGTAATTGTATATTTTGATCTAATTCAATTCTGCCTATATGTTTTCGTTTTTTTTGTTTCTCATGTTTTTACAATTTCATAAACGGGTTGTTTCATTTAATTATTTAATTTTTATTGATTGAATGTAAGTAAGAATTATATAATATTTGTACAACAACCATTGATGTAAGTGACAATATATTTCTGCAAGTCGAACATATATCGTTCTGTATCATACATATTTTAACTACTAATCTAAATAAATATTCAAAATAAACAATATATTGCTGATAAATATATAAATGCACCTCTGTCATGCAAAGTCGCTCCGTGTGTTATTGACTTTAGGGCTACGATACTAGTACTGAAAAGTTTTTGCCGGCCCTGGCAAGAGCATCGTGTTTCCGTTTTACTTACATATCTGCCTTTTTAACATCGTCGACTGACAAAGGTAGGTCGATTGCTCTCGCTCAAATTTTTGATTTGGCTAATATTGTTATTCTCGTTACATATAGTTGTTTTTGTGACTTAAACGTTCAATATGGTTGCCGTAAAGAAACAGGTAAGTGCTAACCATAGATCGAGTGCGAAAAAAGTAGATCATTAACAAAAACGGTTTGTGTTTTAATTGCAGAAAAAGGCCTTGGAGAGCACCAATGCGCGTTTGGCGCTGGTTATGAAATCCGGCAAATATTGCCTGGGTTACAAGCAAACGCTGAAGACCCTGCGTCATGGCAAGGCCAAACTGGTGCTCATCGCCAGCAACACGCCTGCTTTGAGGTGAGAGCGAAAACGTTTCGCTATTGTGGAATTGAAAGAAAATATTACTGAGAAGTAGATTTCCATTACGCCCAAGTATGAACAGCAATTTTAGGCTGTTGTAGAGTTGTTGTTGTTGTTGGAACCATATGGAGTCTTCTTTAATGCGGACTGAGAAATATGATTCCAAAATCGAATAATATTGATGGAAACTATGGAGTAGTATTGTCTCAACCAGCAGTAACAGCACATATGCGCAAGAAAGCAAGAGCGATATAATTTCAGATTGCTCTGATTCGCATGGCTCCAAATGGTTCCAGTAACGACATTCTGTACATGGATGCTTGGGGTAAGGACTTCGTCTCATTAGATTTCACCAATTATCTCAATTTGAAGCTATGCACAACATATATGATGATTTTTGTAATTCCGATAGCCCTGACGAATTTTATTACTAGAGACTCTTTCTGAATGTTGTCAATACTAACTATAGAGATTAAGAGGACATTCTCAAACACTGTGAATGGTATTTAACAATTTGGTCTTGTGACAATTGCAGGAAGTCGGAGATTGAGTACTATGCCATGTTGGCCAAAACTGAAGTTCAGCACTACAGTGGCACCAATATTGAGCTGGGCACCGCTTGTGGCAAATACTTCCGTGTGTGCACGATGTCCATTACCGATCCTGGAGATTCGGACATCATCCGCTCTTTGCCCGACAATTAAACAATGAAAAGGATATATATAATTTTGTAAATCGGACATTTTTAATAAAAACCCTTTGAAATTGTATGCATGGAGTTTGAAGACTTATTATTCCAGGTTTAATGCGTGCGAGAGATATTTTGATAAGGTTAATCTAAAGTTCTAGTAATTCTACTAGTTGCGTGGGTACAATATGTGCTTACGCCGGCATTAAAGCGGATATGTTTGTGTGAATTGAATACTTATTTCAAAATGTAAAAGTCGGTTAAACAATTGGCTAACACACATAATTCTGTGAGGAGCTCGTATAAATGCACAAATGCACCGCATCGAATATTAAGGGATGGACTAAGTGGCGATAACTTTGGAGTCTGCGCTGTGAAGCACAATCAAGTTGTGCACATCACTAGCTCTGTTTTAAATAGATTTAAAGTTGCCTTGCGTTTCATGTTCTGGACAAATGCCTTCTGAATATTTATGTGGTTATCATATGATAGCAAACACACCGACAGCAGAACCCCGGAGTCTGTGAGGCTGTTCGTATTGCAATTTAGCGCTTGAGTGTTGATGCGCGAGAGTCGACAATGAGCTCGAATCGCTTTTTACCACCCGGGAAAGATACAATTGAAATGATGCAGGATATTAAGGAAATTCCCACAATTTCATCGCAGCGAAATCTTAAAAGGAAAATCAGCGATCCGCCCGAGGCCAACAGTTTTGTTATGTTTCAAGGCCGAGACGAAAGCTATCCGGAAGAGCTGAACAAATTGATACTGCCCCTGTCCTGTCAATTATGCAAGGCACAGATGACCTCCATGAAAAGCGCAAAGGACCACTATGAATCCAAAGCACACGATCGTCATATTAGTGCCTGGCTGGCGAAAAATTACACAGAGGTGGGCTTGCAGACGCCACCAGTTAAGCGTCTGGTGAAACAGGGCCCAACTGGTCCAAATGCATTCCACTGTAATCTATGCGACCTGGCCCTCACATCGATGACCCATGCCCGCCAGCACTACGCGGGGCGCAAGCATCAATTGGTGGAGCAGAGACGCTCCAGGCCGTCCGGTGCTGGATTCTACAATGCTGAAGGTAATTGGGTGCGCACTGGCACAAAAGCGGAGGTTGTCGCCGACGACGGTCGATTTGGCATTGGAGAACTATTCGTCAAAGCGGCGGTTGTTACAGATCTGCAGTACATGGCATCAGATATAGTTGAAAGCAATTGTAATGGAGACCAGCAGCTGGAAGCTAAGACGCCCGCTCTAGACGAAAGTCTTACATGTAAAATATGCAAGATTAGCGTCACATCCGCATCGCAAATTAAAATGCATTTGGACGGTGCAAAGCACCAAAAGAATCTACGCAAACAGAACCTGGAGGATGATGCAACAACGCCTGCTCTGTGTGGCGCGCCCGAGCACACATTAAGTACAGCAGCACCTGTTGTCACTGATGTTGATGGGGAACTATCCATGTATCGAACACCTTCCGGCTCGTACTATTGCAAACTGTGCAATAAGGCTATGAATCACATATTCATATTACAACAGCATCTTCAGGGCAAGAGGCATCTGAAGACTGTGCGTCAGAATGCAGATGCGATTGTTCACTAATATACCGAAAATGAACAGATATCTTAGGCACAACGAAGTTTACATACCCTTGCAGACCGGAGGCCACCTGCAAACAAACAAGTTTTTCACACAAAAACTCAATTTTCGACTGATCCTTTCTATGGAAGCTGTATGATGTCGTCTTCCCATTCGGCCGACTCCGATATATGTACCGCCTGCAGCAAAAGCACGGATATATTCCAAGCTTCCTCAAGATAGCTTAATAACTGAGGGATTGAAATGGATAGGCCGACGACCATAGCTATATCGACTCGACTAGTGATGCTGATCAAGAATATATAGACTTTATGAGGTCACAGACGTCTCCATTAGGGCGTTACAAAATTCGCGACAATTGAATACCCTCTGCAAGGGTATACAAAATACATTTGTATAAGAAATGCTTGACTATAATAAAATACGTTAACCAAAATTGAGTAAATGCATTTCATTCACATTTTATTACTCGTACATAACATAAAACTTTTTTTTTTATTTTATTTTTTTCTTAATCTTTTCTGATTATTTTGATTTCAAAATTAGTGTTTTTTTTTGTCTATGCTAATCCACAATACACGTAGTTCAAATCTTTTAGGAGTCATGTAAGTGTTTGACTAAAAAATGCACTTTTATCTTTAGAAGTAAGAGCTAAAATGATAGCATTTGAATGCTGGCATTATTTACAAGTTTTCAGTAGGAAATAAGGAGGGGGGTAAGGGGATATCATTATAGCGCTACTCCATTTTTCACAGCATTTCTAATCAAATTGTTAGACACAAAACCGGTCCGCCGAATGAATAATTATACATATGTAATTGCTTTTCGTCATATTACTGTGAGGGCGAGAACTCGGTGGGCGCCAGGACGCGGCAATGCATTTCGCGAATCAGCGGCACAGTGTACGCAACGCACTCGTCCCAGCCGGGTGAGCGCCAAGCTGCCTCTCTGGTCTCTTTGCGATCCTGCAGCGACTTGTAACCTGAACAATAACGAACCATAATCAATGTGATGTGCTATTTAGATGGTAAAATTGAGAATGCTTCGCAGCTATCACTTACACCAAATGTGATGGACATTATAAAGTCGACCAATCTGTGAGAAAAATCCAGCGAAGGCTTCATTGTTGTGCTTGCGGAAGTTTATGGCACGTGCCCAGTTGTTTCCCCATTCGATCATGGTGCCTGGGGTTAGTCGGTACGATCTGTTCACAAATATCATTGTTATAATTACAAAATTGTCGAACTAAAGTAGTGGTCGCTTCAAAAATTAAAAAGTCTCGGATAAATAATGTTTGGAAATTTCTTTAAGCCAATTAAAGATTAATAAACATTCTCAAAAAACACGATTTTGAATATCAGAAGACTGTAATTTTCGAGCGACTGTTACTATATCGAATTAATTGAAATTTTTAGCTTGCCGCATTTCGTAGATGTTTTTGCCAGATCGGCTCGCGATTTGAGGCCAATAGCTGAAGGCCAACAAGTATTGCAGGTGACGTGAGCGTAGAAATTTGGAACGCTCGCTCATTAGTTTAAGATACTCGGGATCGTTCCACAGATCCTCTTTGGCCTGATCAATCTTCTCGAAGCCTCCCGTGTATTTCCATAAATGCAAACACTGATCCATATCGCCCACTTGGACAGTCCATGATGCAACCAAATTGCACGACAGGCTCGTCTTCTTTTCATTAATTAGTCCCACAGTATTTTTGCTAAACATTGAAAATTCATTAATTTAATTGAAAACTTATCTGATCTGATAAGTCACTCACTAGTTATTTAGATAGTTGCCCATCGAATCAGGGCGCACGTTATGTGTATGCAGGGCATATATAATTTCCTTATCGCTCAGCATTCGGCTGTGCGACTCCTTGGTAGGCTCGATTTTTCGCACCAGTAACTTTGAAAACCATGATTCTGATTCCTTGCAGCTTGAGGTTGTTGAAACTGATCTGAATGTACACAAATACAATAAGGAAGGTTAACTAAGTATAGAGTAAATAAATAAGATATGACAGTCAAATAAGATATAATTGAAATGATTCCTAAAGTTCATTTTCCAATTAATGGTCTTATCGCGCTCATATATATATATATATATACATCGCCTTCGCATTAGAATTTCAACTTACCGGAAAGTGATAGGGCCGGTGATATTGCCCACAGACAAGATGTTACGTAGTTTTAACATTTTCGCTTCGACAATTCACGATGCTTGGGAGGGTAGCTGTGGGAAATTATTTGCATGTTATTTGTGCTACTGTTATCATTCCAGTCGATTTTTGTTTTTAATTGTATGTTTTTTTTTTTGCATTGTCCCCTTGCACTTTAGTCAAGGTGAAGTCAGAGTCAGACAAACAAGTGGCACAAGGAATAATATCTCCCCATCGATTGTAAATGTTGTCGTTTATATACGGCCCACCCACAATTGGAGTAACTTTGCAGTTCTATAAACTTGTATACCTAAAAATGTTCTATTTTTATAATTTTATTGGAAGCTGCATTCAAATACTATTCCTTAGTATAATATGTACATATGTATGAAGAAATACATCCATATGTGTATATGTGCGTTCGTCTTATCACTGGTCAATACAAAAAATATTTAAGACACAGTTGTCTTCTGCTACGACAACTTGTAGACCTACTTTTAATGCGTTGCAGTCTTTTTTTTTTCCAACTAAGCTTTTATTTATTTGAAATGCAATGTTGATGTTGTTATGTATTTAAACAAAAAGAAAATAATAAATTCGTGCTATAAATAAATATGCGATATGCTGTATAAATATCGATTGTTGGATTGCTACTCTGCGACAAAATGATTGACCACAATCGATAGTTCGGAAGCAACCCTTTGTTATGCACCTGATATCTTGCCGAGCTTGCAAGAATAGCTCAAATGTTATTCGCTATGAATGCAATTTTATTATACTTACAATTGAATGAAAACTATCGCAGCCCAAAAGTTTGTTATTCATGGTATACATTATTATTTTAATAATAATTTCCAATTCGGGGGTGTCATCGACTGAAAACCACACACAAATCAAATTAAGAAAATCCGTTATATACGCAAAAGCTTGTTGAGGAAATTAATTGTAGCGATGAACACGATAATTGCAAGCAAACATTTTGCCAGTGTGTAGCTTGATACATACGATTAAGAAAACAAATTTGTATTTATCTTATATTTGAAAGTATGTATTTTGATTTAGTCATAATATAGCATGGATGAACATGACAATACACAATTATAGCAATTTAACAATATTGGTGGATGTTAGTTCCTCCTTCATCCACCCGCATAGATTACCATTAACTAAGTGATGTATACAAATCAATTTCAATTTAATAGATTAACTATACAATTGGGCTAGCAGAATGAGGATTTAGAATATTTATGTATGTGTAAGGGGCTACATTTCAGATAGGGTAAAACCCTATCGTCTATCATTTTACAATATTTACAAACATAATAATTGCCAAAACACACAATTAAATGTCCCGAACTCATGTAAGTGATAGTTAAACTTGTACTTACACTCATAACCAAACATATTAACAAATTTTATTTGATTTTCCACTTTGTTTCTAGAAATTTCTGAAATTTCTTTGTAATATAACATATGTATGTATTTAGTATTTATATAAATTATGGGCAAGTTCTTTTCGGAATACTTCAACTGATTTTTTGAACTATACGAACAAGTTTTCGACTTTATTTTAGTAAGAAGAATATCAATAAAAGTCGTGTAAATTGATATAGAAAATTCTATGTATACATATATGTATGTATGTATTTATGTGTGTATGCCTGTTTGCATGTATGTATGTATGTATATACGTAATGGATTTATACGAATATTTGTTGGACAAGTTAATCTGATTAGCAGTTGCATGAAGCATACACATTCACATTCAAATTTTTTGAATTTGTTCGAAATGTTTTATGCAATACTATGCAATGGTACTGGTACTTGTATGTTGTTGTACGGTTCAGGATTCAATGCTAAGAACAATTCCTTGTCATTAATTCGCTATCATTATTTGAATATCATGAAACTGCGACGAATGGCTCCTGTAAATATGAAAACAAATCACAATGATGATAAGACTCCATGATAACAGAAAGCAGCCGGCAGATCTTCGTGCTAAGTTGTGTTGGACAGCAGCGGGTAGCTCTCCTGAAATCCATTGATAAGATAAGTTCCTTTTTTATTTTTCTTTGGCAACGTATGTGTTGAAAACTATGGATATTACCTGTAAGTACTTGAACATGTACAAGTACAGTAAATAGTCTCCCAAGTGAGCAGGAATAATTTCCACTATCTGAGATTTTGGCATCTGGTATAGAAATTCGACTGTTGAGCCATTTGTCGGATACACTGCGAAAGAATATATATATATATATATATATATATATATATATATATATATATATATGTATTTATATTTATTTGTATATATATAGATCCCATTATTATTCAAATCGATAGTAAATATTGGGTTTGTTTCTTTCTTTGTTATACCTAAAACGTCTATTGGTCAGTGCTTGAAGAGGCTCCTCGTCCTTGGCCCATGTGATGAAATTAATAAAATATTTCTCCAATTCTTGGCTAGAGAATGTGCTATGTGTTTGATTAGCATAGCTAATCAGATATAATTCGCTGGCCGTATCATTTAGTTTAGAGTTGGAGCTACTCGATTCCGTTATGTTGTGGCGCTCCTTTTGAAAGAAATTCCGAGATATTTGACATTGGAGATCCACAGTGCTGCCCGACTTGTAATACCGGTCACCCACATCGCGCTCATGCTCATCAATTATCCTTAAGGGTGGCTCTGAACGACAAATATTTCACACTTTACATAGCCAGCAGATCAGTGAATGAATGAATTGCTTACCCAATATGGTGAGATTGGTGGTAAAGACACGCGGAGGATGCGTTGAAACCTGGCACATATAAATGCCAGCATCTTCCCTATGAGTGGGATTAATTATCAGACGCCAATTGTTTGGATACTGAAACTTGACGCTAATGCGAGGATCACCGCTATATGTCACATTGCCAACGGTGAGCAGTGAGACCTTCTCAGTTGTTCGCCTCACCCACATTACCTATAATTTAAAACACATTTCACGTAAGCTTCGAGCTGATTTTGAATATTTCCGAATATGTCATAGATATTTGTAATTTATTGTAATTGAACATACCGTTTTATCCTTGAGCATGCCGACGCGACAATTAAGCACCGCTGCCGTAAATAGATGGACTGAGGACACCAATGTCTTGCCCGGATCAATTAGATTTGATGGCTCCTCAAAGAAGGGTCCATAATGGTTCTCATGATGATACTTGCTGCGAAATGTGCGGGATCGCTCGGCATCCACGGAGTTGCCAGCGTTCCAGTGATTCCTGGAGCGTGTCGAGTCGATGGGTTGCTTAATTGTGCTCCTAACATTCTTGGTCGTTGTCGCCATTGCCGTCGCCGTTGCCGTTGCCGTTGCGGGTCTCGTGGACGCCAAATAAACCCCAGCAGCAGCAGTGCTATCATTTTTAACTGTTGTGCTATTCGCAGTCCATTCGCTCTCAGCTTCTATCCTCATAGATGCTTCACTGCCTAGTCCAATGTGTCCCAGTTGAGTTTTATATGTCGTCGTTGGTATCCCGTCTAGCATTGGGGAGACGTCGGATGTTGTGGCTGCCGTATCGGCAGCACTGACTGATAATGATTTGGTCGTATACTGTTCATCAAAATAAAAATTATTCTCTGTGCTGGTATTCGGTTTAATCCCAATCGTTGATATTGAGTCAGTTGTGGATGCTGCTGTTGTACCTGGACAGCAAACAAGAAATACAAACAGATCGACTTTAATTGATACACATGGACATACATATATCTATTTTAAGCTCTTTGCCGGATTAGATGAGCTAAATGCCATTATAATTCTGTTTTCCCAAGTATTATTATTGATTACAAATTGAATCAAAGTTTTCAATACATTTTGTTGGAATTATGTTTAAAAATAGTCCATGTTATCGTCTACTTACCAAGAACACAAAGCACTTGTGATGCAATTATGGAGACAACGGCAAGGGCCCAAATAAGGCTCTGGCTCTGGCTCAGGCTCGGGCTCGGGCTCCGGTTCAGGCGCGCAATATTCTGTTGATGGGGTTTCAGTAGGAACGTGTGGGCCTCGATTGATGCTGATGCTGATGCTGATGCTAATGATGCGCTATTAACTCTTGAACGCCTCATCCTTTGCACGGGATGACGTGACTTTGATAAGCTGGTCCGTGGTAATCAGAAATCTTCATTTTATTCTAAAAGCTTAGCTGGCCCCGACTTTTCCAGCAGCAATAGGCAGCAACATTCACAAATTATTCTCAACTTGCCAGCCTATTTAGTTATGAATGTTGAATTACTGAAATTATACATTCAAATTATACGAAAGGTTAGATAGGTCAAGCAGGTCGGATTGGGCGAACCCATACTGTGAGTAAACAGAATTTTTAAATCGAAACGAAACTTGTGAATTTAAAACATTTTGTGACCCAGCTTAATTTTAAAAACAATTTAACAAGTTGCAAAGGTATGAAAATTGTTTTTTTTTTGTACCCATCAAGCGGTGAAATAAAATATGTATATAGACTAGAAGGCATTTCCCAATCCGGCACGGTCTCAATGTTTTTTCGCCCGTAAGCAAAATGTTCTATATGAAACTTTTTGATGGGTTACAACAACAAAATGACTTTTTACGCTTGCAAAGGGTATCATAATCTTCTCGTGAAGTGTGTAACGCACTGACTGCTTCAGTCATCTCCGACACACACTTAGATGAGAGCCGCACGAAAGACAAATGTTCTTTCTTATTGTCAATTTCCCTCTAATGGTGCTGCGTAATTAAGCAGATAATAAATGCGTCTGCCAGTTACATTCCTCATACTCAACTTCGTTATACTTTGTTGTTCCCCTTTTTCTTTGGGTTCGGGTTATATAAACAAAGACTGAAAAGCCAGCCCAAAATGAAATATCCTTGTTGACAGTGGCCACCGTTTGTGCACACACATCTAAACTTTAATTATAAAATCAAAAAAAACTGTTTATCCGTTTTTATTTGCTAACATTTCTTTGGCTACAAACATTTTTAATAATTTTGGTGTTTAGAAAACTTAAATGAATTACACCCCAGCATGGCCAGTGAACTTTGAATGCTTTTCGTCATTCATCAAATGATTGTAAATGATTCCAAGCTGATTCTTAGCATATCACATAGACGCACAATCATTCAATGGACTCGTGCACAACCTTAAAATACTTTCGAGGGTATATCAAATTGAGAATCTTGATTGCCTGGTTAAGAAAAAACGACACACACAAAGCTCTAACCTGTTATGATTTGTAGCAGCAGAGAAAGCTCGTTAAAAAGCGAATTTTTTTTATTATGGCGTAGTACAGATGAATAAAATGAATTAAAGTTTATGGCCACGGTGAAAGATTCTTGTGATAAGTTTTTGTCTTTTCATCAACATCGTCATCGGCATCGTCATCGTCATCATTCGTCCATCATAGTTTATGTCCTTACCCCGTCCCGTTGCCCCCCACAACATGCTTGCTTATTACATTTCTCTCAACTTCCACTTCCACTCCTACTTCCACTTCCATTTCCATTTCCATTTTGCCATCGTCTTTGAGGCGCTTGGGTGTTTGTGTGTTGGGCGTTGCTAGCGTTTGCCCTTGGCTCAAGACATAATCACCGTAATAAATATTATATTAGTGAAGTTGTTGTTGTTCCTGTTCCTGTTCTGGTTCTGGTTCTTGCTGATATTCTCATTTGTGTCTTTTTTATTTTGCTTATTTTTTTTTCCGCTGCTGTTGTTGCTTGTTCTGTTGTCGCGTTCAGTCGTATCCTTTTATAATTTTTTCTTGTTTTTTTTTTTTTACATTTGATTTCGCTATTCACTGCAACATTTATTTATGGGGGGCTCCCTGCCTGAAACTATTTACATAAACAATGATAACAAACGGATGGAGCCTTAAGGCTGCCATTGCGTATTATAATTGCAATTCAAGGGTGACCCGCCGACCAGGCGAATAGAATATTCTCAGGATATTCTCATAAAATAATAGCAATAAAGGCGACGCTTGCATGGCAAAATTTCATTTTATGAAATTCTTTCTGCTCTCCGCTCTCCGCTCTTCACTCTCAGCATTATCAGCAATAACATAGTTATTATCTAGGCAATTTTTGAATAAAAACAACAGACTCCAAAAACAACAAGTGCGCTCCTGTTGCAAACCGTCACGTCCTTGCAGCGCTTGCTTTTATTTGCACAATCCCAATTCCATGCTCAAGCCATGCTACGCTAGGCAAACGCAAAAAGGCCCAGGACATCGTCGTCATTCGCTTCCCTTACCTGACTTTGACTAACTAGCTCTTAACACTTGGCAGCGCCTAGTAACTCCTCCCTTTGAATCTGGATGTGTGTGTTTTACTCTCATGCATAAATACACACTCACATATATATATATATATATATGTATATATATATATGTATAGAGTACAGCACCTGCTGTGCCCCATTGAGTGCAAAACGTGCTTTGCTTTGTTTCACACGCATTACAAAGTAAGTCCTGTACATATTTTAGCTATCCCTGCTGTGTTTATTACACCAAATTCTACTCCTTGGCGTATATTCAGATTAGAAAGTTCTTCAGGCTGCGACGGCTGGTTGACATCTTGGGATTATGACTGTGCTGACTGAGTTTCCCAACTCGCCAACTTTTTTGACTCCTTTTAGACGTGCTTGCTACTGACACACACACACACACACCCAGACACACACACACACACACACCCAGGCACACAGACACTTTTTTACCTAGTCGGTCAACTGAATAACAAGATTGCGGTTTTGCTTTTCGTTTTGGATTTCGGATTTCGACATAGAATTGAATGTTGTTTTGCCTGGCAGAGATTGATGTATGTACACGGAATTGAGCTGAAAAATGAAAATTGTACATTTTGCTTGCGAAATTTGATCATTAGGCTGCTTAATGGCAGAGAAACCGTTGCATGCAACATTTTTGTTTGTCATTTTCGAGCGTCCACATGACAAATATGAGCAACGTGATTTTAAAATTGTTTAGAAAATCCGCTTTCAAGGCTGCAAAAAGGGACGGAAACTGCTGAAATGAGACTTTTTCTACTTTTTTAGACCCGTTTGGCTCATTTATTTTGCAATCTAAAAGTTAGCTTCTGGTCACACTGACAGTTTTTATACTCTGTTCCCAAGGGGATAACAAGCCCAGCAACTCATTTCGTGCAATTTTCATCTCTTCCGTCCGTTCGTTTGAATTTGGAAACTTTGAATGCAACTTGGAGTACATTCATCCGGTCTGGGACAATCCAAATGGCAGACTTTACAAAGGCCATAGCCCACAATAAGAAATAGCCTTTCGATTTGGTTGCTAAATGCCCCTTTCTACAATTAACATTGTAGTAAAAACACAGATATCTTCAAGTAAATTTCAAATTCCTCACTTTCTCTCTTGAGAGAGCCCTCTTTTTCGCCCCTCCTCCCAATTTTATGTTCAGTTATTGCGGTTGGATTGGGCTCAGGACTCGTCTCCTTTCCACATTGCGTTCCAATAACATTTATTTTTATGAACTGCAGCTAATGTAAAATGTAAAAAATTGACACCTTTGCCGTTTTCATAGGGTATCTGCCAGTCGAGCATAAGGCGCATGCATTTTTTGGAAAGCAACTGATTTGGTTGATTTGGTTTCCTTATGCCTGTCAAAATAACATTTATAATGAAAAAGTAATTATTTTTTGATTATTTTCAATTGAATTGCAACCAAAAAATATTAATTACTTCGTTTGCTGTAATTATGTAAATTCGATTTCATTCAAACATTCATGCAATGTTTGCTGGGAGGTATTTGTTAAGGTAGCATTTTGGGAGCTGTGGCTGCCACAAATTAAATTGAGTCTCCTTTGATGTTTTTGTTTATATTTGGCAATACATGACTTTAAATACATGTAGCATGTCCTCGATTAAATATTTTTTGTTTCCTTTTATGTACCTTTGCTTCGTAAAAAAACCCAATTAGCCTTTAAAAGCATTTTTTTTCAGCTAAATGTAATTCAACTGAGTGCAAGGAGTATTAACAGCATCATGGCAAACATTTATTTATTTTTTTCAATTTTGCAATTGTTTACTTTATGTTTGTGTTTAATTTATTTTAAGTGATTAGTTTTATTGAAGAAAATTAACAAACAGCAAGTCAACAAGCAAATGTGATTGTAAATCAGGTCCTTAGACTACGATCCGCAATGGGAGTTGGAGATATACGGAATCAGGAGAGATTGAGCCAGAGAAAGGTACAGAGAGCAATAAAAACGATATTGCATAAGAAAGAGAGAGAGAGAGAATTAGATAGAGAGAGAGAGAGAGAGAACTAGATAGGGAGAGAAAGAGAACGAGTAGTGGTTGATTAAGAGAGAAAGAGAGTGAGGTCAATCGTGTATGAATAATAATTCGTCCCTCTTTTAGTGCCTCTAATGCTATGACCCATTTATTATTCATGAAAATCAATAGAAACAAAAGCATCCTTATAATTCCTTATTCCACAGCTGTGGTTCTTATACAAAGTACTTTCAACATGTCCAATTAGGATGTGTCTTAGTTTGATCCATTTTTCTTTTTTTTCAGCGCAATATGGTCATAATATAAACAGGCATCGTTGTGCTTTCTTCCTTTCATTGTTATATAGGACATTCTAAGTATGCAAATCAAAATTCTGTGCTGAATTTAGGCACATGAGACTCGAGAACCAAAATGTATGCATGAAAACCAGTTATTATAAATACATATACATATATATGTGATATAGGAATATATATATATATATATATATAGGAGTAAAGCAAGTTACTTTTTTTTTGTATTGAATAGGCTTCAGTTGCCGGGCTGGCGACACCAGTTTAAATATCTGGCGCAAGTTTGTCGCAAAGGAAATGGGCTTAAGTTGAATGAGCTGCCGTTGAGTGGAATTGCACACGGATGCGGCAAGTGCAGCAAGTGGATAAATCTCCGCGTCGTTGGAGTGTTGTTCGCCAACTAGCTTTTCTAATTTTGAAAAATTGTTACAAACTCGGCGAAACTTTCACTTACTCAGCGTTAAATGGTTCGTGTGAGTCATATTCCTAAAATCCTCTAATGCGCTTACGAGCGAGTTGTGGCGAACTTTATGTTATCCATTTTGTTGGTGTGGGTTTCGCCCATCATATCACTGGCACTTGTATGCATTCCATGTGAAACAGAACAAAAACAAACAACAGCAACAAAAAGCCAAAAAAAAAATACAAAAAAAAAAACAGATCTTGTATATTATTCGCCCGAAACTTGATTTGTTCTGGTGTTGTGCATTACAACTCTTTTGGATATTTCGTTTTTTCATCCATCTAGTTGCTTTTGAGCAAGTAAACACAAATTCCGGCAACTTTCTGTTTGTTCTTATTCTTACTGAGTAATTGACGACAACGAGACGACCACAACAGCCGACAATGTAGATAAAACACAAAGACGACAATTGAATTGAATTTGATGTTTGGTGTTTTGCCAGTGCGGGCAGCACGTGGACTTCGCTTATCCTTGAAAACAGTAATGAACTGTCGTTGGCAAAAATACTACAACACATTGCGAATCATCCCAACGAGCAGCTCGACTTGCTTTGAGTGAAAGCTCTCTGTTTCTCTCTGGCTGCACACTCATCATCATCTCTCTCTCCAGCTGACCCACACAGCGTGGCAATCGCTCTCAGCTCACCACCAGCTAAGTTACCCCAAGTTGTCCCAAGCGTGGATTGCGTTTGTGTCCCAAACCTGATGCTGTGCTCTGTGCAGAGCACCCACTAATAAGGTAAAGCACTTCCCCCACTCACTTACATTAATTCTCACTCAAAAACTACACTTGGCTGACCATAATTTGGCATTGCCAAAAAGTTAGGTGAGCGAATTACAGAAGCAAAATTTAGTCAAAAATGTTGCATGCTAATAAGCGCAACTCGCAAAACAATGCAACAACTTTTTGATTTATTTTACATTAGAATGTCGACACTCGTTGCACATAACTTGCAGCTATTTTTTTTTGGTGGAAACAAACTAATTTTTGTTCAGTATTAAACAAATCCAAATAATTTAAAAAAATATTGCGGGGGAAAAAACAAGCACACAATCAGACCAAAAACTGAGTAGATTTCCAATTTATTTGTCATTGTGATGAACCCAGCTGCCCTTTTCATGCCACTGTCAGTCAATACAAGGCACAAAGCACAACATAAATTATCGCAAATATATTTCAATTGAAACAGAGACTTGCTTCAGACAACATCCCACACACATATACACATACAGATACAGATACAGATACACATACAGATACACATACGTATGTGTATGTAAGTTGCAATGTCGAAGCGCAACAATAAGGAGAAGGTTGAGGCGCTACGCCGGCGGCATGCGAAATTGCGTTTCAAGAGATTGGTTCGTGTTGCGTTGGTCAACAATCATTGGATAGCCGAAGTGGATGAACATGGCCTCACATTGAATGTTAAGAAGAATGTTGCAATGCTAATACGTAAGCAGCACAAGACGGGCATTCTCACCATGGCCGTAAGTCGACGCATACACATACATATATATATATATATATTATACATTCATGTCTGACAATCATTGGTGTGTTGCAGCAAAAAGGCTTGTTAGCCACACCGCACCACACACGATCCATAGAAGAGAGAAAGAAACTGTGCAACATTGTTGCCGGTCTCGACTGCTTTGCGCAAATCCCACCGGTAAGCAAAAAAGCAAAAATCTTAAACTTAATACGCCCTTCGCTTGATTTGTTGAACGTATTTATTTTGTTTTATAGAAAATTCGTGCTCGTTTGGTGCCACATTTGCATTTCATGCTGGTCAGATCGGGTCGCACCTTGATGAAGGCAGGCGATCTACCGACTGCTGTTTACTTTGTTGTTAGCGGTGGCATCGAAATGTCAACACGAATATATAACAAGGTATGATATTTCTATGAATCCATAATTATAGGTTCATGGTGTACGTTCGGCGTTGCAGGTTACCCGCAAGTTCGAACAGAAGCCTGAGGTATTTTTGGGACCAGGCGACTGGATTGGTGAGGTTGAGCTTCTAGAGAATGACATCAGGTTGAATACGTATATAGCCACAGGTAGATGATAGCAAAACTTCCATTACTGTAAATAATCTTAATTGATATTCTGATTGGCAGAAAATTCTGAAATTCTGGTACTCGACGACTTTGACTTCGATGCGCTGCTGAAGCCATATGTGAAAAAAGTTTGGATTGAGAAGAAAAAAGCGATTACCTCTCTCAGTTACCTGAAATTTATGAATGACGCCCAGGTGCTAGATAATTAGTCAAAAACTAACATCACTTTTGATTTATTTCGATTTGATTGTGATTGAAACGGAACTCCGAAAGTTTGGAATACCGCTTATAGATTCATTCATTTATTCACAGGTTGTGAGCGCCTGCAAGTTCGGGATTTTACGGCAATATGATCCGCTAAATACGATATATCCGGAAGATAAGGATAACAGTCATGTGCATTTTGTCTTAAGCGGCGAATGCGTTTTATTGCAGTGCCTCCGTATGACGGTAAAATATTTCTATTTCTATCTATTTCTATACATTTATACAGTTGAGGCTAACTATTGAGAACTATCCACTGATCCACTCAGATCTCATATGTGAGCGGAGAAACACAGTATAAACTATACAATGCGGTTGTGGAGACAAGTGAAAATGATGAGGATGACGACAAACCGGATCCGTTTGATGTTAGGGAACTGTTGCGTTCAAACACTTCGCTTGACGAGGCCGCACATATCCAAAAGAAAGTGGTACGCAATTAATTCAATTCCATTCAAACTGAAACTGAAACTGTAACGAAATTAAACACAATTTCTATGTAATTTTTAAAATGCAGCAACGCAAGGCGGAATTCGCGAAAATCGAGGCAAACTGTAAGCTGATGAATAGGAAACAAGTGTCTGTTGTGGAAAGTCCACCGAATTATCAACAATATCATCATCATGACCATCATTATGATCACCATCAGAGGAGAACCAAAGTTCCGAAGACATTGGAAAAGTTGTGGGAAGACGGGCAGATGGAAGACTACGAAGATTATATTGAAAATCCATCAATTGACGATGATGATTCGAAAAGTCGAGAACCTTTGTCTTCCCTCATGCACAGTCAATCAAGTATAGTGTCCAAATTGTTGAGCCAGCGAGCGGAATCTGAAGAGTCGGAAATAAATACAGCTTCGACATCGTCTTCGTCCTCGAATGCCACATTTTCAGGGTCGAAAAACCAGCGAGTATATTTCTTGAACATTTTTGAATGTATACTCTGTATCTGTATCTGTATCTCATTCTCATGCAGGACAAGAAGAACAACTATATGTCGCATTTTATTGACGTTGGATCGTTGGGCTTTGGTGGCTTATTCGGTGTTGGCGAGAAGGGGGACCATCGTGTTGTTATGGCCCGAACGACAGTCCAATGCCTGCTTATCCCGCTCTACTGGCTAATGGACGAGGATCAGAATCCGGGCCACATTTGGCAGCGAATGCGTTTCTATTTGGATCGCTGTATACCAACCAGAGAGATGCTTTTTCAGGATTTTATCAAGTCGCGTCAATGGTCACAATTCAAGGACGATTGCGTTGAGCAATTCACTCACTCGACCACAAATCCCACGAAGATCGAGGATATACCCATCTTCATTCGCATCGTTGAGTCAAAACATATACAGCCCCATTCTTAGGTTTTCTGAAGCTTCTATAAGTTTGTGCAATACAAAATGTTTTAAACTCTGATCGAAATAAAGCTTGTTTAACAAAAACCAATGATTTTTGGGTAGACAGATCACGGGTATATCCTTATATTATCGACCGATTATAGACTACCGATTTGCATTCTCGAATTCTCCGAATTTACCAAATAAATGTTTGAGAAATGCAAAGATATCTGATATGGAATATTCGGTAGAGCCTGAAAGTATGCAGTATTGTTGACTAGGAAATTGTTTGACTTTGCGTGTCCTTGTCTGTTTTAGCCAAGACACAAACCGCTTTTGTGCGTTAAGTGTATACCCAAACCTGGGACTTCTGCATTCAACCAACACTAATAAGTATTTCCCCATTTAGCTGAGACAAATGTTTATAGGAAAGTTCACGGATAATAGACAGATAGAAAGGACACACTTACGATATTGCAAATAATATATTTCAATTTTAATTTCCCAGTGCTAAAAGCTTGGAAAAGTTTGAGGAAATTACTTTCCCCTCCTTTGGGACATGGTGTAAGCCTACAAATAACGGTGAATTTGACAGGGAAATCAACCCGACCAGTTATTGTAACTGTATACCTCATTGGCAGCACACAAATTGGTGTATCGAGGATTGCGGCCCGCTCTGCACTGGGATGCCGATCTTCCGGGCCGATAAACGGGATTGTTGATCATATTCGTTACCGCATAGTTGCAGGCGAGCAGTGTGCCGCTGCTGCCAGATGCACTCGTATAACGGGCAACGGCGCAACCGATGCGATTGTTGCGCTCATTTACCATAGCCGTAAAATGACCAATTGCGCTGCGGGAGTATATGAGAGAGAGAGAGAGAGAGTGCGAGAGAAATAGGGATAGAATTAGTGGGAATTTTAATTTGATCACTTAAGCTTTTTACTTACGGTCCGCCACGTGACCTAAAGCGTTCTATATCAGCCCTGGTCGCATCTCTATACTCGTCGAACCAGTCTGCGATGCGCTGCCTCAGATACTGGGCTGTGTTAATGTTGCGTCGCGTGAAGAGCACGCTCAGATTCTGGCCGGAGAAACGATAAACGTTCGTATTGCGGCACTGATCGTGCGCCATGCGGCACTGCTGCACATTGTAGGCGGCCAGGCGGGCCAGTATCGGGTCCCAGGACATGGTCCCCATTTGCACCGCACTGGGAAAGCCACTCAGGCCACCTCCCGCAATTTGATTGCGGCGCTGGTTGTGCAGTTGCAGGATTAAGCCTCTGTGCGCATTTATGTTCACAAATTCACCCCGGCAGCCGTTGGCAAAACGCTTAAGCATTAAAAGTTAACGGTTAACAAGGGTTAAGGTTTGGTGGAAATGTTTGGCAATGTTGCACTTACGCCGTTATGGCCACAGCCGATATGACGACTGCCCCTTGAACAAAGTGACGGATCGCAGAAATTTTGCGCCAAAACCAAATGAAGGAGCTGCAGCAACAGCAGCAGCAGCAGCAAAGAATTCTGACTGGACTGGGTGGTTGGACGCATTCTTCTCTTCTGTGGGTTTTGATATTTTTTTTTCGATGCACGAGCGGTATTTATAGTTTACGATGCACCACGCCCCCGCCACCCGACCCCTTTCCCTTTCGCTTGAACAATAGCGACAATTCAGGTACCCCATGTGTGGGTGGGTGCCCAAAGGTCATCGACTTGTCTTTTGTTTAGGCCTCCATACAAATCAAGAGTGAATTATTTGTGCTCGCAAAAAAACAAAAAAAAAACAAAAAAACACAACATAAAAAGAAAATGAAAAGAAAAGAAAAGGAAATGAAAAATATGACTAGATGTAGTCGAGAAACAAGCGTTGATTGTTCTATATACAGCTGCGGGCACAATAATAGTATGTGAAATGAAAAAAATAAAGCTTCAAATATAGTTTAAAAATGATGAAAATTTTATTTAAACACAAATAATCAATACCTAAGTAAACAGAAAATGCTGTCAAAGTCATAAAATTAATAAAAAAAACAAGAAAGTTCTTATATTTAATAATTTTTATATTTATTTGTATTAAATTATTAGTTAAATTTATAAATAAAATAATAGTGGAATAATAATGAAGGTTTCTCAACTTTTCTTGAGGCTAAATAAGTTTTCTGAGCCACGCTTAGTATTTGGAAAATAATAGTATTTTGAAATATTCCCAGATGGGAAACCAAACATTTTTTGTTTAGCAGAATTGAATTGTTGTTTCATATTGAAAATTTTGGAGAGGTATTTTTTTATCGATTTTATCGCCATAAAATGAGTCATTAGAAGTACTATTATTTTGACCGCAACTGTACACACACACATGCGTGTGCATCCTTTTATGTAATAAATAGCGTCGACAGCTGTTGTGCACACCTCATTCAGCAAATTTCGTGTCGCCATCCACCATAATAAGTTTCGGACGGAATTCTACGAATATATCTTAATTAACAGAAGAAGCGAATTTTGTTTATTCTCTGTGAAAACTAAGGCAGAAGCAGCAACAACTTGGCGTTGTCAGCAAGGACTTTCAATTTCAAAACTAATCTAGAATATTTATGACTATATATATATATAAATATATATATCTATATGTATATTTACAGATACATACATGTAATTTAAATAATAAGCTACGATTAGCTCAGCTGGTTTTTTGTATGTCGATGGCCGAGTTGGGCTTTAATCAACAACATATTTTTTAAATGTTGCTTTGTTTCTTTTCGATCGGGGAACTTTATTAATTGTTATTTAGATGATTTATTTAAACGCCTCTCAAATTGTGTCAGCATGATGGTGATAAATACCCCAAATATACACAGCAAAAAGGTGAGGGGCACATGTTAAACAAATGTTGGGAGTAAGGTTAAGTAATAATTAATGACGATAATTATTACGCTGTACCATTATGGCAAATTATAAGATATTAACACCTGTGTCGCCACCAATGTCAAAATGTAGTAACTTTTTAGAAGTGCGATGGATTGAGTAGATGCAAGTCCAGCAGCTGCATGTGTAAGGATGTCCTTTATGCCTGGCTGCCAACTGTGTGTGCAACATTCCTTTTCATTCAGTAACTGAACTTTTCTCCCTGGCCCAGTTGGCCAATCAATTCTCAGGGCTAAACTTTGGTTGCGGCAAATGCGTTTCCGTTTCCCCCCTGCAGCGAATGGCTGCAACGCAGAGACTAACTCGAGACGTTAATTGAAATGCTAAAATGCAGCGCCAGCATCAGTGTCTGGCTGCCAAGGCCAAAGACATGTGTACATCAATATTTGTTCACCATGCTAAAGAGCTGGTCGGATAATATTTCGATTTAATTTGCAAGACTTTAGTTTAGTTTAGTTACGCTTTGATATCCATTTGATGTGCACAATTCGAGCAGTCATCAATCATCTTGAGTTTCCACACACATTCGGCACTATTTAATGAAAACCCCCATCAACAAGTTGTGTAAACACAATCAAATTGATATATATATATATATTTGTAGCTCTGACTGTCAGTAGGAAACAATCTAGAGATAAGCATCCGGTAAACTTAATGATTGTCTTAGGTTTATATAATCTCATTATTTATTTGCAAGTGTTTAGATGACAACTCGACTTTTAATGTGTGTGTCACATGCGAATGCTCCGGATATGGATATGGCAACTTGGATTACTGAATGAGGCGTAGCATATTAAAGGTGTCTATCTTAAGATGCATTGTGAACATGTGGTAAAGTTTAGATCATCATCTAACATTATTAAAGTGTCTGTGGGCAATGCTATATGTTAGAGTATTTGTAGGTCTGTCGTGTGCCACAGTAAATCTCAGATCAGATTACATCTTTCAGCAAAAAGCGAATCGAGTGCTGAAAAGTAAAAGCCAATTCGGTCGTGTGTCTCCAGAGAGTGTCGGCGCCGGAATTGTCAGTCGGTTTCAAGTGAACCTTCGCGTGATTAATGGCAGAAAGTAAGCAACATTTGTTTGTTTTCGGTTTTATTATCTTTAATGTAATGAGTATTTACAATTCGAGTGTTCGCCGCAACGAAAACGAGAATAAAAAAAAAAAATTCAACAAAATTGTGAAAGGGTTGCGTTCCAATTGCATGCCAAAACTCCTAAATGGATACAAATGTCACAACCTAACCACAAGGTATCGGGTGAGCGCGTTCGGATCGAGCGTGGACTGTTGTTTACCAGCCACCGCCGCCCTGGGCCCAGCCACCGCCGCCGCCCTGGGCCCAGCCACCCTGAGGTGCCCAGCCACCACCGCCGCCGCCGCCACCACCACCGCCGCCTTCGGAGATGACCTTAATGATTTTAATTGCGCCACCGCCGCCACCGCCATGACCGGCCACCATAGCCGCCACCGCCTCCATAGCCGCCGCCGCCGCCGTAGCCGCCGCCGCCCATAGCCGCCGCCGCCGCCTCCATCAGAAATCACCTTGATGATTTTAATGGCGCCACCACCACCGCCGCCACCGTGGCCGCCACCGTGGCCGCCACCGTGGCCACCGCCATAGCCGCCGCCACCGTGGCCACCGCCGCCGTAGCCGCCGCCGCCGCCATAGCCACCGCCGCCGCCGCCGCCACCGCCAAGGCCAAGGAAGCCTGCTTGGGCCATGCTGCATACAGCAAGCAGACAAACGAATACCTTTCGTGGAAGAGAAACAGGCACATTATCAACCAAAAATTTCACAGCACATCACAAACAACAAAAAAAATATTCAACAAAAAAAAAGTGCTCGAAAATTCGTTAATCCTGGCTACGAGATTTCAAGCTGAGCCGCCAGGCAGGCAGGACGCACCTTCATGTTGGCTGCGTGTATGTTTGGAGTTAGGAGTTTGGATTGGATTGGATTGCGACTGCGACGAGAGCTGAGCTTCAACTGTGCCTCAACAGTGCACCACCCGATGCTTTTATGGGCCACGGCCCAACCTAAGAGCTGAGAGCCCAAAACCAGAGCGCCAGCCAAAACCAGAGCCGCTAGCCAAAAAAAAAAAAAACAAAACGAAAAAAAAAGAAATAAAGTTGACCACAGCTGTATGCTAATGTATGGCACTCTAATTGCTTGTCCACGTTATGCTCTTACCGGATTATGCCATCATCAAACAAGACAACCATTGGGTGTCTCTCCGTCTCCGGCCAGTGTCTTGGTCAGCGTTTCCATCTCATCATTTGGCTGGCTGTCGTCTTCATAGTGGCTGTAACTCGATTTCAGTGTCGACTGGGTCTTAACTGCTGCCGCTCTTTATTGGCTCGTTACGCAATTCATCAAAAAAGTTGCACAAAGGCATTAACGGAACAAACCAAAGGCGAATAAGTAGCGGGTTTTAACACTCCAACTTCAAATCCAACTCCAACCATAAATTCAACCTCAAATCAAGCTCCACCTTCACAATGAACTTTCAAAGGGTTATGACAGCTTACTCTCAACATATGCATCCCATTAAAACAATTATTTCCGCTCATAGAAAGTAAGTCTAAAGTAAATCCCATGTAGCCAAGACTGTGCTTTAATGCTCCAGATGAGTTTTCTCAAGTTTTATATATAGATTAAGGGTTATGTTTTGACATTAAAAGAAAAATAATTGTTTAGTTTAGGGTTCGTTCTGATTTTGAGCTTACTTGGAGGCGTTCAATATTGAGTAGCATTCCTTTAAAAATGTACATTAAAATTTGTATAAAAATGGGAAAATACAATATGTACAAGTATGTATCAAAATATATATACATGTTTCATATTAAAAGCTTTTTTTATCGCTAGTATCACTATATAGTTTGCTTTTCCCTGGATGTGTTGCAAGAGTATTTTAACATCGGCTTTGCGATGTTTTTGTTTTAATTTTATAAAGTGCACCACCATCAATGTTGATCGAAGGGGTCAACCTGTACGCTTATTAATTGTTGGCCCCCACAAAATTAAACTGCTTTGTAGCGGAACCTTCGGATCGACACTTGATAGATGGCAAATAGTTTTCCACTGTTGCGATACGTTAATTGCTACATCTTCCTCTCAGACATTGCGGAAGCGCACGAATCCCACGCGGTCACGACAACTCATTTGTTTTTAACGGGTCCGGCCAGTGATTAGTCGGCGATTATGAAAAGCATCTATATATTATAGACCAAATAAATTGAAGACCAAGACACTCCAACATTTCCAGTTATATGAAAATGTTAACAATTTATGTGGAAATTTAAATTCAGGGCTGCTGGTTTCTACGGTTTTTTGATGAAGGCTTGTTTGCAGCCAAACAGGTTTCTAATTTACATCATATTGCATTCTTTCAACATACATACTAAATGTATATTTGTATATATATACATATAAATATATATAGATATATATTTGCATAATCAGATTCATAGGAACACACGAATTGATTTCTTGTTTGCTTCAAATCATTATGCAATTTTCAAATTATGCACATCGATAAAAGCTGCTTACAATCATTGGTATTTTCCTATAGCTAATCAATACTTAACATTTGTATACAATCATCAATTAAGTCTTTTGCTTTGAAAAATTTTGATGTAACAACTACAAGAGAAAACATTCAGCATAGCTTCGAATTGTTCATGGGAGTCGTCTAAGACGTGTGAGGGGCAGATAGATCTCTGGGTGAACCCCCTCAATTAATTGTTTCTTTCCAAAGTGTACTACTTTTATATATTAAGCATTATATCAATTACTGAGACGTGACAATATAATCCACTCATCATGATGTTTGCCAAGTTTTCTTTCTGGCAAATCATCGCTCGGGCAGAGTGACAAATATGTTTTTAATTTATGGTCATAATGTTGTTGATGTTGTTTTCTGCCATTTTTGAATAAATTGAGGTAGCCGTAACAGCACAACTGACATCAAATTAAGACTGGTACATGTGAAATTTCACGCCAACAACCAAAAAAATAAAAATACAAATAATAATAATAAAATGTAGCTTATTTATGTTACTTAATATCAATAAAACGAATGAGAAAAGTGCAACAACATCTGAGTCTGAGTAAAAGGCAGTTGTGGCTATGCATAAATTATCTTGGTCTATTTGGCTACGTACTAATATAGTTGTATGTATATATTTATGTATATACATATTTGTAGAGGAATGGAGTCGTGTATCCAAGTAGCCAAATAGCTTGATTTAGTTGCAGCAGAAGCATCATCCCATAACATGAGAAGCTAATGATGATTGTCATTCCCAATGGGTATAATTAGGCACCCCGCAAGGAAAATTTGTTTCCCAACCTTGAACTGGTTATATGTTATTGATATACAGCCAGGGGTCTGCCACCCCTACCCCTCGCCACACACTGCACCAGTCAGAGAAAAAGCTTAATAGTTTTTTTTTTTTAAATATTTTTTATTTTGTATTTTTTTGTTTTCGAATTTCAACTTAGTTGAAAAAGTTTTGTACATTTAGTTAACTATTAACACAAACAAAAAAAAAAGGTTAAAAAATAAACAGCATCTTAATGATATAGTAACAACATCGACAAGGCTAATGCCTTCGCTCAACTCGGACAACAGAAACATGCGAGTCGAATGCCTGGCATATCACATGCCTATGTGGGAATGGCAACGGGAATGTGAATGTGGATTTGAATTTGAATTAATCCCAGCCACCACCGCCACCGCCGGCAGCCCAGCCACCGCCGCCACCGCCAGATGCCCAGCCACCGCCGCCACCGCCGCCGCCAATACCGCCTTCATTGATAACGTGCACGACTTTCACTTCCGCGACTTGGTGTCCATGATCAGCCTGAAAGTGTCCACCGTGGCCGTGGTCACCGTGGCCGCCAGCTTCCTGAATCACCTTGACAATTTTCACTTCGCCGCCGCCGCCGCCGTGACCGTGGTCGTGACCGCCGTGTCCATGTCCGCCTTCCTGGATGACATTGATGACCCTAACCTCAGCGGCGTGTCCGTGTCCGTGTCCGTGTCCATGATCGAAGCCACCGTGTCCATGGCCATGGCTCTCTTCGTGAATTACTTTGACAATCTTGACTTCGCCACCATGTCCATGGCCATGTCCACCACCGCCGCCGCCGCCATGTCCATGGCCCTCTTCATGGATAACTTTGACAATGGTCGGAGCACCACCAGAGTGACCACCACCAGAGTAGCCACCGCCACCAGAGTAGCCACCGCCGCCAGAGTAGCCACCGCCGCCAGAGTAGCCACCGCCGCCACCACCACCACCTCCAATGAAGCCAGCTTGAGCTAGGCTCAGACAGGCAATCAGGCAAACGAACAGCTGGACAAAAGAGGAGTTTCAGCAAAGGAGATGCATCTCTTTTTCATTTTGTAATCTTACCTTCATTTTGTTGTCGGTTATGCTTGGGTTCAGCTCTTAGCGCTTGTCGGACGATGTGAAGCCTTGAAGCTTAATCAGTTACTAATATTGATACTATGCTCGTTAGCCGCTATTTATACGCGATCCCGATCCAAAGAGCACCAAGAAAATTGATGCCCAAAGAGAAATGGCCCAATTAACTACAACAACACAATAAATTTAGTTGATATGAACGCTAACGCCAACGTCAGCAACGGCAGCTGCAGTGAACCCGAAAATAAGCTCAAAACTAGTCTGTAAGTTATTCAATATTTGCTTAATGGGCTTAAGCCAAAAACAATAGCCCAAGTCTCACGTTATCAATACTTGTATCATTCGCTAGAGCAGCATACATACATACATACATACATATATAAAAGACTTTTAATTATAAAAGTGAATGGTAGTATAAAAGTTTCATCTCTAAATATAGCCAAAGCTAATGGAATGTATGTTTCGGAATCTGAGCTTATTTTGAATATATTTGACTCAATGACTCTCTCCATATATGTATGTAAGAGCAACACCAACGCATCCCAACAACTATTTTAATTAGATTTAAAAATAGGAATTGGCCCAACTCTTTGTTTATTTATCATACTAGAAAGTTGTTTAAAAGCTTAAAACTAAGAATAACTGCTAGTTGAACACTTTCATCTAAAACGTTTATTGAGTTGCAACGTTCGCATGATAAAAAAAAAACCTAAAAAAACATTAGTTTTTTGTTTTGTTTATTCGTAAGTCAATGTATTTTGAAATAATAAAATAAAATTTCGAAAGGTGGCAAAGAAAAGCTAAAGAAAGAGTTGGCAAGATAAGTGGAGGAGAGAGCAAAAATGGATACAACTAGAAACTATACTTAAAACATCACAGTAAGAAAGGTGAGAATCAAATGTGTGTCAGTTTGTTAGCGTTATTCACAATTGCGAATGTGTGTGAAAGCATATGTGTATTCATGTTTGAAAGACCAGTTGTTAGCCAGATATTTGAGTGGCCTGCAAATGTCCGATGTTGTAACAGTGTCGCTCCGAGCCCAATGGCTCACAACAGCAGCGAAACTAATCATGCCGCGCCTGCTTGCGGCTTCCGATGATAAGCCGACTGGGAAATTCGCACAAACAAAGTGACTGCGCTGCCCCTCCCCAACCAGGTGTTGAGGTGTTGTGGTCAGTTGAATTATGAATCTAAGTCAGTGGTGATCGCAGGCAGTCGACCATATCCAAAGTCATTAACTTCAGTTGGGCTCGGAGGCATTCCCGACAAGTGGTTGCTGATGATCTGCTCTGTCATTGCCAAAGCTTAAGCTGTGAATAAAAAAAAAAAAACCTAGTAATAAAATAATAAAACCGAACATTAACATAAACCTGTTTACTTTTGTTATTATGATTTTATAAAGCGTACAGTTGGTCAAAATGAGATACATATTTCCCTTGATTAGGTATGCCTCGAATAAGTTTGTAAATTAAGGGCCAATATAATAATATAATTTCGATTATTTTTGCATAAATTAAACAAAAAGCCATTTTTGTTGTTGTTGGGTCTTCAGTAATTAAATAGATTTTTGTAATTTGTACATAGGTAAATTATGCAAATAACTGCATTGATGTATCTAAGGTCCTCCCTCGATTAATATTCATAACTAAATTGTATGAGATTAAGGTTTGAATAGGGTCGTGAGTGCATTGTGAGGGTATTCATTGTAGCTAATGTTATTTATTAATGCAAATATATGTAAGCAAAAGAGCCTAAAGATGCAAACAGCGAGAAAGTTGCAAGATTGTCAACACGCGACTATAAAACCCAAATTATTTATTAGCTTGCCGAAGCTGAAATCGACACAAGTACAAAAGCAACACAAAAGCAACACAAAAACAAACAACAACGACAACAGATAGCCACACACAACATTGCATATATTTGGGAGACGCCATAAATAAGACTAATAGTAAAGTATTATCTTGTGCAACCCATCAATGTCAAACCTATAATAACTCATAGTTGGATGCATGTCTATAATTGAGCGGTTCAAACCTGTCCACTCTAAGAAAACATAAATATTAACATAATTTGTAATTTATAATTGAGTGCTACAAACCGGTCGACTTTGATCAAATATTAATATTTATTAATAGTTCAAATTTAAATATACATATGTTCATACAAATACGTTCCGCATTTGTACATTATTTACAACGTAGCCAAGGCTCAAGGAATCCCGGCATGACCAGCTCATAGAAGGTCAAATGGCGTGCCTGGACCACAGCCAACATATAGAGTGTGCCCGGTGATCGCTGCAAGGGCAGTTGCAATGCCAGCAGTTGCAGCACATTCGGCTGCACCGTTTCCGACTGCGCCATGGCGTGGAACTGGGCGAATGGCACAAAGCCCTCAATGCCGCGATAGATAAAGACGCGCACCCGACAACAGCCCTCAACGAAGGCCAGCAGCGTCTCGTCGTCGCGCACCCGTATCGCAGTTAACTGGCGGGCACCAATATTGGCGGCCAGCGACTGGAACAGGCTACCATTTGCATGATGCAGCTGGATGTGAGCCGCTGGTGCTGTCGACGGTGCCATGGGCGGTTCATCTGAAGCGACTATAGTCAGACGTGCATAGAGCAGCTTGGCACGCTCTGATGGCCCAACATACAGTCGTACCGTTTCCACAGGTTGCGGCTGGGGCTGCAAAGCTGGATGTGGCAATATCATGGCATTAATGCTGCTGCTGGCACCATCAATATTTTGGTAACGCTGCTGCTGCTCTTCTGCTTGCAGCTGCTGTTGCAGCTGCCGCAATCGCTCAATCACCGCATGCAGTCGCAGCGTATCTTTATCGTCGACATGGGAAGTTTCCCCATGCCTGCCATCATTGTTAGCCAACAGCAGCATATCATGGATTGCTTGCTCAAGATAAAGCACCAGCGCTTGCTGCTGCTGCTGCTGCTGCTCTTCCTGTCCCCCGTGCCGAGCGTGCAGCGCCCTTAGCTCTTCCAGTGATTGCCAAATTAACTGGGCACTGCGAGCAGCCAACACGCGTGCCGGCGTATTTGGCAATGGCAGCGTATCCGTTGGCAGTGATGCAAACAATTTGGATTTCGATTTGGAAGCCAGGTGCAGCTGACGCATTAGATGCAGAAAGTCTTCGACAAGATGCTCATCATCGTATAGATCGCTCTCGGGTATGCTCAGTTGTGTGATGTTCACCTCGGTTTGCAGACGAAAGCTGAGATGCTGCAGCAGACGTTCCCGCAACGATTCGTACTGCTGCTGGCTGAGCGAATGCGTTGCATTGAGATGTGGCCGCAACTGCGATTCAATGCTGGGCCGGCTTAAATACTTGATGGCTTCTTGATAGGTTGGCCCACTGCGTTGCTGTTGTTGTGTGTCGTGCATCTGCTGCAACATGGGAACTGGTACATCCATTGGCTCAATCTCAACTTTGTTACTGGTCCGCCAGCTTTGCAGATTCGCCAGGCTGCTACAGTTCCAGTTATTTTCGAGCTGTTCCTCGCTTAGGTCATAGCTCGTCATGAAGCTGAACTGGTCATTTGTTGCGTTGCCAAGCTGCAGCACAACAACGTCATCAACGGGTCCGCTCTCGAAGCCACCAGCGCTGTCGTAGTGTGTGCCATTCCAACGATAGATGCGCGTCCAGCAGCCCAACTCATTGATCAGCAAATAGTTTTCTGCACCCGCTGCCGGTGACTGCAGTGCAAAGACGCGACGCACATCCGCCTGATCCGTAGCCTGGTGTAATGAAAAGCGGCGTCGCAATTGCTTCACCTGGTACGGCAGACGTAGAAGACCAAAAAGTCTGGCCATTCCAGCGCACAACTTCTGACTGCGCTCGGCCAATGTGGTAATCTGCCGGCGATAGACACCATGTGGCGGCTGCTCCGTTTGCTGTGGCAATTTCAGGTGCAGCCAGCGCACCCTCCAATTGCCGCTGATGACCTGCGTCGCCCGACCCTGCGCCCACAAGCTCTTCTCATGCCAGGCAGTGTAGTTGAATCCATTAAGGTGCAGGCGCGTGCGCAACTCCGGCGCATGCAGCGTGGCAAAGTTAAGCGGCGTCTGCAGTCGCAGCTGGTCCTCGTGCAGCGTGGCAACATCACTTAAATTGAGATTGGGATCCCCGTTGATGGGCCACTTGGCCAGCAAGGAGCCACTTACGTCCGCTGACTGCATCACCAGCGGTGTTTGCACACGTTGCTCATGCGGCGCATTGATCTAAAATAGAGAAGCGAACAGCAAATTTCATAGATATATGACCTACATGTATGTGCATATATGAAAATCAGACACACAGAATGATTTCGATGGGCTTATCTCATTCTGCAAGTCTGCTAGTCTAACTTACCAGCAAGGTATTGGCATATTCCTCAGTTAGATTGTGTCCATTGACCAGCCCATGCAGCTGCACTTGGCCATCATCCAGATGCAGCTCCTGGGCAACGAAGGGGAAGCTAAGGTTTTGCGGCGTATGCAGAGTAACCACGCGAGAGAGATTCAATCCATTTAGCTGGCCGACGTGCAGCGCATTGGTGTCCAGTGCGCCCTTAGCAAATCTGACCGGATCTGGGGAATAGATGCACAAAAGTTAGTCTTGCACAAGTGGTATATGAAATATATTTACGTTCTGCTTGCCAGTTGCGATCAACGCGCAGCGTGTCGTGAATCCATTCGCTGACATTGCAGCCATTGATGAGTTCACCTTGCATCACCAAGTCATCCACATATAGCTTATCCATCTGTACAGCAGCCTCGAAGTGCACCGGTGTTTGTATCGTCACTTCGTTGCCGACGCCATCGATGAAGATGATCTGCTCCAGCAGCTCCTCCAGCTGTATGCCATTTAGGTTGGTAATATGGGTGCCGCCTAGAATACTCACGCGACCCGTAAAGATTTTGTGGCCTTTAAGACTCAGTTGAGGCTGCCGCTTGTCGAGTAGACTATCAAAAAATTCACTTAGCGGCTCCAGACTGCGATTACCCAGGTGGCCCAGAACCGTCAACTGCTGCAGTTGGCTTTGGGCTGGTAATTGTATTAGGCCACGCTGCACAAAGGCGCCCAGCTGCGGATCCCAGCGTAGCTGCTCCTCCAACTGATTAGCTTCGTCGCCATTTAGTTGGCCCTGCAGCTGTAAATGGGCCAAATGCAAACGCCCCTCCAAGCGTATATCGCCGGCAAAGTCCAGTGGCTGCAACTTATTGGCGAGTCTCTCGAAAGGCACTCCATTTAGTGCCTGCAGCTGCAGGGCATCCAGAACACTAACACGAGCCCCGAAACTCTTGGTGCCCACAATCAGTAGCTCCTGGTGCTCATCGCTGCGAAAGACTATATCGTCGAGCAGCTCGGGTAACAGACGTTCATTGTAGCTACCCAGAAGCACAAGATCGTTGGCAAATGTGGGCGATTGCTGGAAACGCCATCGAGTGCGCAGCTCATTGTGCTGATCCAGCCAGACGACATCGTGCTGCAGTTGGGCTAGATCGCGACCGTTGAGTGTGCCCAGCACTTGTACAGCGCCACTGACCGCAATGTGTTGTACCTGCAGTTGGCCATTGAGTATGAACAGCGGCAGTTCATCAAACTGACGAAGGAAGTCCAACAGCAATTCGGCCTTGAGGCCCTGCAATTGCAATGCATGCGCACCCATCGGCAGTATCAAGTCCTCCACCTGCAAAGTGTCCGATTTCGGTGGCGTCGACAGTACGCTGCTGAGATTGAGTCCATTTAGGCGACCCGCGCCCGTCACATTGTGCGTCACATCGAGTTGATTGACCTGCAGGTGATGAAAGTGCGCCTGGCTGAGGTGCACCGGTTCGTGGAGCGTCTGGTATCCGTTGGATAGTGGCACGTCGTTCAGAGCGTGTGTCACCTGCAGCTCTGACAGCTGTGGATCGTTGGCAAACCGAAGTCGTGTTGTTGGCGCCAGCAGCGGTGCATCGACACGCAATGCTTGGCCCAACAGCTGATCCAGCTGGACGCCGTCGTAGACACCGCTGAGCTGTAGCTGATGAATGTATACATTGCCCGCCACACTGCTCAGATTGTGCAGCGTCTGCTCTGTGTGCTTGGTCACGAAACGTTCGATGGGAATGCCGCCTACGGTGCCATCTGTCACATGTGTGTCCATTGGCAGCGCCAGGTGCTGCACTTGCTTTGCCGCTGGTATGAGCAGCTCCTCGTTGGCATCGCCAGTTCGCTGGGCCAGGTCACCCAGCAGCGAATCGTAGCTGCTTTTGTCCAGCAGTCCTCGCAACTGCAATTCACCGTTCACAATCAGCTGGGCAAAGTGGCAAGCGGCATGGATGTGATGCGACTCAGTCAAGATGGGATTCAGTGGCGCCTCTTCGAATTGACGACCCTGCGCGCTGCCATTGAGCTGTAAATTGATGAGCATTCAGTTTAAATTTTATGGTAAGAATCCAGTGTATTCATCGAAAATTACGATTATAATTTCTTAAGTTTCCTAATTTGCGCATTTTTGGAATGGAGTTTAATGCAAACCAATTATGTAATCACCTCGAGCTCCTCGGAAACTTCCAGTTGTGTGAAAGTGACCCAGCCCGGCCAGTCTTCGCTTTCGCTCAAGGTAACCACATTCGAGGGATCGACTCCATTGATAGTGCCAGCAGTGTCGACCATATTCGCGGCTACAAATAGACAGAGATGCACATGAAGCTTTGCTCAGTGTTTTTCTTATATCTGAACAACCTACCCAGTGTCTGGGTAAACTGTTTGGGTGAGTGAATGATGCTCGTCGAGCTGCCCTGGGACCACAGATAATCGCCCGGAAAGTTTAGCTCATTCAGTGCACTCAAATGCAGCGAGTCCTCAAAGACAACAGCCTGAAACGAGTTGTGGTAATGTGGGTTGTGTGTGATTACTGCTCCAATGGAATTATGTGGTAAATATTAACTTACGCCATGCACCTGCAGATGCGAGAGGTGAAGCGGCTTTTGACGCCAGACCAAATCTTCTATGAATTGCGTCCACTTCAAGCCATTGATGAATTCACAGATTAGATCGCCGGCTTGCTCCAAGCGCTGTTGCGTGCTGGAGGGCAAGGATTCGAGTTGCTCAATGATCTTCGGCTGCAGCAGCTCCAGGCGTTGCGCATTGATCGAACCGTTGAACTGCAGTGTGGCATTCTGTACGTAGAAGGGCACATTGTTCAGCTTCTCGATGTTTAGCTGCTGCACTTGGACGACATCAAAGTCCAGCTGCTCATAGTCATAGCTGAAGAGCTGCGGCTGACGCTTGGAGCGATGACTGTGGTAACCTTCCAGCTCTTGCTTCAATGCCCGTATGTGCTGCAGAAGCTCATGCAGATCCATAGCAGCATCCGCTGCGGTCCAAGGTTCATCATTCACAAGCAGTGCCTCCAGAACGGCATCATCATTGATGACAAGCGGCGTGTTGAGCTCCTCATAATGCATTAGCTCTGGCGCAGCTGGTGCTTGAAGGAGCAGATCAGCGCTAAGCGCTAGAAGGTTGTCCTGCTCCGCCACCCAGTCGTGCATAAACTTCTGTATCTCCTGCAGATCGTGCAGTTCTGAATTGCGCGGTAGCAGCTGTGTGTGTAGTCGGAACAGGCCCGAGGGCGCCGCATGGCGAGGAACTAGCAACAGTGGAGGCTGCATCTGACGAAGCAGCACCGCACCCGTCAAGCCCGCGTCCCGCTGCTCATCCAAAATGCAGCTGGCACCATATCGTATCTGGGTGCCAAGCTCACAAGGGGCCGGCAGGCTCGCCTCGAAGGCCACTCCATTCCAGACCAGCACCTCCAACTGCAGCAGCGAGTGCGTGTCGAAGAACACTCGATGCTGCACAAGCAGTAGCAGATCATCCCGATAGCTGCGTACTGGCACTGGCAGAAACATCTCCACCAGGTTATAGTTCTGACCCAGCAGCGTTTTGGGCACCAGCTGCCCCTGCACATAGCCGAGTATCTGTGGCCGCAAGCCGCCCAAAGCCAGGTAGCTCCTCCCACCCATTTGGAAAGCGGCAATGTCAGCGATCTGTGGGGCATCCAAACGTTGACGCAGCTGCAGCTGCAGGCCCGCATCCGGCGACAATTCACGCATGTTATGAGCATAAATAAGCGCCTCATTGGACTGGCCCACGGCCAGTAGTAAATCACGACCCGTGTCCAGTACAGCTAGCGCCGTAATCGTCTGCTCCAGCTGCAGACGCTGCACAATCCAGAACTCCAGCCCATCCAGATCGTAGGCATAAATGCTAAGCGTTCGATTATGCATATGTGCCAGATACTCGCGATTCTCGATAGAAAATGCCAAAAGCTTGCTAATCTGGTTGCCCAGCGGCCAGTGCCAGAACTGTGTCAGGCCCGTATCAGCGTCCAGGCGATACCAGTTCAACTGCTGCTGTGTAGCCACGATTAGCAGACTCTCTTGAAGCTGCGCTCTTGCGTTCCAGCGCTCGTAGCTGAGACTCGCATCAATGCCCCCCGCCACTGGCAATGGTTGCATTGGTTCGTAGCTTGGAAAGTTGGTGCCATTGACGGGAATTTGTTGTTGCTTCCATAGCAGCAAATTGTGGCTGCTTCGACCCACAAAATAGACGCTGCCATTCTGCTGCAGCTGTTGCCAATGAGACACATCCTCGCCGAGCGTAAACTGCAGATCCTCCACGATTCGACTGAGCACAAGCATTTCACGTGTGCGCCGCTTGGTTAGCTCCAGTTGTTTTAGCTGCGCCAGATCAATGTCCAGCGGAATGGTGTCCACCACATTGGCTTCCATCACATTAGCAGCAGCATGCTGGCTGCTGCCCAGCATCTTCTCATGTGCATTGCCAGCAACTTTTTGATCCTGTATACCGCCTGTTTTCGCTTTGATGGCTGCCTCCAGTTGCCGCACCTCCTCTGTGTGACCCTGCGTGACGACCGCCTTATTGATCTCCGAGCGTAGAGCCTTTGTTGCACTCAGTGCAGATTGGGTGATTAGCACCTTGCTGGGCTTGAGATTTTCATTCTGCTCCTGCTTTGTCCATGCCGGCTGCACTATAACGCCTTCCTGTATATTGATGATGCCAATGCTCAAATTTGCTTCATAATGTGACTTTCAACTTTTCCACTTACCGGAGCTCCATTTTCCGCCTGAAATGCTGCGTTTAATTCGCTGCGCAGCTTTTCGATCTCCGCACGACGTGCTTCCGTGGAGATGGGTGGGGATTGTGAGTCGTTGCAGCTGCATGTCGTATAGAAGAACAGGAAGAGAAGCAATTTCATGTTATTGCTTTTATACACAGTAACACAAAACAATTAGTTACAATTAGTTACAATATTAGCAATCAACACGTGAACACATTTTTTTATATTTACAAAATTTACCGTTTCTTGGCTTCGTTGCCACCTCGCTTTTGCTCTCTCAAAAGTCTGGCAGCACCAATATCCTAATAATGCAGCTTTGGTGCAATTAATAGATTTTATTTAAACTTATTTCACAACATATTTGAATGTCGTTAATGGATAAATACATCTCAAACATTTCCAAAAAGGAGTGGGAAAAGAAGCGCCTAAAAGACTGCAATCATTTACTTTTTGTATTTCTCATGCGTAGCCGAGACAAGAACCATTAACGACAATGAACTCATTGAAGTTTTATGATCCAGTTCAACGAATTTTTAAACTGAAAAAATATAAAATTTTAGATTACTTGAATGTTGAAAAAAAAAATAATAGCACTAGAGAACTTTTGAAATGAACTGAAAGCAGTAAATGTTATATTTAACTTCTGGGAAATTGTTTGTGTGTAAAAAAAAACAAAACCATAGCTAAGTACATAATAAGCCTCCTGGAGCTCAACTTGTGTTGGAATCGCGTCGATAACTGTGCCGCTTATCAACTTTTAATGACGTCTAGTTTGATGATTCTGCGAAGCGGAATAAGCAGAATAAGTGGCAGACAAATGACTCGGACCTGTCTCTGATTCAGATTGAGCCATATGTTGCCCATGAGAAGTTGACGTCGATCTGCGTCGATGGCGCGATGACAACACATGGACGCGGTACTGGCAGCTGCAGGGGCCGGCACGTTGTGTGAAAGAATGAAGTGTGTGGTGTTTTTGTATTGCGCTCCCTCCGCCGACTGTTGCTATCAGCTACGTAGATCTCACACACACATACACACACACACACACACACAGCTGGTGAGCGTCGTATCTGAGAGTTACTTTTGCAGCAAAGGTAGCAGCCACGACCAGTCGTGCCTGTCTCTCTTTCTCTCTTTGTCTCTCTCTCTCTCTCTTTTTTGGCTTTGTCAATTTTTTTTCTTGTGTATGGCTCTCTCAATGGATCTCTCAGAGGCCAAGTTGGGCAAACGGAGCACCAGGCGCCGACTCAGCAGGCCGCTCGCTCGGTTAGTTCTTCAACGGAATTCAGCGATTTTTGACGTTTGTTCTTGTTGCATACACGCATACATAAACACAAACATACACACAAAAACGCACAACCACCAACCAGCAACCAACAATTCTGCAAACGAGCCGCAAAAATTAAATTTTTCCTTATTTTCTTCTGTTATTTTGTGTAAGACAGTACCCGTATTAAAAATGTAAACATTTTCAAAGAAAAACTTTATTAAAATTGAACAAAATTGAAACGTGTACATAACAAGTTGTTGCTATATGCTCTGTGGATCGACCTTTGCGAACTTATCGTCGTAACAGCGGCAATAAAGCAACATCAGCTAAAAATAATAATTAAACAGCGCATGTTTGTTTCACTTACTCTGCGAATGTGTGCCTCTGTGTGCGTGTGTGTGTGTGTGTGTGCGTGAGTGTGTGTATGTGTTGTCTTTGCATCGGTGTTCAAGTTGAAAGCCCAGCACATTAATTGCCCCAACGCTGTATAATGAACAACAGTTGAACAACAGTCGTTTTAGTGTTTCCCAGCTGCAAATTATTCAACATTTATATGCACCACATATCAAACTTTTGTTGGGTCTGCAAAAAGCAATTTCGATTCGCATTCGCTTCAAATTCGCATTTTTTCTCGAGTTTCGCGCGCTCTTTTGTATCTGTGTGCGTGTGTGTGTGTGTGTCAGTCTCACATTTCCTGCCCAGTGTCTGCCAACCAACGACAGACAAACCAACATACAATTGAGCTTGAGACACGACACTCAGATTGCCTCAGTGTCGTAGACGTAGCCTAGAGATACTTATCCGTCCGGTCGTCGCTCCCTTTCCCTATTTGTCTCCGTCTCTATTCCGATTTTTACGTGTGAATTGTGCAAAATTATCAACCCACAAGAGATTACTGACAAAGCAAAAAACCTTAATCGTCTGGCACCAGCCTTAATCTGGTTGGCACTGCACAACATTTCGGATTGGTGGCAACAACACAAAAGCAACAAACACGAACAAAATGTGAGTGCATTTTGTTGAAGGGTATTTCACTTTCAGTGGACCAAATAAAATAAACAACAGCAAAGAGTATATTATGCAAATTACACACAATAGTTTATATAATCTCTTATTTGTATTAAATAGGCACGTATTCAATTTAATTTAGGATAGTTCCTTTATATATCACTATAGATTAGATAACAAGTTGCACTTAATCTAATTTTGTGGAGATACTTTCTTATGTATATATGATGGAGCTAATATGAAAACACTTTTTTTTGTGTTTTCTTTTATAATATAATTTTCCTCAATTTGAAAAGAATTCGGCTATTGAAGTTTCGTATTTTGGAACCAAAGTATTTCAAATGTTTTGTTTAGAGTCCCATTTCATCGAGGTCATCTTTTTTTTTTAAATATAACTACACGTTTGGTTCATTAGGGAATATATATACATTGTCTAATACTTAAAGCAAATCCAAAATACACACACACAGATGAGATATTGAAAAAATGATAAGTAAACTGTCCGAGTTATCCAGCAGTAGCCAGTTGCATAACTCAAATTCGCAGCGAAGAGGTAAGAGGATTTCAACAGAAACTGACCGTTCGACTATAAACACTTGCCCACATGAGTCAGAGAGCTGCTGCAAAGGAGGGGTCAGCGGGTTGAGGTGATGATGTCCATTAGGCGATCAAAATGCGTACATTTTACAAATGCTGAGATTGCTAACTAAACAAACTCAACACAATCCAATACCTGTGCCCCCCACCTCGAAGCGATCAAAGTCGAAGCAATGAAACACAGCGCAGCTCGTAGCTCGTCAGTTTTTGTAGACTAAATAGTTTTCTGAGCTGTTTGTTTATTTAATTAGCGTTTATGTGCGGACAGTGGAAATAAGTTAGAGAAGCTGCCAGCGGGCAGTCGGTAGGTGGGGGTAACAGAGTGAGACCAAATAACAAAACATTAAAGCGATCAAATACCGCCGCAAGAAATCAGAGGCATTTTGTAAGGCGTACCCCTCTCCTGTCTCGTAGACGCGCATCTTCATCGCGCACAATCCAATTGAGGTTCATACAACGTTCAATTTATTCGTTGCATCAAGCGAACATCTAAATTTAGATGCCATCCGTCAGCCACCAGCCGTTTATTTTCAATCAGAGCTCACTCTTAATCTCAAGTGCAACACTAAATTTTCAACGTTTTTTTTTTATATGACTTGATGGTTTTTTTTTACCCGCAGTCTGTGTGCTGGCCTAGCAAAGTGACCGGAAAAAATATATCGTATTTAAGTGCACTGAAAAATGATATGTATATTGTTTAACTAAGCCAAATAGACCTCATAAATGCGAGTGTCTGTGTGTGTTTGCGTTTGTGTGTGTGTATGAGTATAGTGAAGAAAACCTTGCATAAATATAATTATTATTTGTACGCTTTAACAATAAACAGGATCTTTGCGCATTCTGGTTGAGCTGGCAGAACTTATTTTTCAGACGAAATTGGCGAGACTCTTAAAGATCTTTTTCTGTTTATGGCAAAGAGCAATTCAAAATTCATGTTTGAAATGGTATACTGCTGAAGGCACTTTTTATTTTAAATTTATATTTGTATCTATTAAGTATTGACAATTGCTTTGCGTTTCTTAAATGTTGTAGCATTTGAGGCAGCGCCTCCATGTCCGTGGGGTGAACGTTAAGTGGACTCTCCCTCCAACACAATGCTGCAGCACACAATGACGAAGCGTAAAACGCTAATCATGGCCTGGTTTGGGATTGTGCTGGGCCTGTGCATCGGCACCGTTCTGAAGAACTATCGAGCCCTGGAGTTAGTCAAGCACTGCAGCCTGCGGCCCACAAATATGAAATCACCGCACGAAATCATTGGTCTCGATAATAAAGATACCATACAGAACTCTCAGCGCAATTTGGTATTTGTGGGCGTTATGACCGCCAAGAACTTTATTGAGGGTCGGGCACGTGCCGTGTACGATACGTGGGGCAAGGAGGTGCCCGGACGGATTGCGTTCTTTAGCTCGGAGGGCAGTTACTCGGATGAGCTGCCCGTTGTTGGTCTCAAGAATGTCGATGATCGCTATCCTCCACAAAAGAAATCATTCATGATGCTTTACTATATGTACGAGCATTATATTGATCGATTCGAGTGGTTCATTCGAGCAGATGACGATGTGTACATCGAGCCAGACAAGCTGGAGCGGTTCCTTCGCTCCATTGACAGCTCAAAGCCACAGTTCATTGGGCAAGCCGGCAAGGGCAATAGCGAAGAGTTTGGCCTGCTCTCTCTTGAATTCGATGAGAACTTTTGCATGGGCGGCCCCGGCGTCATCCTTAGCAGCGAGACACTGCGTCGCGTCGCACCACACATACCCACCTGCCTGAAGAATCTGTACAGCACCCACGAGGATGTTGAGGTGGGGCGTTGCGTGCAAAAGTTTGCCGGCATACCCTGCACCTGGAACTATGAGGTGGGTGATGCTCTCAGCACTAGAGCACCGAGTGATGCCTCATCTCATTACAAGACGTTTCTTCCAATTTACAGATGCAGTATATATTGCGGCACAATTCGAGCGGACGCAACGCGTATACGGGCAAACTGAAGCGCAAGGAGATCCACAATGCCATCACGCTGCATCCGATCAAGCAGGCGCCGCTAATGTATCGTCTGCACTCCTACATCCAGGGGCTCAAGGCGGAGGAGCTGCGTCAGGAGTCGCTACTGCTGCATCGCGACATCAAGCGGATGGCCAAATATTTGGAGGTGCCAGATGATAGCACATATATGCTACCCAGCGTCTCACCAGCAGCCGTATCGGACAAGGAGAAAGGCAAACAATACTTTGAAGATCATAACATTTTAGGCAAGTATATTTCTATTTCTATTTATTTTTCTATTTTTAATTATTGTATTTGTTGCTTGCATTAGGCATTAGTCCGGAGCTGAATAAATTTGTGCCTGCAAGCACAGCGGATCTCTTGGACTGGTCTTTTATATCGCGAAGCCTGTATTCGGCTGGCTCAGCGAATCCCAAGCAGAAAATCGATTCGGCGATGCGCGAAGGACTCGAGGATGTCATAACCGAGGTGATGGAGAACATCAATTACTATTCGCGACAACGCGGTCGTGTCATTGAGTTTCGTGAGCTGCTTTATGGCTACCATCGGCTGGATGCATTGCATGGCCAGGATCTGATACTCGACCTCTTGCTCATCTACAAGAAATATAGGGGCAAGAAGATGACGGTCCCCGTGCGGCGGCATCTCTATGTGCAACGCGCCTTTACTGGCATCTTTGTCAAGGAGTTGGACGAGGACTTTTACAATGTGACGCTGCAGCAAAGTGAGTAATTGTAATTGCCACTGATTGCATTTCACTTATGTCACTTATATCATTGCCATTTGACTCGACAGGTTTGCTGGGCAGCCTCCTGCAAAACAGCATGGCGCGTCTGAGCAGTCACTTTACAATTGCCAGCAATCTGATGGCTCCACAGCAGGACAAGATCGTGTTCGTGCTGCCCATTGCTGGCCGGCTGGCGACCTTTCAGCGCTTTCTGCACACTTATGAGCGTGTCTGTATTGAAGCTGAGTCCCACTGCGATCTGCTGGTGGTCATCTTTGGCCCAACCGACGAGCTGACCGATCATCTGCGGCTGCTCAACGAGCTGCGTGACCGATACATCTACAAGCAGATCAACTATATACAGCGTAGTGGACAATTCTCGCGCGGCGTTGCTTTAGATATTGCCGCACGCTCCTCCTACATACAGCAGCAGGACATTATACTGTTCATTGACGTCGATATGGTGTTTGGCGTGGAGACGCTTCAGCGCGTCCGGATGCACACGCAACGCGGCCGGCAAGTGTATCTGCCCATTGTGTTTAGCCAGTATGATCCGAAGCGTCGTGGAACTGACAGCGGTTTCGAATCGCTGCCGATTGACGATGAGAATGGTTATTTCCGGCAGTTTGGCTTTGGCATTTGTGCCATTTACAAATCGGACATACTGGATGATGATATTAATGGCTTTGACAAGGACATCACTGGCTGGGGACTGGAGGATGTAAAGTTTCTTGAGAAGATTGTACGCGTCGGTACGCGACAACATGGATTTCTATCAAACACTGCCGAAGTGCCGCTCGACTATAATGAGGCCGCTGAACAGTGGCGACGCCTCAGCGTTTTTCGTGCCCCAGATCCGACGTTGGTGCACATCTACCATGACATTAGCTGCGATGTGCAGCTAGATGCGCCACAGTACAATATGTGCCTTGGCACTAAAGCCAACTCATTGGGCAGCACCCGACTAATGGAGCAGCTGTTCTTTAACAATCGCCAGAACATCGACTTCATCACCGTGCTCAATCTTCGAAAGCAACAGGCCAGTTGATGAATTGGCTTCGCCGCCACTCTGGCATTTTCCATTATAGTATTACGCTAAAAGTTTCCTATCTGTGTGTGAGTGTGTATGTGAGTGTGTGTGTGTGTGTGCACGGACTCCTTGCCAGCAAAAATACCAAATTGGAAAGCTCTTGCAAAACTATTAAGTGTTGTTCCTATTATAGTTGAGACCTACTTAAATGCCACGTTCCTTACCAAATTATGTAATGAAATTTATGTTATAATTATAGAAAGATATATATTTATTTAATTTTGAATGACTTCAAATCAAATTTACCAGAATTTGTGGTTGAAAATATAATTTTTTGGCCCTAATCATATGTATATATGTGTATGTACATAGATATATTAAAATTAAACTTAAGGATAAGATATGCTAATGACCAGGCCAGGAACAACTCATAAAATTTTCTTGTCTTAATTATATTTTCCTTATATATGTATGTCCGTATATAAACGGGGCCAGATATTTACAATGATGTATTTGTAGTATTGTATACTAATAATTAGGTTTTTGCAGGGGCATGTTTTCACAGTAATGTATTAAACAACAAGGAACAAATGATCGAGGTTGCTCGGTGCAGCCCAGTTTCGTCGTAATAGTTATTAATAAATAGCATGCATTGTTTTCAAATTACAAATTGTGTGAATCTATAACATATACATAAAACTTGGCTTGCTAGCAAATATTATATTTACATATAGTCGACGGGCTGTATGCCTAAAAGCGCCAGCGCTGAGTTGAGCACCTGACGCACCGCCTTGACCAAATAGATGCGGGCATAGAGCGTGGGCATCAGATTGGAGCGCTTCTGCACGAGAATCTGTTTACTACGATAGTAGCGGCTAAACAGGGAGGCCAAGTCGACGATGTAGCGCACGATTAGATGCACAGCGCACTGGCCATGCTTGAGCTGAGACAGCGTTGATTCGACTAAATTCGGGAAGGTTAGCAAATAGCCATAGAGCATTTGCCAGTCCAACTGCAAAGATAGACACAACATATATATACATATATATATAAATATGGCTACGTTATGTAGATATAACGAACCTCGTCTTCAAGCAGACTGAGATCAATCTTATCTAGCGGCGGCAACGGCTCATAGGCGCCCGCATCCACTTGGGCGGCAAAGGTGCGTAACAGCGTTTCCAGGCGAGCCGAATTGTACAGTATATAGCTGGCACCCTTGGAGCTCCCCGAACCGTTACGGACCACAGTGGCGCCACTGGCATGACGCACCTCAAACAGATCCACTATGACGGTTGCGTGGCCCAGGCGTTGTAACAGACCTTCAATGTCCTTATCCCTGGCACAGTCACGCAGACCATGGCGATGCATTGCTATTAGCAACATATCATTGGAGCGCAAACTGTGGGATATGAAGAATGACCAATGAGACGAGGGACTATTAGTATGAGGTCAGCATACTTACGCCATGTAGCTGTCGCTGGTCAGTGTTGCGCCCGTTTTTTTGATCGGCTCCAGAACTGGACCGCACAACACGCGCACATTCATTTTATCCGGTTGGTCGTTGGCCAAACAACGTGGCTGATTGTTGCTCTCGATGCTGACGAGCAAGGTGTCATCTGTCTTCTGCTCTGGAGCCACCAGGCGCCAGTTGGCATAGTCCAGCATACGCCGAACAATGTGGAATAGTTGCGTTGCGCGAAATTTGTGTAGCTCTTTGGTGTTGCCAGTGTTGAGGGTGAGGCACAGTGTCGGCACACCGATTGCAGTAGACTTTTTGTGCTTTCCATAATCGTCGCCATCGATCAGTATTGAGTGGAGAACGTGGGATATGATTGGAGCACGTTGAAAACGCAAGGCATATCGTTCCTTGCGCAGCATATTGACATTGAGCAGCGGGAATATCCACTGTTTGCTGTGGTCCAGCAGCTGCTGCACCGACTGCTCGTCAGGTAGCATCTGCTCGGTTTGGCGGCGCAATTGCAATCCCTGCCTTTGGGTAAAGCATTGCCAATTAAATTTACTTGACGCTATGCTGAGATCTCCCGACTGGATAAGATTCTCGTTATGATAGCGTATGAGATCGCCGTAGCGCTCATAGCGTGGAATGTCCCCGTTCTCCGGCCAAATGACGAAGAAATTAATCAGTTGTTGTGTTAATTCGCTTAATGGATTTTGTGACATGTCCGTGTAGTGTGAGTCGATGATTATGATAAGATATCTAAATACCAAAATAAAATAACTAACTCTATATTCGCGTGGCGGATCCAGTTGAATGTCCAATGGATTATTGTTTAACGATACGTGATTCCAGAGCTTGAATTGTTTGGCAAAGCGCTGTCTGCTTTAAAGATAAATTGTAGTTAATCTAAACATCTTGTCGCCTGCTGCAAGTTTTGAAAAATTGTAATATGTCCTTGCTTATCGATATTCGAATTCTCTTTTCGTTTCTCTTGTTATTATGGATGACAATATTTTGATAGTTGTTAAGTTGCATGCTAGCGCCACCTATCGGTGATTCAAATTTAGTTACCACGAAATTGTGAGATGGCGATAACGATCAATGTTCAATGTTTATGAATAAAGACCTTTTGTTCCATATGCGATAGTTACTCGTAACTATATATATTTTTACTTGCATACTGTAAATAACATTCTGATTATGATTTCAATTAAATTAACTTGAGTAAAGTGTCACGATATAATGTTTATTCGAACAATATATCGATAGTTGCGCGTTATCGATTGTGCTCGACAGAAACTGACAACAAAAAAGGGGAGCACGCACATAATAGACACATGAAATATATGTAGTCACAATATCATGCGTGTGTGTGTGTTTGTTTAGGCGTTTTGTTGTTAACATTCATCATAACAAACAGTGAGCAATGCCGCGTAATGTTGGCTCGGGATCGCGCCTGTTGGATCTAGGCGTTGTCTGCCTGATATGCTTGCGCGCTGAGACTGGATACTGTTCCATCTATGGGCAGGATCTGGAGACGCCGCATATGCTGATTGTGGACAAGATACGCAGCTGCAGTGCATTGCAACTGGACCGATCACTGCTCTCTCAATTGCCGGATAAGATATGTTACGGCTGTCGCAACGAGCTGAGCATCACATACCGTTTCCAGCAGAAATGCCTTGAGGCGCAGAAGGTTTTGCAATCAACATCGACGGCCACACTACTGCTGGACGTTGACAAAATGGAGTTGGAGCAGACTCAACAGCTCAAGTTGCCCACCAGCCTCAAAATCAAGCGTCTTGAAACGGAGGCGGTCTCCTCCAACGAAGCCATCAAGTATTACAACGACGATGATGATGAAGATGATGATGCTGACGATGATGATAATGCGGACGCCATAACGCTGATGCAGCCAGAGAATGCGGCAACAGCGCTGGTGCTAGCACAAAATGTGACAGTCGACGCATCCGACCATGAGGATGAGAAAATGCTCGAATTGGACGTTGACTGGGGCACAAATCAAATGGAGCAGGAACAGCAGCAGCTGCATAGACTTTGCGAGTCGGAGCAAGAGCTGGACCTAGAGCTGGACCAGGAACAGGACCAGGATCCGGATGATGATGACTACAAATTGCCCAACGAGCAGAGTATTGTGGACACATTCGCAACACCGTGCCTACAATCTAGCAACAACAACAACAACAACAATAGCAGCAGCAGCAACAACAACAACAATAATAATAATAACAATAATAATAATAATAATATGCAAAACGTCGTTTTGCGAAATCGACGACCCGCTGAGGCGAAGATTTGTGATATCTGCGGCAACACGTACAAGTATCAGCATGCGCTAAACGCGCACATGCGACGCCACAACAACGACCGACCATATCCGTGCGAGGTGTGCCAGAAGGCGTTCATATCGAACGTGGAGCTGCGGCGGCACATGCGCGTTCACACTGGCCAGAAGCCGTATGGCTGTCACTATTGTGAGCGTCGATTCTCGGATTTTGGCAGTAGCAAAAAGCACGAACGCATCCACACCGGCGAACGGCCGTATGTCTGTGAGGTATGCAACAAGGGATTCGCCTATGCCCATGTGCTATCCGTGCACCGGCGCACGCATACGGGCAAAAAGCAGTTCCAGTGCACACAGTGCGACAAGGGATTCACCAAGAAATGCTACCTGACCACGCATATGGAACAGCATCGCATCGGTAAGCTAAGTACCATAAAGGTGAGCACCGTCTCCCTCAAGCTGCCCACTCGCAAGCATCAACAACAACAGCAGCAAAAGCGACCGGAACGACAGATGCGCTATGACAACAACAAAGATGCAGCCAGCGGCGTTGCTGATGGGGATGTGGATGTGGATGCATATGCTCATGATGAGGACGATGACTATGATGATGATGACAATGTGAGTGCCAGCATGGGCATACGCACCCTTAACCAGATGGGCGACGAGCAGACCAAGGTGCTGGAGGAGTGCATTGTGAACAATGATTTCATGCTCAACGACGAGGATGTGGACGAACCGGAGCACGATATTGACGATTATCACGATGCTGAGCTAGACGAAAGCGATTTTCAGCATGTGCAACATGGCAAGGTGCCATACGGGCTCGTCAGTGATCTGCTAGACGCTGACGACTTGGTCAGCGATACCAAATACTTGATGGAATAGTGAAATCCATTCTCGACCCTAAAATCCCCACCCTACACACATTCGGTTTGCATTGTCGATCAATCGGACTACCACATATATCATATAGCTGCCAATCCCAATCGGTCGGATGCATTCGTACGAGTTATATGCTATATGTCTATATGCTTCGGTATGCCGAAGTCTTACGCAAAGCTCCACCCAAAACAAATTAGAATAATGCTCACACGCTGTGTAAATATAGCCGTTGGCAACGGTTTCCGACATACTATTTATGTTATTGTGCAACTAATGTTCTCTTTTAAAAGCTTAAGAACAACTGTGTAAATGAGGCGCAGGTTTTGCTCCATATATGTATATGTATATATAAATATATATACATACATACGTATGCAGTATAGCCATAATATTAAGTTACTGTACAAATATGATTGATTGTATGTTAGAATAACGCACAGATGCACGTGTTTCTCGAGTTTATGGATTAGTACACTTGTCATTAGTTAAAATCAGTTTTTAAAGCAATTTAACTTTAACTATAGTCTAAGTATTTACGTTATATGTTTTAGGCATTCGGACTGTATGAGCTTCACTTGGCCCACAATGATAATAGGATTAGGGCAATTTTATCCGTAGTAAATAAATATATATATTTATATACATTTATAAATATAAATATTTTCAGCCTGTAAATGGCGACATTCTGCATTGTTCTTTTGTGTATTTTTTCGGCGGGCTTTTACTAAAAGACAGTTGTAATAAATAATTTTCATTTCATATAATATGTACTTGTATATTTGCTATAAAAATTCGGAAAATTGAGCTAACAATTTGTAAAAATGGGGAAGTTCTCGGGTTGTCTGGTTCTCGGTTTCAGATTCGCACGTTCTTCTCAGTTGCTGCTGCTACTGCTGCTGCTGTTGCCGAGAAGATGATGAGATGCGAGTAAGCACGTTTTGAACCGGTTTGCGGCGAGGTCAACGTTTTTGGCCATGGGGCCCATGGGCAGTGTCCAACGGCTTTACAGAATTATTAACATAATTTATTTTTAAATTATTGCAAAACTTCACATCAAAAATCGTATAAAAACGTTACAAAAAAAAAAAATTCAAAAAAAATTAATTAAAATCAAAAGTTTTTGGGTGACGAACACGATAATATAATAAATTACAGGTTGCCAATGGCGACGAGATGGAACAATAAAACTTGAACAATCCAACAACAGGCGCCATCCTAATCCTCAAAGGTGATGCGCCCGGGCCCATGGTTCTTCATGTAGCGCCTGTAGGCTTTGTAGCGCGGATTCTCGGCCAGCTTCTTCTTCATTTCCTCATCCTGATCGGCCTTCCATGCCATAAATTTGTCACGCTGCCACAGCTCCATCTGCATATACTCAGCGATCTCTCTGTCACCCAGGGAATTGAACTGATGCTGTCCCATGCCCATGTTACGGCGTATCAAATAAAGCATCTGCTCCTCGCCATACGGCTGCTTAAGCACCGTAAAGCGCCAGAACCACAACGCATGCCACACAATAAAATTGAATAGAGTGTATGGACAGATGAGCAGCTGCACCCAGAGTACATCCCACAGCGTGGGCTTTGCATAGCCACCCTGCACGTCCATTTTCTCCTCGATGACCTTGCGTATGATGCGCTCCAGTTCCTCCTTTTGTTCTGGTTTCGATAAGCGATTCTTGCCCTTGCGATTGTGCACACGCTCCTGGATCTCATCGCGTGCGATATCTAGCGCCTTGTTGCGATATTTGGGCACGGTTGCAAAGTACTTGATGGCCGCGTCGTAACGCTGCCAGCCGGAATAGTACTGGATCACCGAGATGATAGTCAGCGTAACCACAATCACCACACGCACATCCACTTTGGGTGCCACACGTCGACGATAGTAGCGATAGTAATGCGCATAGTACGCATCTGGATTGTCCAGCATGTAGTCGTAGTCGGTGCGTGATTCCTCATCGCGCAATATCTCATAGGCAGTAGCAACCAGCTTGAACTGCTCCTCGGCCAACGCCTTGGCCTCCTCGCCACGATGCAGATCCGGGTGATGTTTGCGGGCGAGCAGTCGATATGCTTTGCCAATCTCCGATTTGGATGATTCACGTGTGACGCCCAGCACATCGTAGCAGTTTTCCTTGCCACAATAGAGACCATCCAATAGGCCCAGGCACAACGTGGGCAATACACTCACCAACAGGCAGGTGTACAGCCATCTTTGGAACTGAGTGTGTGGCATTTTATCTGTGTGTGTTTATGTTAAGTGTGTGTGTGTGTGTGTGACCAGCAACAGCTGTTGCTCCTGGCTGCCTGATGTGCGCGGTGAAGTCGCGGGTGAGTGTCAAAGTGTTTGACAGCTTCACACAATGTTGCGGCAATCAGCGTGGTTGTTGCTTGGCAACTGTTGTGCTCAGTTCTTTGCAACGTTGCTTGCTGCTTGCTGGCGCTTACAGGTCTCTTGGCACTTTCACCTCGGTTTCTTAACGTTCTTTGCCGTTCTTGTCTAGAGTTGTATTGGTGTTCAACGGAACCACAACGATTTCGTGCATCTTCGAATTGAACTAGCTCTTTGTACCTTAAGTTCGCAAGAGATTACGAGATAACGATGTCTTCTAATGCTAAAATATACCTGAATGTTACGCATTGCATGATAAATAAACATTATTTTTATTTTTAAAACAAGGCCTAACATTTTTTTTTTAATGATCAACGCTCTGATTTTATTCATTGGACACAAGTTGCGATTTTATTCTAAAGCTTCGTAAGGTAAAGTTATTTTCATTTTTTTTAAAAGCGCGCTTTGTCGTATGTATGCAACAACTTTTAGTTCAGTTCCAAAAATCGATTTTTAACTTTCGATAACGGCACCGTCAATTTCCCAATCGGCGCCGATTGTTGAATAATGTGACGAAAGGGTAATTCGCATAAGGAAAAAGCAAAAACGCATCGGAGCGTCGAATGAAGCTAAATCAGTTGAAGAGCTTGAACAAATTTAATCAGTATTATGTGAAAATGAAAAAAGAAACGTATAACGTATTTATGTCAAGAATTATCAAATTTTTATTAAATTTGAATGGTTAATAAATAAGTTTGTTAATTTTCAAATACATCAATATGCTATAAGATTATATCGATACATTTTGAATCAAAAGAACGGCCTTGCCATAAGGTTTTTGTACTATCTGGCCACGGTATGCGGCAGCGTTCACAGCTGTTTGACCCAAAACAAATTGGAAATATTTGATGTAAAATTTGGGCATTGACTCAATTAGTGTTTTGCAACAACAAAGGGGCATGCAGTGCGCAAACAGTTGGGACAGAGTAATACGTCAGCATCTGGAACAGAACTGCTTTCAACTTTGACGCAGCCAACTGTCTGGAAACATCACTGGCAATGATGCCGATGCCTGTGCCCGCATACACATACGATGTGGCCAGCCGCACTCACACGCCTGCTAAGAAGACGCATTATTTATATAATCCTCGTATTGCTGGCCCTTGTTTACATATTTGGCAACCTCTTTGATCGGGTGAGTGATAATAAAATAGTTCAACCAACTGATTTCATCATTTTGCATTTTACCCAGCAGAAGGGAGCATTTAGCGTGCTTCATTACGATGAATATAAAGCTCAACGAACGCGACCGCTACTTTGGCAGCAGCAGCTGCTGCCACCTGAAGAACATCTCAATCGGACACGCGATCCGGACCAACGTTGCCGCAATTCGGTGCAGGGCCGCAACCTCCTGGTGGATGAGCACGGTTTCGTATGCAAACGTGATCAGATGCTGGTTAATGGTTGCTGCAATGTTGAGCTCCCCGGCATCAGCTATTACAGCTGTCGGAGTTGCAATGTCACATCGCACTGCTGCGCCATCTACGAACATTGTATCTCCTGTTGCTTGCATCCGAACAAGCAGTCGCTTTTGGAGCAGGTACTGCAGGCATCAGATACACAAAAATACATCTATGCCAGCGTCGTGGATCACTTCGAGCTGTGCCTTGTCAAGTGTCGCACCAATTCGCACTCTGTTGAGCACGAAAACAAGTATCGCAATGAGGATGCCAAGTATTGCTATGGCACCACCGAGGCGCACGAGAGTCAGCGCGAAGTGGCGCCTAGTGGTGCCTAGTAGCGGTCAGGGTTAGTTCAAAATTAATAGAGCAAAGGTCATGTGCAATCTCTATATGTTATGTTCAATTGTTGAGATGCTAAATATTGCATTGAATTCAAATTGTCCGGGCACTTGCCACAAGGCCATCAAAATTTGAACTCTAGACAAATGACAACGAGTTAGTTATATTCAAATTCGCCATGTTGACAGCAATCTTAAACAGTTGAGGTGCTTATAGATCTCAGGTTTTTGACATAATCTAAGAATTTAGTAACCAAGTACAATGAAGGTCTGGCAGTTATGAACAATTTCGCTGTAATTAAAGTTAGCTTTCTGTTAAGGGTTTTTTCTTCTTCTTTTTTTTTCAATAACAATTGTACATTGATATTTATAGGTATAATCTATGTTTAGATATTTTATAATTTTTGTGCTCGATAGTAATTTATTTTAATTGTATGGTAAACATTAAAAGTACTACAAATGGCTGAGAGATGGGTTAAATGCTTTTATTTATGCATGTGTAGCCAGTAGAGGTTCCTGGAATATTTCGTTGTGATTGATGCCGTAATGAATGATCCCGTCACGCACATAGCCCCAGGCCATACGGCGTGAGCTCCAACTGATGCCCACTTCACCTTTGTGGTCGATAACAATGGCGCCGCCAGTACCGCCAATGCGTTTTGTCATCTGCTGACATTCCTGCTCAGCGGCTGCTTGGGCAGTGAGGCCCTGATGCTGGATGGCGCCCATTATGCGCTGGGCAAGATTGTAGCGCATTATGGTCTCACCATGGCCGGTAGTGGAGACGCCACCGATGTCATTATCTGCATAGGTGCCACAACCAAGCAATGGTGTGTCGCCAATGCGTCCCGGCCACTTGCCCGTAATGCCTCCCGTCGATGTGCCCACCACAATGTGGCCACTCACATCCATGGCAACGGCGCCCACAGTTTCACCAATCGGATCGGTGCGCGCCTCATCTAGTTCGGTGCGTGCAAAGGTCGTATCCAAGCCCAGTGACTCCTGCTTTAGGAACTCACGCAATGCCTGCTGAGCGCTCTCTGTAACAAGAGCGCCCGCCAGCCGCTCGCTGCCCGTGCTTAGCGCCAAGTTCAGGGCTTCCTGGCCGCCCAGAAAGACATGGCGTCGCTTCTCCATTAATCGACGTGCCACCGTTATTGGGTGCATCACATCACGTAGCAATGTTACGCAGCCGGCGCGCAATTCGTGCCCCTCCATTAAGCTGGCCTCCATTTCCACATCGCCGGCGGTGTTCAGGCAGGAGCCGTAACCTGCATTGAAAGACTCATCCAGTTCCATGGAGTTGACGGCTGCCTCAACGGCATCTAGTGCACTGCTGGACGCTGGCGATGTCGGCTCAAGATGTTTCCATGCAAATCGCAGTGCTTCCTTGATGCCCTTGAATTTGCCCGCAATCCGGGAGTCAGTTATGTCACCAGCTCCTCCATGTATGAGTAGCACTGGGCGTGGCATATTTATTTTCACCGAACAATGCTTTAAATTGCTTTCGAACTGCGCTGCGTTTGCCACGAACTGGACGCCTCCAAGTGCAGTGAACAATTTGTCTTTGTCTTCTTCTTTAGCTGCTTCAACGATTTCTGTGTTTGCATTTTGCTTATCTCATTTTTGTGTTTATTGCTCTTTGTTTTGGATTTGCTTGCCGCTCTCAGCTTGCTGTAGAGTAGAGTGAACCTGTTTCGACGCACTCACAAACACATTCACATTTAGATTCACATTCACATTCAGATTCGCCTTCGCATTCACATTTGCAGTTTCATTAAATTTTTTCGGAAAAAACAATCTCTAGTTGCTAATATGAAATATTCTCTTGTAGAAATCACTAGAAATGTCCATGTGAATTCCCAATCGAATCGAGAAATTTAAGAAAGTTATCTAAAACACAAGAAAGAACGGTTATCTTTGGCATGCCGAAGATTACGTACCCTTCTAAACCTGTTTTAATCAGCTGAAATATTAGGATTTGTTCGTATTTTTGTAAGCCTTAAACGCGTTTTGATTCGAAATCAATATTCTACATTATTGTACGGTCGCAAATATTTAAAATGAAATTTTTGTTTTATTCAAATTTGAAATATTTGATCTTAACAGAAGTTTACCGTGGATTTTAAAAACAATGAGAGAATGCCAAAACTGTTGTTTTTATCGGGGACACATCGATGGCTAACCACATGTACCAAAGACCTTCAGAAGAATCAACTATTGATTCTCCGATATACGAAGGATGTGAACAATTTTAATTGAGTGCTATTGCATCGTCTGTCTTCTCTGTCCCATCATCTTTTAATTGGCTTTCAAGTGCCGTTTTGGTTTCAGCTCTTTACCATATGAATGACCTTTCTGCACGGCAGTGAGAAGCAATTGGCCGGCTTGGGCATTGCTTAACCAGATGACATGTTTAACACGCCCAGCCGCACACACAACCAACACACGCACACGCACACGCACAGACACACACACCTACACACACACACAGACACATACACAACATAGACACACACACACAACATACACATCCATTTATTAACAGCTTTTGAAGTGAGCTGCGTCTTTCTGCATATTTCAAAAGGGGGCATGCCACTGTGGTGTGTGCTTTCCAGGTTGGACGCTGTTGTCAGTTATCTGCCTCCATTTGGATATTTTTGACGTGCTGCATTTGCGGAGTTGGGCTCAAGGCTGTTCTGTTGTCTGGTTGTTGATATATCCTTATGCAAATGGCGGTTCTTAAATTCATATAATATAACTTGAAAGAAAAACGTAATTGAAAAAAAACGACTGTAAATTAATCTGTAATATAATAGATTATATTATTTTTGGAATTGTTGATTTAGAGAAAGACTTTTTAGCTGTGCAGAAATTTTTTTTCTTCTCTTTAGATATTATTTCTAGAAAGATGAAAAACTATTTCGTGTAGGATTTGGTCTAAGGCTGGGACGCGTTTATTGTCAATATGTTGATGCAATTGCCAAAGTAAACAGGGCCGCACGTTGGGGCGTTGGGCGACCATTAAAGCCATGTTAATCGATTTTCTGTTGCTTTACATGCGCCAAAGCAAAGCAATCCACGCAAGGGTCTTCGTGTCGTAAACCCATTCCTCCCACACCCCCACCGAAGCCTAGTCCATCCACTTGCCAGATTGTCTCCCCTTGCTGTTGAGCTGTTGCTGACACAAGCACATACAGTTGTCGTGCCAACCTTTAAGTAAAGCCTGGAGCAAAACCGGCCCAAAGTTGAATTTAATCATCATTACCGGAAGAGTTTCCAGGTGGGCACAGCTGGTGTCCTCATAGCGTGTGTTTGGCATTGGTCCTATCGTAGCTACTCAATTGCATATCGGCGGGCAGCTATTCAAATCGCACGTGGTTGTGGCCATAAAATCGAATTGCTCTAATTATTAAAACGCATAAGTTGTGGGTATTGGCTGCTATTGAAAAGTATGGATGCGAAAAATGCCTGACTTTGCTGAATTGCTGCTTTATATTTTTATTCTTTGCATCGATGAGTACGTATAAATATGCGTATATATAAATATAGCTCTTTAATTCGCCTCCAGACTAATGCTGCTTGGGAAACAAGAGTTGTTCCAACAAAATCGATGGCAAGAACTTGCCACAGCCATAATTTTGTGCGAATTAAATCTATATACTCATACTATACTGGTTTCGTATGGATTTGAACTATTGTTGGCCGTTTTGCACATTTGTGCTTAGATCCTTTAAGCTGTTTCTTTAAATGTTTCGCCAAGTTGTTTATTTAATAAAAAGTCTCCTTTAATCCCCAATAAGTAAGTAACTTGATGGGTGTCTGTGTGTGTGTGTGTGTGTGTAAGTTTCCTTATTTTTCACGTACGTAGGTTTTGCCAAACTGCACTAAATTACGGTGACTTACTATGCTGCTTTCCTCAGTCGGCTTCCTTCGACCTCTCGCCCCATTGGCAACTGTTTAAAGTGTTTTGGTATTACTGTTGGCTTAGCTAAGCCAAAAACTGACTCACACCTAACTGAGTGACAAAGTTTTACTCCTTCTAGCAACACACACATATATATGTATTTATGAATACTAGAAGGTATTTCCCGGCTATGATTTACCCGTTAGTAAAACACGCACCGCTTCTAGAAATGCCATTGAATACAATTGGCTACAAATTTAACTTTCGCTTAAACTCTTGTAAACTTGTTCCCAGTTTTTGAAAACAATTTTAATTTTAATCATTGAAAATTATGTTCGAAACATAAAAACAATTGTGTAAAAAAGATGATGAACAGAAAAATTATGTTGATGGTGAAAAAAGATAGATCTTTTCCAAAGAGGATCGAATGCAGTTTCGCAACTCCACACAAAATACCTGGGATGGTAATAATGGACTTGGGTATCTTATAGTCGAAATGACTGCAGGAGTCTTTACGGCTTGTATGTTCTTATACCCTTGCGGGTGTTAACATAATTTTGATGTAAACTGTGTAAAGACTTGTGGGGAGACATTTCCAATGCCATTAAGTACCGCTAAGGGACCTCTATTAAACTGGAACTTCTTTTCACTGGGATGCGAAGTGTTTGGCTTATACCGCTAAATCTTTAATTAATATTATATATTATATTATATATTATAATAAATTTGTTTATTGTTTAAATGTGAGTAATAATAACTCCGTAATGGGCACTGTGCCGATCATCATGGATAATTCAGTTTCACTTATAGGGTATCTAATCTTCGACGTGCATAAGATAACTGTTTTTTGTTTTTTATTTTACTTTTTTTTATATGTTGCGTGTTGGCTACTACTTTTGCCACTACTTTTAACAGTATACGTGTGTGTTTGTGTGTGTGTGTGTGTGCACGTGCCGTGCGTTGCCAGCTACCACAGTTAGCGGGTGCTGCTGTTTTTGCTGGCAAGCTACTTGCAGCATGTTGGACATAGGTGTTCTTTTTTGTTTCATCTTGTTATTGCAATTGTTGTTGTACTTTTGTGTTGGGTTTTGTGCGGCCAACACTATGCCGCACCACATCATCCGCACACGACGCGCCCACCTTCGCCCACATTCAGTTGTAGCTGTCATTTTACACATTCACAAGTTGCCACTTTATGTTGCATAATATTACCACGTACATGTGCCACCTTGCCACCTCAACTTTTTTACGAGTGAGCCCTGAGTGGATGCCGCTACCTGTGCGCCCCTGTGTGCGCCCCTGTGTGTGTGTGTGTGTGGTGCGTGTGTGGTGCGTATGTGTACGTGTGTGTGCAAAGTAATTCAATAATTACGCTCTTGACATCATATTCGAATTACTTTTTTGTCGCATGTGCACATACATATGAATGTATGGCTGTGTGTGTGTGTGTGCTGTGTGTATGTGCTGAGTGTGTGTGCTGTGTGTGTCTTGACAAGTGGTTTGAGAATTGTGGGTGTGAAAAAGTTACACGTCGCTTTACAATTAACCAACTTTGCCACGCCCACCCGCACGTGACATTGCGGATCAGAAAAAGAAGAAGCGTTAGCCTTTTGTCTTGACAGTCACATTTGAACACAACTCAATTTCCCTTTCTGCTAGGAATAAGATCTAAAGTTTAAAGAAAAACACGGAAAAAACACACACAGGTCAAAAAATTACAATATAATACTAATCCCAAGCTTGTCAACTGTTTTACTCTGTGTTGTATACTTTTGTACAATGAAGTATTGTCGATAAACCCTGTCCATCAATCTGTATGAATATGCGGATCTCCGAGATATTAAGAACTAGACACTTCAAATTTGGAATATAATTTCTCGAATGTCTCGCTCAGATCAACTTTATTTAATTTGATGGATAACTGATCGTTTCGTGAATATCGATAAACATCGATTTTCGATGACAACAAAAGCCCTAATCGAAGATCGAATACGAAATAGATCCCAATCACGGCCAAGGTACATTTCTAATAACCAACACTTCGAGTATCCATTTAGAAAAAAAAAAAACCATTTTCTTATTTTTTGCGCAACTTTATTACTTTTTTCTAAAAACCATGGTTTTCTTTTTCGTAATTCCAGGGAATATTTTTCTAAAATATATACATTTTATTTTATTTTCCAGTGTGTTTTTCATTTCTGTGTATAGAGTTCTAACCTCTTTACTTTCTCATTATTTAAATCAATATTAAACATTAGTAATTTAAGATTTTAGATTTACATACATTTCGATCTGACCAGAAAATAATAATTCGGTTTTGTTGGCGTTAGACGATCGATGATTGAGTATGGATAGTCTCTCTATGACTTCAATCTGTCTCGATAAATTGAATTGGACTTGCGTTTTTATATAGATTTTTGTATATGTTTTGCACGATATATGATATTTGATTGCTGCATATGTTATGTGTCTATGTATTTGTTATTGCATTCCCTTATTGCTGTTCTCATGTTCCGCTTTTCAGCTGCCATTTTGCTATTTAATTCAATTTGAAAGGGACGAGCTGTAAAATCCGCATTTACGATGCGGTCATAAATACGACCAACAAATTTTCAATTACTTGTTTGGGATAATATTTTCGGAAAATGCAATTTGTCCAACTAACTTTATTCATTCATTTTGAGCTGAAGTTGGCGCAAAAACACAAACAAACACACACATATACAGATAGACACACACACACACACACAAACATACATGCGCATACACACACACACACACACACACACACACATACACACACACACACACACACACACATGAGCATGTAAATACCCTAACACTTGTTCTAAGCAAACATCAGCAATGAATGCGCTTTCATGTCCCATTTTCATATACGTATTCGTGTGTGTGTGTGTGTGTGTATCTGTGTGTGTGTGTGTATCTGTGTGTGTGTGTGTATCTGTGTGTGTGTATCTGTGTGTGTGTGTATCTGTGTGTGTGTGAGGATGCGCGTGTTTGCTTGTGTTTGTAGTTTCGTTTCAAAAAAACAAGCATTTTGCCAAACGAACTGAACGCACAACGTGTCGAACAATGGACTTTTAGCTAACATATTGCTGCCAGACTGCCAGTTACCCTGTTCTCAAAATGGGATCACCAAAATTAAGTTACTCATTGAATATAAGTTTACATCATTTAAATGACATTATTTTAGCTGTGCATTCAATATAATTGTAGTTTTATCCATTAATGGTAAACTGATTAAAGTTGAAATTACCTTAGCCCTATTTCTGTTCTCAATCATCGATGTTAACTTCAAAATTACATAATGCAACTCAGTTGTGTGTGTGTAATTCTTGCAGAGGGTATAACAAACACTAACGCACACACACACACACACACACACACAGACACACAGACATACATACCTCCATATATAACGAGATAATGGCGACGGAGGTTGTTTGTCCCTCTTTAAGCTATTCGCCTCTGTCCCTGGCCGTGTGTATGTGTGTGTCTTCACGTGCGTGGGTGGTGGGGTGGTGTGGGATGGTGTGGTGTGGTGCGGTGCGGTGCGGTGGTACTGAGTGGTTCGCGCGCGGTGTGGCGCGCTAACCTGCGATGTTGTCCTCATCATCCTCATCGTGAGTTTCCCTTTGACGCTTTGCACGTGTATTTCCCCTGGTTGAAATTGTAAAAGTTTTGTCGCATTTGTTTGGTTTTTTTTCTTTCGTCTTTGTTTTGTTGTTGCTGCCGACCTTTGGGCGCTGCCTTCGGTGCCGTCGCGTCTAATTTCGGTTTTAAATACATGGTCATAGCTGATGTCGCTGGCAAAAGTTGCAGATTGTACTTTTTTCTGGCCATTTTCTGGCTACTGGGCCGGTCCCCGCTAAATGCTTTTAATAATAAATGCAATTTTGCAGCTGCATTTGGATTGACTAGAGGCGCCAGTTGAACACGTGGCATGCCACTTGTAGTTGCAGGTAGTTGTACTACAAATGGCAGCAACGATTAAATAAAGGTGTGTTCAAATTGAGTCTGGATACCCTTAAGAGAATACTGCAGATTATTATAAAATATTTAAAGCTATTTGTTGCTGAAATTTAAAGAATATCTATTCAAAATCGGATGCAAACAAAAATGCGGCACAAATAGTTTTATACAATTATTAAAAATTGCGATTTAAAAAAATTGTCGATTTATTCATAGAAGGAATATAAAATATATATTAAAACTAAGAACAGTTTGACACAATTTCGCTTACAGGCTACAAAAGACTGGAAAATAAAAGTTTAGCTACAAAAAAAAAAAAAAACATTCAAAGAAGGAATAGATATGTTGGGCACAATCTGAACATTACATACACTTGCAGAGCAGAGTCCACAGCCAAAATTAAATTAATAAATGAATTGGCTGCCCGATGTTGATTTGATTATTTATTGTTATTTAATGACATAATCAAAACACCCTCTGCAAGTGTATACAAAAAAACAAAGGAAAAGCTCAATATTGCATCATCATGCCGTACGTAGAAATTAATGAGAGAACAGAAAATAGTTGCAACTATAGAGAAAGTGCAAAGAAAATAGATGAACATTCAACATAGGAGTATAGATCAGGAAGACAGGGAGACAGGGGTGTGGGGGAGGGATTCACAAATCTTTCTACTCTCTATTGGCAGCCTCTGGCTCGTCGGGCGCATCACCGCCGGCACCCGAGTAGATGTAGTTGTCCCGGCCCGATATGCCCGTACCGCCAGCATCTCCCAACCATGGGTAGACATTGGGGCACTCGCGGCACGTCTCCATGTAGCGAGTGTCCGTTAGATTCTGTTCGGGTATCTTGAAGGATAGCGCACACGTTTGCCAAATATTGCAGGGTTTTGGCGCCACGGCAATATTCTTATCACACTTCCACGACTCGATCTGGTTAACATCGCGCAGTTCCTTGGGATCGGTCATATATTGCAACATCTGGGTGACGGTCAGAATGTAGACGTCGGGTCTGCAAATGAGATCAATAAAAACACACAAATGTACTAAGTTTCTTGTTAAGATATTATGTTTTGGGAATCACTTTTAAATTTGCAGCTGGTATTGTGAGTTGCAAGGGTGTGTCTAAAATAACAGATCATTTATTGTTTCATTTCTGGCTCATGCTAGATGCATGAATGCATGAGATATTTAATAAAAAGTTCTTTGCTTTCATCTACTGTTACCCTAGTTATAAATTAAGCGTAATTCTATTTCGTTTCCATACAAACACACATAGACACACACACAGACGCGCACAACTTATGCAGAGTTTCCCATTCGCATAAAATGGCCACTCCCAGGTGTCTGACATACACAAACTGAAAATAACACAACAATTGCGTTAACACACATAGCGAATACGAGTTGATGGAAACGAATAAAAAAAAAAAAAACAACAACTTAAGGTATTCTTTTGCTCTTCTTCTCGCTCTGTTTTCCTATTTCTATCTCTCGTTTTGAATCGGGCCTTTTGTTTAACGTACCTCTGCCGTGGAGTGAAGTCCCAGAACCGTTTCATCATTCTGCCGCACGCATTTTCAAGCATCTCCCTTGAACGCCTGACACGGGCTTCTGCCTCCGCTCTCCATAGCAATTCCCGATCCAGCAGCTGCCCCATTTCCACATTTCCCCATTTCGCCATCTCCCCATGTTCTACGTACAGCTGTGAGTGCCGACACTAGCTCAATGTTGAAAGTCATTCACACTAATTAAAAACTTCGTAAAATTGTGCAAGAAATAGTTTTGCAGCTGCTGGTATTCAGTTTAGCTCTGCCCCCAGTCCCTGCCCCCATCCCAGTCCCAGTCCCAGTCCCAGTCCAAGTCCCACCTTAGCCCCCAATCGCTTTCTCCCTCTCAGTCACACATACGTATGTACATAAATCGGAGTATGTTAGTGTCTTTATGGTCCAAGTCCGATCATAATGGTGGCGAACTGCAAACGACAAACTTCTATCATAGTTCACCAACATGCAGATGAGATATATTGAGTGAGGCAGCTAGTGCAAATGAGTTCGACTCGTGTTACACATTGCACAGAGTGCAATGTTGGTTTTTCCCCCTTTAGTTTTCCAAATTATTCCAGTTGCAACTTTAATTCACTTCAAATATTTTCCCAACTTTAGTTTCAGTTTGTTTTCTCTGCAACTGTTAAGTGAATACCTAGAAAAACCGATTAGTTAAGGTGTCTGAACCTTACATGTGTACTACTCTAAAAATAGTTACCTTTGGTCGCTTTCAAACAAGACTGCAACTGCAACATGTTGCTTAATGGTTTTGCAGGCAGTATATCACCTGTTACCCGTTACAATTTGACAATAGGATAAATTCAATGGGAAGACGACCAAGAAATCCCTTCAATTTATTGCCCATTACATCGTGGCGTGAACAAAAAGTTGTTCATGCAATATCTCCTACCATTTCAATTATCTATATGATATAATGAACCGATTTGGACAGCATCGATATATACTGCATATATGATGGACTATAATTGGCTCTTGAATATCGGAGAGTATTGATATGTCCCAGAAAAATGAAGACCCACGAAATGTTTATTTTCTTCTACTGACAGCCAAACAGTGCTCAGCTGAATCGATTCCTCTGCGTTTCTTCTGCAGAAGTCAATGACCAAACGAATTTGGAATTTATATTAAACATTAGGTATGCACATAATGAGAGTGCTGTATCTATTTTCCCCAGACAGACAGTAGGTTTGGGGTGTTGTTTCCTGCTCAGTATACACAGCTCATAGCTGAACGTGGTCCGTGTGGCATGTGAAGCTCAATAAAGTTTGCAATTATGAGCATGGGCATGTATTTTGATATCATTAAAAATTTCATGGAAAATAATGCTGATATAAAACGAGAGTTTTGATATTTGTTAGCTTGTTCGCCAGTGGGGTTGTTGAGTGGTTCAGTGGTTCAGTGGTTCAGCTCATGCATCATTTTCATCCAACTCAATGCCCGATGCCAGACTGAATCCGAGTTGCGATGCTGACAAAGTACGATGTTATCAGCACATAACTTCATTATGGAAGTTTAATGCCCTTCTTCATGCCCACCATGCCCATGCCCATGCCCATCATACATACTGTTGGCACTTTGATGCCGTATCCCCCCTCCCCCACCATCTCTTGGCCCATTACAAAACATCAACTAACCATAGCCTCACTCACCCTCTGGCACGCTCTGGCCGTGTAACAGTGTGTCTCTGTTAGCTGGCACTCATGCTGTTTTTGTGCGTTTTAACATGGCTTTTAGTTAGCCACGGCCCAGCGCCTTGCCCCGCCTTACCCAGCCTTGCCCCATCGTGGCACTGCCGTGGCCCCGCCGTGTCCTCGCCTTGCGTGGATATTGTCTTCTTTGCCTTCGTCGCGCTGTAGTCCCTGTGCCCTGGCAGCTCCGAGCCGCTGCCGCTGTCGCTGTGCCAGCGCAGATATTTTTCAAAATGAAAGTTTAACGAAATTAAACTTTTCTCATTAAAACGTGCGATTTTTTTTTTCTCTCATCGTCTCTGCTGCTCTCTGTTGCTGCTGCTGAAGCTTTTTTCATTTCTTTTTTTTTGTTTTTTTTTCTTCTTTTTCTTTTTTGTTTTTGTTGCTACTGCTGACCACAGAGTCGCCATTGTTGGGGGCATTGGCTGAGATTCGGTTTGGGGATACTGTCGAGAGTTGTGCATATGGTTGAGTGACTGCCAGAGCTTTTAGATTGGCGCGCGGCAGCCGCATCAACCTGTTCCCGAACCAGACACACGCGACCAGTGGCCGTGTCGGCTACCGTTCGCCTGGTCTCTCCAGCATGTGTCCTCCATTGGGCGCCATGGACTATCAGCATATGCCGCTGGTTCAAGCAATTTTTATAGCAATTGCCAATTTGGTTTTTGTTTTTGTTGTTTCTGCTGGTGCTGCTTTTGCGTTTTTCTTCTGCTGTTTTGCTTTTCTCGATTTTTCCTACACTTTTTTTTTTATATTTTTTTTAGTTTCCTTTAATTGAATATAAAACTTGCCAGCGGCAATCGGAAGCGCACTGCAGGAAACGCCAGCTGCTCATGTGTGTGTGTGTTTGTGTGTGTGTGTGTGTGTGTGTGTATGTGCCTACCAAAGTTGGCTTTTCAATTAAGAAAGCAGCAAAAACAAAAAGTCAGAGACGAGAAATACATTTATGAAAAATGAAGAGGCTCGTGCGTAGATAACAACAGTATTGGGCAACGACGCTACTCAGATATCTGTGTATGTCTGTCTGTATGTATGTATGTATGTATGTGTATGTCCACAAATAGAAGGTCAACATTCTTCGAAAGACAATCAAGAGTAGGCAGATTTCTATAAAAGTTTTGCATCTCTTTCTAGCTATATCGTCTTTAAACCAGTCAAGGGTTACTCAATGAATGATAATAATCATATCACATTTCAAGGTATACTTACAATTCGAGAGCCCAGTCCAAGAACTTGTGTAGGCCATTTTCGAGTGGCTTGGTCTGGAACCAGTTGGTGTGGAAGGGCATCATATAAGGCGCCTTATTCTGCTCATAGTAGCGAGAAAAGTCTTCTTGCAGCCATTCGAGTACTTCGTTCTCATCCAAATTGTGCAGCACACATTGATCCATATAGGGGCAGTGACCACCCTCGAAACCCTCAACATAATGCGTGTTCAATGGCACCTCCCACACACCCGGGAATGTTCGCGATGGACAAGTGCCGCTCTTGCATTCGTGCGAGATCTTAAAGTCCAGCGTATAAGGCCACACGGGCACTGGAACTGGTGGCACGGTTATCGAGCTATCGTAAATGTATCCAAAGTCCTCCAGCACCTGTTCAATTCAAGAATATGCAAAAGAATTATAAATTATTCTCATAATTCTACATATATATGTTAAGGAAATCGAAAACAATCTTGTTCATCTGACCACATTAACCCAAAATGCAAATCGGAATATTTAAAACAGAAAATAAGTTACACTTAATCCAGAAAAGAGAAAACAAACACAAGTGAGAACCGACTGCGAAATACTCTGATAACATAAGTATTAGTTGTCGCAGAACAAGAAATGCCGATATTTGAGGGAGATTCTCGGTAATCTATCCTCAAAGTTTGACTTTCAAATTGCGGAAGACACAAGCTTTTGTGAATTTTTGGGAAGAAAAAAAGTGTTGGAGGAATTTGCTAGTAATCTTATTTCCAAGATTGCTAACTATAGCTCTTAAATTGTGAGAGATATAGGCTTTTGTCGTTGTCGGGAGCGGGACTAGCAATATACCATTCAAATTTGGTGACTCTGGCTTTCAAATTGTGGGAGATATGTGACTTTATCGATTTGCGATGATCGATTTTATCGATTTCCCAGCCTCCCAGTGGACGTAGCACTCCAATTTTAACATTTAGTCTGACGCGAACACAGACCAGTATGTGTTCAAAGTGTCAAGTCTCTATTCTTAAGGGTGTCGAGCAAAGATGCCTTCATACAGACGGACAGACAGCATGACGGACATTCCACAAAACCAATATACAATGATACCTTCGGCATCAGAGTATAAAAATCTAAAAAGAAACTGGTATTGATCATACCCTATACAAATTAAAAAGAAGTGAACAGTTTTTTTTATTAACTTGTGCAAATGTTATGAGCAAGAATACTTTTGCTTCGTGCATACAAATTGAAAAAGTTTATTGTCGACTGGGAAGAATATATTATTGTCGTCAAAAAATGAAACTCTTCTGCAACGAACTTTCAAATAGATGCTTTAACTATATATGTATGAGTTGCACACACACTCACCTTGTATTGAGTATTGCGTCCTGGCTTGAGGAAAGGAGCACGCATGCCAACCACATCGTTGACGGACACATTCGAAAAGTGGCGTAGAATTTCACGCATGCCAATCATTTCGCCCACCCATTCCTCGTATCCCTTGTCCTGGAGTCCCAGCTGCTGTGAGATGCTCTCGGTTGCAATTTCGTGGCCGGCATAGCCGAGATGTTGAATCTGTTGATAGTTGCTGCAACAAAAAAATAAAAAAAATAAAATAAAATACATAAGTAAACAAGAGAGAAATGTGAACGGCAATTAATTGATGTTGAGCTGATAGTAAAGGCAAAAGCAATGGCAAACAGTCAAATCAAATGAAGACCATAAAAGGGCCACTTAATAAAGGCTCAAAGGTTAAATAAGTCAACAAGATGTCTGCATATAATGCACATTTATATTTATATGCATTTTTTCATTGCACTCTTCGCATTTAATCCAAATGCATGTGGCACATTTATTTGCACAAGCCAAAATGGAATTATCTTAAAGTAAGTTTAAAGTTAACAGAAAGCAGAAACTTTACTGCAACTGAATGTGGCTGTCTGCACAGGTTTATCAGCTTAAAGATTGAAGCTCAAACAAAATCCAAATCCTAGTCAAAACGCACGTGCAAAGCTCAGTCCTGAAGCTGTTGGTGAGTAGCAGTGAAAATTGTTATGCATATATGCTCTTGCATTTATTATAATTAATGTTTGTGTATGCATGACTATATTTATCGTCCCTTAATGAAGTTTTCTTTTCGCCTTTATCCAACTTGTACACATCAAATGGTCTTATTCAGGTAATAACTTTGCTGTCGAATGTAACCGACAGTGTAATACTGTAATACTCGAATTGTGGCCAGACAATCCAATGCTTATTCCTTCCCAGTTGGCTGACACTAGTTATCATCGATATATCAATTTGGAGGTATGTTTGTGGAGGACTTGTCGATTTTTTGAATTGTGTCTGCGAATTGATTTGTATCAGTTACCAGGGTATCTGCTTGTCGAGTGCTGTGCCATTAGGTAGTCAACAAAACTCATGCATTTTGCTCACAATGTTAATAAAAATGCTCACCCTTGATAAAGAACACACACACACACACACAAATACATACATACATAGGCAATATGAACAGCTACAGCTAGAAAGGGATAGCTCTCACACACGTGGTCAGTTGCCACAGAGAGATTGTGGGTTATTTTTCTGAATTTCTAAGCCAACTGACGATTGTGGCCAGGCCACACTTCAGCTTTTGCCAATTAGAAGGAAATTTACAATTGCACGGCGCCGAAACGGCAACAGAAACGGAAACAGCTCAGTGAGTGGCAATAGCAGCAACACCGAACTCGATTATACTCTAACAGCATTTTGATATTCATTTGTTACTCGATTCGGGTTGTAAAAGTACTGCTAGTAGTGGGAGTACTCCAATTTCTTGGAAAGCAGTTCGTGCCACCTACTCATTCTACTCTCCCATAACTGAAACACTTTGAGGACTCTTGCTCTTAGTGCTGCTGCTGCGGCTGGTGCTGCTGCTGCTGCGATTTCTACTGCGAGTGCCATCGAATTGTAGAAGAATTCAATGCACGCTCCACGCCCTCCGTTTGCAAAGGGCATACCGGGTGGCAACATGAAGAGTTGCGAGTTGCCCCCGAAAGTATTCAGCAGCAGCGTGAAATGCGGCAGCTATGCAACAAACATAATTGCTTATATGAAATACATATATGCGTAAAATAAATTTCTTAACTCGACTGGTGCAAATAGTTTTTGGGTAAAATGAAATACAACAGCAAGTAAAAAAGAATTTCAATGAAATTATGAATGTTTTCATTTTTTGTCTGCATGCCAAAAGCGAAAAACGCATATAACATTTAACTGTGAATGTATGTCGCAAAACATTTGCTGTGTATTTATTAAGCATTTCACTCAGATGTGGCCAGCACAGTGAAAGGGTGTGCGTGTGTGTGTGTGTGTGCGCGTGTGTGTGTGTGTGTGAGTGTGTGCGCTTTAGTTTTCGGCAAACAAACTGCACAAATATTTCGCAATGAAATTACGCCCTAAAGTCAAAGTTTTGGGCTGCTGCTGCACTGCTCACAAGCGAAAATAAAAACAAACAAAAAAAAAAAAACAAACAAAAAAAAAAAACAAAAAAAACAAAACAAAAAAATAACAAAAATGAAAGCAAAGTAAAAAATAATGAATGTGATGGTGACGCAGTTTGGCCTAGAGAATGACGTACGAAAGGAGGTGACACGCCCACTCACACACCCCCTTATACCCATACCCACACACACACATGCACTTGCACTTGCATTCTGTGGCACTAACTACTATCTGACATCGTCAAAAAGTTCATGCAAAAATGTGGAAATGTGAAAACTTGTTGAAAAGTACAGGCACAGGCGCAGTCACAGGGGCACACAAACACTTGAAGAGGGGCAGAAGACGGGGGCGATTGTGTGTGTGTGTGCGTGTGTATGTGTGTGTGTGTGTGTTTGGTAGATTTATTGCATGACATTTCAATTGTTAGACAAACAGCTGGACGGGAACTGAGAACTGGACTATAACTACAACCAGAAGAAGCAAGCTGCAGTTGTTGCCAAGCCTGAAAGACGCTGAGCAAAACAATGGCAACGTACTACAGTCGGTCACATTGCTGGCATTGCAGCGAGGTGTTCCCCTTTTTTCGTGGGCGTGGCATACAACACAGACAGTTTGTAGGTGAGTGCCAGAGCTGGGTCACAAAATGTCACCAGCAATTAACACTGCGAGCGAAGCAAACATGCTGCAAAAGATGCTCAAAATAACTGAAAGAGGCTGGATACACTTACACTCCCACTCACACACACACACACACACACACACTAACACGCACACACACACACAGTGACATTTGATGAATTTCCTTTTGGCCTTGGTCGCGAGTGTCAAGAGACAAATGCTGTTTGCCCTGGCCTCGGCAGTGGCCCCCCTTTTTTGTGCCTTTCTCCATTGTTTATGACAACACTCATACGTCACGTTGCACCGGACAAATACCAAACGAACCATGCCCATTTGTGCTTGTATGTGTGTGTGTATGTGTGTGTGTCATGCGTTCTTAGGGCAAACGCCCATTTGCCACGACTTGTTGGTTTTTCTGTTTTTGCATTTTACAAATATTTTTTATTGTATTTCTTCTCAAATATGGTGAGCCAGCAAACGTTTTTTTCTTTAATAGCCCATACCCTAGCAAGTATACACATACACACACACACACACACACACCACACACACACACACACACACACACACACACACACACACACACACATTCTGTGCGTGTGTTTAGTGGTTTGGCCTAGGCTCTGCTGCGCTTGCTAACAAGTTCGATTTGCATTTAAAAAGGGAGAAACACATGTAATCTCAACGATTAGAAATTGTTAGCATTGAGCATTGAGCACATACATACACACGTACAAGAATGTTATGGGCTTACACACACACCCACAAGCACTCGTTTGTGTATCTGTGTATGCGCATACATACATATAGTGAATAAATGAATAACGCATGTGGCCCAAGAAATACTTTTCCAGCAGCTGCTTGAGGGCTAAGCGAAAAGTCCTGTGAATCTTGTCCGCCACAAAGCAGTTGCTGTTTAAGTTGCAATATCAATTGAAATAATCAGATAAAATATAATTCAAATCAGCCAAAATGTTTATGAACACAAAACAAATAGGGATGCAAGAAAAGTAAAATCTGGAATCGATTCGGGTTATAATATATTTGTGGCTTTGGGCTTTTTTTTCAAGTTCTTCGGTCTTATGCTTTCAAAAATAAGCAATTTGATCATTTTGTTTTTATTATTATTTTTTATTTTTATTTTTTGTTTCTACGCTGTGAGCCATGAAGTCTAATACGGCTCTCCACCTTCCGTTCCGTTCAGCGGGCTGTGAGTGCTGTTTGAGTGATGTTTTCGTTTCGTATTGTTATTTGTATTGCGCGTGTTGACGTTTCCTGATGAGAATCGAAATATATATTGAGGAGGCAAAGTGTGTTCCAAATGAAAGCACAACAAATCCTTGAACTTGAGTTACTGAACCAAATTATTTCATATACACTAAGTATATATATATTTAGATAGAAGGTATACAAGTGAAAAATAATTATTTTCTTCAAAACTAAGAATAAAGATATCGAAACTTTCTTGGAGAGCTTTCAGATTAGCTCGAAAAGCACTTGCCTGTATTGTTTACATATTCATATTTGACATCTAAATCAGAAAAAGGACTTCAGATTCTTCACTTTGACAACTTTATCAAAAGCCCTCGCCGATTAATTCCTTTACTCTTCAGACACCTGCTATCTGCTTTTATATTTTAGCCTGTTGCTGTCTCTCTCTCTCTCTCTGTATCTCTCTCTCTCTCCCTGTCTCTCTGTGCAACATTTGCATATTTTTCTTCAATTTGTTCCTGACAGTTGCCAGTTTACTGGAGCTCGGCCTGCTGCTAAAATACATGCAATGACCGCATGCAGCAATTTCTTTTAATGTGATTTTAAAAGCCAAATCTACAGATTCCCTGCACCCTTCACCCTTCGCCCTTCGCCCTTTTGTTATTGTTATTCTTATTGTTGTTGCTATTGTTACTATTTCTGCTGCAGTTTATCCTAGACTCAAAATTCTCACTAACTAACCATCCGCCCATACGGCCATCCGCCCATTCGCCCAACCGGCCAACCGGCCATCCCGGTTCGTCCCGCTCAACGCATCGCTACCATTGAAAAGTGCACACATTTTTCGATGCAATGCGCTTTTGTTTTTATTATGCCTTGCACCAAAAACTAACTTAATTTGCATGTAGCATATTGTGCGTAAAACTGTGTGTGCCCATGTGTGCCTGTCTGTGAGTGTGCCTCTCTGTGTGTGTGTGTGTGCCTGTCAGTGTGTGTGTGTGCCTGTCTGTGTGTGAGTGTTGGACATGACTGTACCTAACGAGCTCGTCTGAGCTTGCACGCAAAACCAAAATATAGTCGAAAAAAAAAAAAACACCCTCAAACAGCCAGCAGCTGCTCAAGTCTCGTTTTCAATAAGGCTCTTTGATAGAGCCACACATTAAAATAGAGAATGTGGCAAGAGGAAAACAGAAAGAATGCAGCAAAGCAGAGCAAGCACAAAAAATAATAAACAAAGGAGTGGGAAAAATTAAAGAAAAAAAACCACGGAAT